GAAGAAAGAGATTCTCACTCAGCCAGATGGGCGGGGTAGAAATAATAATAATAATAATAATAATAATAATAATACCAATAGCAATGTTAAAACCAAACTGGAAACCAAAAGTTGCTGAAGTGACCCCTGAGGCATCTAAAGATAACAATTTGATTGCCCAAGTTCTCTGCTTAGGTGATAAAAAATATTACTATAATTGAGAGTGCCTTTTGTGGAGTACATGGTAGAAAAGGGTTTGTACTGAGCTGCTTTTCATGGCGTGGATCACAACCCACATATACAGGAATGTGACAAATGAATCATTTGTCAAAGTACTATAACTTACCTAAAATGCTAAGTATAGCTTGCGTCCAAGAAGATATCACGTTTAAATGATGTACATATATTCCAAGGGCTACAGTGAACTTCAGCTATAGAGTTATGATTTATCTTAGCATTTCCCAGATTTTGCTGATGCGGATATGCTGAAATCTGAACATCTCAATTTCTCCCTCAGTAACTTTTATGTGCATCTAAAATATAGGAGTTCCCCAGCCCCCTTTGATTCTTACTTTACTTGTTTAATTATTTTTATAACTCACCTCTTATGAAGTCAGTTCAGGAAGATATGTAAATATATAACAGCAGAAAGTAAACCATATAAAAATCAGAACAGCAGGATAAATCTGAATAAATTCCAATAAATACCAGAGAATAAAAACAGGAGCAGTACAATTCAATACCTGCACATGCCCAGAATTCTGCTATTGACGTATCCAAACACAGCTGGCTAGGGAGCAAAAACATCTGCAACTACATGCAAAGTTAAGGGAGCATTTACCGCTCCTGCCCCCCCCCTTCAAATGGGGCGCAACCAGAGATGACCCATTTTTGGCACTGTGAGAAATCAAGGAGAGGTTCCCACATTCTGCAGGCAGAATCCAGGTGAACAGCAAAGCCCACTTTTGTTCTATTAGCAGGAAGTTGGGTGCCAAGAAGGAGTTCCAAGCAATGGAGGTTCCTTTGAAGATCTTCTTAGTTCCTCACAATTTATTTTTATTTATTTTTATTTTAGACAATTCTAGGAGTATATTTTTCCACCAGGCAGCAGAGAATTGAACTTTCAGCCCCCTTTGTCCCCAGTAGAAAAAAGTGCTGCCATCTTCAGTAAATGGAAAACACAGGAAAGGCATGCCTGGCTTCTTCTAGCACTGGACCAGCAGCCTTTTCACCCATCCCTGGATTCTGGCATCAGATCTCAGGAACCTGAAGAAGGGCCTCACCAGATCTTCTGTATTTGTGTGGGATACTCTGAAAGCCCTCTTTGGCTTGAGATCACAGTTAACACTGTTAACATCATTTCCTTGAATTGCACTCAGAAATGCACAGGAAGACAGGGAAACTGCTTGAACGGGGGCAACGGGGGACTAGTGTTCCCCATGAGCTATGCCAGTCACCAGGTGACGTGATACGTTTTAAACGCATTTTCATAGCAAGAGGAAGGGCCAGATCTTACAGCTTTCTCACACTGATTCTCACAACGCTGAAGTAATAATTCTGTATATTAAGGGAAATTTATCTCAATACTTAATGAAGAAAGATCTTGCAACTACATCTCTTCCAGTTCCCACAGAGTAGTCTCAAGCAGATTTTTCAAGAAGCACTGGGAGGAATTTCCCTTGGTAAAGTGTATCTGCAAATATGTCCAGATACAATTTGCTTGTGCAGATGTGTCGGCCCCCCCCCCTTGTTGGTGGCCTTTATCGTTGTTTTATTCATTCAGTTGCAAGAGAGAGGATTGGACCCTGACCAGATGGGCTACCTACTGAGAGAATCTCTTAATTTTTTTCTGGATTGGGTTTCATTTTATCAGCTTTTATCCAGTCCATTATTGATTCTAGATTCAGCACTTCTACAATTTTACCTAATTCCAATTAAGAGGGTGGTGTCACCCCCCCTAAATATCTGTTCTCACTCAGCAGTTTCATATAGACGTTAGAAGCGTAGGAGACAAAAAAAGAGTCCTGTAGAACCAGTCACTCAAGTCAATGATGGTGCTAGTACAGATTACAGTGGTACCTCTGGTTAAGTACTTAATTCATTCCGGAGGTCCGTTCTTAACGTGAAACTCTCCTTAACCTGAAGCACCACTTTAGCTAATGGGGCCTCCCGCTGCCACCCCGCTGCTGAAGCACGATTTCTGTTCTTATCCTGAAGCAAAGTTCTTAACCCGAGGTACTATTGCTGGGTAAGTGGAGTCTGTAACTTGAAGCGTATGTAACCCGAGGTACCACTGTATATACTTCTCTTATCTTGTATTTGAGCCTCCTACCTGGTCTCTCCTAGCACACTGCAGCTGGTGCCGAAGGTGGTGGACAGTCACTCGTGTCTCCAGGTAGCTGTTTGGAAGACTTCCGAGCAACACCATTCATCGAATGCAACGGTGCTCAGGGAACCTGCCACTACTTTGCAAACAAATACAGTTTCTGGCTTACCACCATTGACAATCAATTTCAACACTCCCCTTCAGCAGATACACTCAAGGCTGGACTCATCCGAACACACATCAGCCGATGCCAAGTGTGTATGAAAAATTTGTAAAAAAAAAAAGTAAGTCATCTTGCAATGGCAAGGAACAAATCTTGTTGGTGCTTCTTTAACTTTGTTACCTCAAAAATTGAAATATCAGTTGATCACCATTTATCTGAATGAACAAACCACTGCAATGGTTTACAACCAAGTTGGTTCTGCTTTCATTCCCATAATTTTCTAAGTAGTTTTTATTGTTGCAAAAAGGTTCTTTTCAGAGTTAAAAAAACTGGCAGGATATAATTTCCTAACACATTTGCTGCCCACTAGGTCTGATTTTGGATGCGGGTGGTGCTGCGGTCTAAACCACAGAGCCTAGGACTTGCCGATCAGAAAGTCGGCGGTTCGAATCTTCGTTACGGGGTGAGCTGCAGTTGCTCGGTCTCTGCTCCTGCCAACCTAGCAGTTTGAAAACATGTCAAAGTGCAAGTAGATAAGTAGGTACCACTCTGGCGGGAAGGTAAACGGCGTTTCCGTGCGCTGCTCTGGTTTCGGTGTTCCGTTGAACCAGAAGCAGCTTAGTCATGCTGGCCACATGACCCTGAAAAACTGTCTGTAGACAAACGCCGGCTCCCTTGGCCTGTAAAGCCAGATGAGCGCCGCAACCCCAAAGTCGTTCGTGACTGCACTTAACGGTCAGGGGTCCCTTTACCTTTACCTAGGTCTGATTTACAGCACTAAATGGGTTTTTATGCATTTTTACTGTATACTTAACCACTGAAAACAGCTCATAGTCATTGTAGTAACCATACATTAAGATGGATGTGCAAACGTACATGGGAATCGGCTCAAAGAGCTGAAGTTTAAGTACCATTTTGGAACATAAAAATGATGAAAATAGAAGTTGCGCTCTGCCTCTGTAAGACTTTCATCTGTAAGACTTTGGCTTCAATTCAGCCAGAAGTTAGGCATGTTTCAGAGCCACCAACATCAATAGAACTTTAAACCTGCACCTACTTGTTGTATTTATGTTGCAACTTCATTTCAGGGCCAAAATTTTCCACCTAAATGCTTTTATTAAACAATATATTGCTTCATATGCATAATTGTCTCTATAGCTTACAGAACCTGCTTAAGTGTTGCTTTTGACAGGTAACACACCAAACTTTTTGACATCTTGGACCAAATGTGGGATTGTAGCCTGGCCTGAGCTCCTTTGGGAAGAATAACATATAAATTAAATAATTTAATTAAATAAATTATATGTTGTGCTCACTGAGCCCCAAAACGCAACCAACAGGTGCACTGCACCAAGTGCAGAGTTTAGTTGTCTCTCAGTATTGCTGCAGGAAGTTAGATACCAGCAAGGCTTTCTTCAGCCATGCTACTGGACACATAAGAAAATGTTCCCTTTATCACTGCTGTTCCCAGGTGACCATAAGGCTCAAGAAGGTGCCTTTGAGCTCCTTCCCTGGAGTCGATCAGGCTTCAATTCAAAACAACATGCTCTCTCCCATTGTACCCAAGAGGGACTTCTGAATACTCATGCTTAAGTTTCTGCTGCCAGTCTTTTCCTCCACTGCTCCCAGGTGCGAGCAGATGGAAGGAGGAAGCAAATTGTGCAAATGGCACAATTTTCTCCACCCAAGGAGAGTTAGGGCCTCTACAGAGATCCTGTTTTTTACACATTCATGACTGAGGCAGTTGTACACCATTCTGCTTTCAGTACTCTTCTGCTTTCAGTGCCTACAGAAGTTCCAGGGTGGACACATTGCTTCATTCTCAACAGGTGCATGTCCCACAGCTTTCTTCAGAAATCCTGTAGCTTTCCTTATTATATAGGTTTGGGCGTCTTAGACAGCAAGACTAAGAAAGCAGACTGATGCATAAGCAGTTCAGTACTAATTCACTAATAATATTGCATCAATATGTTGCAGAACACATATGCAAAAAACATTCATCTGGAGAGAGCTTAGAACGCACCACTTTCCACACGACTGTGTGATTCTAACAATGCAGTTCTGGTTCTGGGCAATTATTTGGCAAGACCTACAGGACAAATAGTGATCAATGAGTTTTGATTTTGTATAATGAATAAAAGATTGTATTTTAACATTGTATTTATTGTGTTTGGACTTATTGCAGTGTTTAAGCCCTAAATAATCTCATATGATGAAACAAACACACTAGGCTTGAGTTTAGCGAAAGAAAGGAAAGCATTTCAGCATGAGAGCCTAGCACTTCCAAACCCACCAAGCCACAGGGGTTTTACTACTGTTTTCACAATCTAGCCAATGAGCACGTTTAGCTTGTGTGTGTAAATATTGTTGTACACCATGCCAAACTCCAAGTGGTACAAGATTCCAGGGGTTTCAGGCACTTACTCCAGGTTTGATTTCCTTTGAATGAGGGATGTTGGAAACTGGTGTCTTTATGATATATATGATTCAAGTAGGTAGCCGTGTTGGTCTGACGCAGTCGGGAGAAAAAAATGTCCAGTAGCACCTTAGAGACCAACTAAGTTTGTTCTGGGTATAAAAGCCTTTGTGTGCATGCACACTTAGTTGGTCTCTAAGGTGCTACTGGACAATTTTTTTTATGATACATGGTTTATCTACACATATATTCAACCTGAGCTTAAGCTGGAGGGGCTCACAGCCTTAACACTCCAAAAGATCTTGTTTCTCTCATAGTCGCAGCCATGGCTCTCTCTCTCCAGCCTCTGCCTGCTTCTAGCTCTCAGCTCTCTCATACACTGGCTTTTAGCTTTCCCACTACCAGCCAGGGGAGAGAATGGAGGCCAATTTGCCCTCAGGCACGTAGCAACTTCTTCTGTTATATTACCAATGGTACTTAGGGCTGGTTCACACTGCATGCTGAACCAAACCTTGGTTTAGCAAGGCAGTGTGAAGGTGACGCTTGCAGCCACTTTGCTCCTTCAAGGCTCCTACTTCAGCGCTCCCTTTTCTCACTGGCCGTGAGTTGCAGCCAAGAGCAAGGTTTTGTGGAGTGACCTGTGACTTTGCCGGCGGAGGGTTATGTCCTCTTGCTCCACCTGGTAGACAAAGGCAGAAGTAGACTTTACAGGAAATAGGCTGGCTCCCTTTCAGTCTCTGTTTTACTTCTGCCTCAAACAAACGTAGGTAGGTAGTAGGATCGATGTCCATTCCATGGTGCCAATTCAAGACAATACCATGGTCAATATCAAAAGCTGCAGGTGCTCCTAGCTTGTCTTGCTTGAATTCACATAGTGTTTTATATAGGAAACCACAGCATATCTGAGCAGTTCCATCGGAATGCCATCCCCAGTAACTCTAAAAAATACAAAACTTGTCTTACCGTATTTTTCTCTCTATAACACGCAGATTTTTTCTCCTAAAAAGGAAGGGGAAATGTCTGTGCGTGTTATTGAGCGAATGTGTGGTCCCTGGAGCCGAATGGCGCGAGTGGAGGCAAAAATCAGGCAAAAATCAAATCGTGTCTCGGAGAAGGGAAACCTGAAAAGAGGAAGCGGCTGCTTTCCTGCATTCTGCCTCAGGGTCTTACTGCCCACCCTCTCTGTTTTGTTGCTGTGTTTGCTCAAACGGAACAAAGAGCAGGGAAAGCCCCTCCCCTCCAGGCAAGCAGAGGGGAAAGCAGAGCGTCCTTCCTTCTAATTCCTCTCCATGCTCGGGAGGGAACAATGTTTGTGAAGGGAAGAGAGATTACAGGTTCAGCTTAAAATTCTGATTTGACTTCCTGCTTTTGTTTTTGAGGACACACAGCATTCAAATATGCTTTCTTCCATTTAAAAGGATGAAATCCTTAAACAGTGTTTTGCCTGTAAATTCATGCGATCTGGAAGATTACAGTGTCTGTACCTCTTAAGGGATGGCAGAGCTTAGGTTTCGCTGCTAAATAGTTCTTAATGCAGTTAAAATGCTTTCTTCTGTCAAGGCAATTAACAAAAAAATATATCAGGCAGCCGGAAAACATGCAGGTGGGAGAGAGAGAGCGCGAGCTGGCTGGCTTGGGTGGGTGGGTGGGAGGAAACTTTTGCCTTCCTTTCCTCCCTCCTGTTATACCCTTCTCCTGCATTCTTAGCCAGCTGCTTCTCTGCACACCCCTCTCGTGCTCCTTGTCCCTTCTGTGTTTTTCCTTCCCTCCCCACTTAAATTGTGGTGAAAAAGCATGGATCCACATGGATCCTCAGGATCTTTGCATTGGGTCACCCCAAATTCACCATCAGATCACATAGCATGTCCATAGCTACAGCCTGCACCAAAAAAATCACGCACCCACTGTTGCCTGGGGCTGCAATGGTGCAAAAACGTGGTTAAAAAGCATGGGTCCACATGGATCCTCAGGATCTTTGCATTGGGTCAGCCCAAATTCACCATCAGAGCACATGTCTGTGGCCACAGCATGAAGCACAAAAATGATACATCCACTGTTTCATTCAGAATGTTTTTTCCCTTGTTTTCCTCCTCTAAAAACGATGTGCGTGTTATGGTCAGGTGCGTGTTATAGAGCGAAAAATACGGTATATAATTATAGGTGGGTAGAAATTCTCATGACCTGATAAAGATCCTAAACAAACTTGGGGGGTTCTTGGGTTTGAAATGTGACACATGGTGATAAAGGTTTTGTTAACCTTCCAGACTAAGATTACAGCTAGCTTTCTAAATTCTCATCGCTCTTGTACATTATGCTGACAGAAGTGTGCGGGACTTTTCCCTTCCAATTGTGGCTCCATCCTTACAGCTATGAGAATGAAGTGTGTGGGGTTAACCAGTTTGAATCAGGACGGCTACATATCCAAAGCACCCAACTCTACAATTTATGGTTCTAAGAAACTATTTTTTTCTGTTCCTGCACTCTATATATGCACATCAGTCTTTTCTAGTTAGTACTTGTTTAGCACTTGTACTAACTTGTTTCTAGTTAGTACAATTTAGCAATTTTTGTATGCAAAAATATTGGCACTACTAAAATGGACAGGACAGATGAATGTGAAAAACAGTAGACAGATGAATATAACATATTTAATGTGGATAAATCACACTCAGCTGAATATAGAAGTTTTAAATAATTGCTTTAAAGTCAAATTTTATGCCATTGTTTCAAACCTTCCCCAATTAAGTGTTTGCCTCTGTTAATCCATTCTATTAATCAAGTTCAGTTTCATAGATCTGTTATGCCAAAAAAGTAGTTGATCTGGTTCACCTTTATATTTTTTATATATCCTTCATTTGTTGTTTATTTGCAACAGCTGGATTGTATGTTTTTAGTTGTCTTGATATTATTTAAATCTACAGTTTGCAGTGACCCTTCAGTTTTCTGCTGCAAAATTACTGGTACTACCATCTCAAATACAGTTTCAAATACGTGGTCCACTTTATACCCTGTTTTTGCACTAGTTTCAAAACACATTTTTTCTGCTGCTGGAGCATTCTTCTCATCCAACATTTTGTATTTTAGGATCTTCTTATAAAGTGCTATGGCATCACTCATATGGACTTGTTTTTTCAACTTGGTAGAAATGAGACTGTTGATGGGCTGCTCGGGGGGCTGACGTTCACCTTCTGTTTCTGGCAAAAAGGCAAAAGCATCTGTGAGATCCACTTTGTTCCCAACAATAGCAAAGATGCAGTCTGCACTGGCAGTGTCTGTCAAGGCCAGGAACCGATCCTCAAGTTCCAAGATGCTCTGCCAGTTGGTTACATCGTAAGTGAGGATAACAGCTGCTGCTCCTCTGCAGTACATAGATCCAAGTCCATGAAATTGTTCTCGACCTAGAAGACAGAAAATAACATGGATGTATGAAGCACAACTTCATTCAGTCTATATTCAATTATATAACAAACAAGCAAACAGATTCTCCAGCAGCATCACAGAAGTATGTGGTATGAGAGACAGGTCTGCCTTGGCCACCCTCTCTCTCCTAGTGAGTCTTCCCCAATTCTTCTTGCTCTGCTGCTCAGTCACAGAGTTTCTGGGCTTCTTGTCCCCTTTAACCTCTTTCTTTCCAGTTAGGGAACAATATCTCTCTCACTTGCTCAGCAGAGGACCTTGGATGATTTTAAACTGAGTTGAACTTGCCACCCCAACATGACATCCATATCCTCTCCAGAGCTTTGGCATAAATGGACAGAAGACAGAAATGTAAGGTGTTATCTGACAATACTGAGCAGTCTCTTAGCTCACTATGCCATGATGACCCCCCTCCAAAACATCTTTGGGCCTTTTTTTTTTTTAATGATATTTATTGAGAATTTTAAAGTTACAAAAAAAGAAGAAGGAAAAAACAAGAGAAAGAGAGAAAGAAAGAAAAAGGTAGATAAAAGTAACAATTAAACAATACAAATCAATAAAAACCAAAGTCAAAAAGAAAAAACAAAACACACAAAGCATCAAAATCAAAAAGCAAAAATAAACAAAAAAATTAAAAACAAATCCAATATTCCCAAATCCTTAACTTTCATTAACTTATTTCATCGACCTCCTCACACCTCCCTTTTTTGTATTCTAGTTGTTAATTACCTCAGCAAATCCTTTCCATCTTTCACAATATTCTGTCATTAAATTACCTTAATCTATTTTAACCTTATCTTACCATAAAAAACCCTAAAACGTAAAACTTAAATCTTATTTATACCAAATTCTTTTAACCATAACATATTCTTACATAATTCTATTTAACATTTCTGCTAAAGCCAAATAATTTCATTCCAACATTTTTCTAATACTCATTAATTTTACGATACTTTTCTAAATAAATTTTTAAAACTTTCTTCCAATCTTCATCCATTGTCTCTTCTTCCTGGTCTCGGGTTTTGTCAGTCCTTTCTATCCCATCCATCTAGTCCATCAACCTGGTGACCTTATATCCGAGGCTCTTAAGTCTTTTCCATGTCCCTTCCGCAGGTCTTCTTCATGTTTATACCTGTACTTTACTTTGTCTTCTGCTCCTTTCACTCGGGAAGACTCCAGCTTGACAATATTTCTGTCCCTTCTCGACAAGTCAGCCCCTTTTCCATAGTCAACACTGAAATCCATGTGGTATTTAAAGGCATGTTTCAAAGTCCCTCCAAAGTTAAGGGCCCCCACAACTCCGAACTCCCCCTGGCCCAAAGCCAGACTTGAGAGGTCAAAACATCCCTGCATAGGGGGGTCCATCCAGCCCCCCATCTCCAAGCCAAACAGAACTCCATCTCTCCAAATCTGACTTTTTCCAGGTTCATTCGTCAAATCCAACGACTCATGTTCCTGCTGGGCCACAGCTCCCTCCATCTCTGCCACCCGAGGTCCAGCAACAACCTCCTCCCTCATCTGATCTGTCAAAGCACATTCCTGGATTAATTCCTGAGTGGGTTCTATATAAGTACCCACTGCCTGTCCAAAATTTCCGATCGCAACAGTCATCAAATCCATCTTCTCATGTAACCGTTCCAATAAAGCACTTGTCTTGCAAAAGGCAAGCACCAAAGCCTCTGAGCACATTCTTGTTCAAGGTCGAAGTCTGGTCCCATGATCTTTAATCTCTACAGCTGCAAAGCTCCCCAGTTCAACTTTAATAACAGTTTCACAAGCTCCCTCTAGGGGAAACAATTTCTATTTGTATCCATCTTTTTCTTTTTTTTTTAAAGCAGATCTAGCAACAAAGTTTTCCTTTTTCGGATATTTTGTCGATATTTTGTTCCTTTTAAATGCAAAAGGGAACAATGAAATCAATATGTTTCTCTTCTTTTAACTATCTGTCAAAAGCGTTTGTCCATAGTCAATGAACTTCCCCAAAACGTCTGTCCTGACACCCCGCTCCCAGGTTCAAGATGGTGGAAAATTACCTTTCTTTACTCTCTCTTCTGCAGGTTTAAACAGTCTAAAAAAGGTTCCCCCCTCTTCTCCTGCTTCCAAGGGGGGTTCAGTAATTTTAAATGATGAAAATTTAATCCTTTACAAACGACTTTCTAAACTCTAGCTTGCCGTGTCTTTGCTTCACTCTATCTACAAAAGCAGAAGGCGGACTTCCTGTTTAGACCTTGCCGCTTTCGGTGCCTAATTAAGAAATTTCATAGTCCAATTTTCCGTTCTACTCACGGGCAGTTGTTTAAAATCCAATTGTCCACAGGAAAAAGTCAGCGCTCTCCGGCAACAGCAATGCGGCTTCACTCCGTGAAAGAAGCAGTCGATTCAAAGCACCATGCCACTCACCCCACGTCGCTCCGGATCCCCAAAACAGGGTTTCCCCGCGAGTGGGGGGGCGCAAAGGTGCCAGCCGAATCCCACGTCCACAGGCTTCTCCCGCCTGTGGTTTTTGATGGGTCTCCGCCTCGCCGTGGCGGTTCAGACCCTGTTTTCCACGGAGCGGATTCCTCCCGATCGGAGGAAATCCGCCATTGCCAGAGGCGCCAACCCGGAAGTCACATCTTTGGGCCTTCAACAGCCTTTCACTCTTGAACAACATATTGTTACATGCCACCCCAATCCACACAGCAGGGTGAGATTCCAGGGGTTCCAGGTACTTTTGGAAATGAGGCACAGTGGAGACTGGTGTCTTTATGATCTATGGTCTATTTACACAGATATACCACCTGAGTCAAGGGACACAGGTGGCACTGTGGGTTAAACCACAGAGCCTAGGGCTTGCTGATTGCAAGGTCAGCGGTTTGAATCCCTGGGACGGGATGAACTCCCATTGTTCGGTCCCTGCTCCTGCCAACCTAGCAGTTCAAAAGCATGTCAAAGTGCAAGTAGATAAATAGGTACCACTCTGGTGGGAAGGTAAACGGTGTTTCCGTGCGCTGCTCTGGTTCGCCATGCTGGCCACATGACCCAGAAGCTGTATGTCGGCTCCCTTGGCCAATAAAGTGAGATGAGCGCTGCAACCCCAGAGTCGGCCATGACTGGACCTAATGGTCAGGGGTCCCTTTACCTTTACCTTACCTTTACCTTACCACCTGAGTCTACATGGAGGGGCTCCCAGCATTCATCCCCCCAGGAGGTTCTGCCTTCTCCCATAGCTCCAGCACCTTTGAACTTTAAGCAGACCTCAAACATGGCTCTCAAACTTGGCTCCTGGCTCTCTCCAGTTTGCTGCTTCCTATCTCCGTGGCATAACACCTACCTGAACTCTAACCTAAAACACTGGCATTGTCTTTTAAACTAACTCTCCGTTGAAGTAAGAATCCCTTGATCCTTTGTATTAATGCAGGACTATGCTATCCTCTCAAAAGAAAACGAGCTTGACTTAATTAACTTCTAGCACTATTAACAATTCCCTTGGTTTAAAGAGGTGTCTGACATACAGCTTAATAATGAATTAGATTCTGATATGTGGAAGTCCGACACACAGTTTTAACTCAATTTTAATTCAATTCTAAGACTAGCTTGATCTGGATTTTAGAGTGTCTTGCACTTACAAACTCATAACAAACTCCTGGGCTAGGAGAGAGCAGGTTTGCTACCAGATTTTAATCTGGTAGCAATCTTGTTCTCCAGAAGATTGTCCCACAACCTTTGGAACTATTCCTGCCATTCACTACGGAGACAGGAGCACCTTGCAGGAATTTCTCTAATTCAGAGGGGCTCCCTCCTTCACTCCCCCGTAGGAGTGGGTAAAACATGTCCCCAACTGTGTGTCAAACCCCTCGGAGTCTTGGCAGGCTGCAATGGGGGTCTCAAACTCCACCCACCACTTTCTCCATGCCAAGGACTGCTAGATGCTGCTGCTCATCAGAATTTTCCCACAACTGAAAGGATCTTTGGAAAATATTTCACTGCCAAAGCTCTGCCCTAATCTGTTTATATAAAAGCATCTCCACAGCATGATAATTTTATACATTTTATTCACTTCCTGTCCCTCAAACAAGACCCCTCCACTATTGTAACATTTCTTCATAGGAGAATTTCACTAGTCCCTTAATAATTTTGCCTGCCCAAAAACACTTAAACTAATCAATATAAGATACTAAAATAAAGGTGTTGACAATTCATAATTCAATGGACCTCAAAAATCATTTCATGGAATGTTAACGGCTTAAACAATAAGACTAAAAGAAAAAAGGTGGAACAGTTATGTAAGGATTTCAGGGGGTTACTCAAGAGCAATCAGGCAAATGCCTCCCTGGTCAGCTGTAAAGCCTCGTTATTGGTGCCAAAAAACCTTCACCATGCAGAGCGCCACTATTCCGTGGCTCGCTCATTCACTGGCAGAATCTGTGAGTGGGCGGTCCTTAAACCTTCCCCAGCAGAGTAGTTTCTTGACACCCAATCTGTGCCTCCCCTCTCGGCGCAGAAGCCTACTGCGCAGGGAGGGCCGCTTTGCTCAGGCAAGGTGTCCTGGCACCGCCTCACCTCCTCCGAGCCCTGAAGCTCCTCTCCACTGGAGGCGTGGTTACTCTCCACCGCTGAGGAGGTGCTGCTTCCCACGATCTTTGGGGGCTCTCTGTAATCCATCCGGCTTTTCCCCTCTCGCCCCTGAGCCGATGGCAGTTCCCTGACAAGTTACTTTAAAAAAACAGATGGGATATAATTTGTTTACAGGAAACACGTTACAAGAAAACATAGGTGTTAAAAGAACTGGCAGATGTGATCTCAGAACCACTGGCAGTCATCTTTGAGAATTCCTGGAGAACAGGCGAAGTCCCGGCAGACTGGAGGAGGGCAAATGTTGTCCCTATTTTCAAAAAGGGGAAAAGAGAGGACCCAAATAATTACCGCCCAGTCAGTCTGACATCAATACCAGGGAAGATTCTGGAGCAGATCATTAAGCAAACAGTCTGTGAGCACCTAGAAAGGAATGCTGTGATCACCAATAGTCAGCATGGATTTCTGAAAAATAAGTCATGTCAGACTAACCTGATCTCGTTTTTTGACAGAATTACAAGCCTGGTAGATGAAGGGAACCCAGTGGATGTAGCCTACCTTGATTTCAGCAAGGCATCTGACAAGGTGCCCCATGATATTCTTGTAAAGAAGCTGGTAAAATGCGGTCTTGACTATGCTACCACTCAGTGGATTTGTAACTGGCTGACTGACCGAACCCAAAGGGTGCTCATCAATGGTTCCTCTTCATCCTGGAGAAGAGTGACTAGTGGGGTGCCACAGGGTTCTGTCTTGGGCCCGGTCTTATTCAACATCTTTATCAACGACTTGGATGATGGACTCAAGGGCATCCTGATCAAATTTGCAGATGACACCAAATTGGGAGGGGTGGCTAACACCCCAGAGGACAGGATCATACTTCAAAATGACCTTGACAGATTAGAGAACTGGGCCAAAACAAACAAGATGAATTTTAACAGGGAGAAATGTAAAGTATTGCACTTGGGCAAAAAAAATGAGAGGCACAAATACAAGATGGGGGACACCTGGCTTGAGAGCAGTACATGTGAAAAGGATCTAGGAGTCTTGGTTGACCACAAACTTGACATGAGCCAACAGTGTGTCGCGGCAGCTAAAAAGCCAATGCAATTCTGGGCTGCATCAATAGGAGTATAGCATCTAGATCAAGGGAAGTAATAGTGCCACTGTATTCTGCTCTGGTCAGACCTCACCTGGAGTACTGTGTCCAGTTCTGGGCACCACAGTTCAAGAAGGACATTGACAAACTGGAACGTGTCCAGAGGAGGGCAACCAAAATGGTCAAAGGCCTGGAAACGATGCCTTATGAGGAACGGCTAAGAGAGCTGGGCATGTTTAGCCTGGAGAAGAGGAGGTTAAGGGGTGATATGATAGCCATGTTCCAATATATAAAAGGATGTCACATAGAGGAGGGAGAAAGGTTGTTTTCTGCTGCTCCAGAGAAGCGGACACGGAGCAATGGATCCAAACTACCAGAAAGAAGATTCCACCTAAACATTAGGAAGAACTTCCTGACAGTAAGAGCTGTTCGACAGTGGAATTTGCTGCCAAGGAGTGTGGTGGAGTCTCCTTCTTTGGAGGTCTTTAAGCAGAGGCTTGACAACCATATGTCAGGAGTGCTCTGATGGTGTTTCCTGCTTGGCAGGGGGTTGGACTCGATGGCCCTTGTGGTCTCTTCCAACTCTATGATTCTATGATTCTATGATTCTAATACATTAGCATAAAATATGTCCGCTCAAGAAAAAGAAAAACTACAGGAAATATCAGGATTGACTATAGTGAATAAAACTAAATATTTGGGAATCTGGTTGATGAATAGAAACAGTAATTTATTCAAAGATAATTATACAAAACTCTGGAAAGAGATCAAAAGGGATTTAGAAATCTGGAATAGGTTAAGAGTATCATTATCCAGCAGAATTTCAGTGGTTAAGATGATTGTGATGCCTAAGTTTATTTTTCTGTACCAAATGATACCAACTATTGGAGGGGTGGGATGTTTTAAAGTATGGCAAAAAGACCTTTCAAGATTCATTTGGCAAAGTAAACCACCAAGAATTAAACACAAATTATTCTTAGATAATAAAAATAGAGGGGGACTGGCACTCTCTGATTTAAAATTATATTATGATGCGGTTTGCCTAAATTGGCTAAAGGAATGGATGAGTTTACAAAATGGAGATTTATTAGATCTTGAAGGCTTTGACAACCGTTTCGGATGGCATACTTACTTGAGTTACGAAAAGGTTAAGGTCCACAGGGGCTTTCTTAATCATATTGTAAGAAAGTCATATAGAGTTTGGGAGAAGCATAAAGATCTAATAGAGCTGAAAACACCCTGGTGGATCTTGCCTATAGAAGCACTAACAGCCAAAAAAAAAAAATGGAATTGAATTGGGTTAAATATAAAGAACTTTTAGAAGAAAGGGATAATAAATTTAAATTAAAAGAATATGAGGAGATAAAACATCATTTAACGGGATGGATCTAGTACCATCAACCAAGTGTTCAAAGCCAACAAGAAAAAAGGGTTTGCCAATGAGATTTCATTATTAGATAAAACATTATTAGATAAAACATTATTACAAAGTAAGACAAAACTAATTTCTAAAATATATCAAATTTTATTGGAATGGGAGGTCAAGGAGGAACAGATAAAAGATGTAATGATCAAACAGGCCATAGATTTAGGAACACCCATACTGCTATCACCATTGGAAAAAATGTGGAATGAAATTCGGAAATTCTCAGCTTGTGAATCGATAAAATTAAAGCTTTCCGATGAAGAATTTAAAAAAAAAAAAAAGGCAAAATTTCAACAAGAAAACAAAAGCTTTCTTGCTGGGAATTTTAGACACAGACTTAATTTTTTAAAAAACAATTATGCCACAGCAGCAGCAATATCCCTAATTGCCAAATATTGGAAAAAGGAGGAAACCCCAACAAAAAAAGATTGGCAAGAATTTTTTCCCGATTATATAGAAATGGCCAGAACAACAGAGGCAATTAGGGGTAAATCAAAACAAAAATTTCAAAAGGACTGGGATAAATACAGAGATTATCTTAAAAAGCAGTGCCCCCAAACTAACACTTGGTCTTGTTTTGATTAATTTCTGCAAAAAACAAATGACAATGTAAAAATTGATATTTGAATGAAAGAGATAAGGGGAGAATTGGAACTATTAAAAAAAGGAAACAGTTTATAAAAGGATGTAAATGAAACCGCTTTGAGGAGGAATGGAACTCAACCAGAAGAAAAGATGAAATGAAATATGGTATAATTATATTATTTTTTCTAATTTATACTGGATCTTAGTACTGTACAATATATTTATCTTTTATTCTTTTTAGTTATTCATATTTGTGTCTAATTTTTATTTTTTCTTCTTTTTCTTTTTGTATGTTCATTTATAATTTTCATTTTCATCTGGGGGGTGTGATGGGTAGTTATCTTTACATTCTTTTCGTACCACCCTGGTACGTTCTGTTCACCTTGAGTTCACACCATATCAATCTGTACTTATCGCTCTGTGTACATTCCTTTCGTACCACCCTGGAACGTGCAGTCCATTAGTAGCACCATATCAATCATGATGAGAAGGAGATCATGCCTGTCTAAACTCTGCGTTCTTTTTTCCAACCTTTAACCTATCGATGATTAATGTCTTATATGCAACCCTTGCTTTGTACTTATGTTAACCAATCAGCAACAAGCACATATGTGGCAATGCTGTAATATTCAATAAAAGGGACTCCCCGACACATGTTGGGGAGATGCCTCCCGTATGACACCTACCACTCGTCTGTCGTTTATTTCAACCCAACAGGTGTGGGTGTTTGTGTAGTAAAATTGAAATAAAGATGAGGTTTTTTAAAATAATAATTCTTTTTTGAGGTGCAAACATTCATAAATGACGATATGATCATTTTAAATTGTTCAACCATCAACTGTTGAACAATACCAACAGCCACTAGGAAATCCAAAGGTACCTTTGCCATGCTGGATGCATTTGATGTTTGGGATATTATTAACAACACAGTCTACCTTAATATTTCCACCTTAACATCACAGCCACAGCATGACTTATCTCATAGAAAATTCTTTACCACAGCTGAAAATGGCCACTTTCTTTTACGTTTTTAATTCTTTAGCAGCAAGAAACAGAAATATTTTAAAAAGATTTTTCACACAAGGGTTCCACCACTTGTCCATTTAATCTTTATTGTCAACCATAAAGCAGGCTTTTTGCTCTGCCTTAGGCACAGCTTGCAGTGCTTGGTTCAGTACAGAACATTCAGTCCTCAACTTACTTTCTGCAGTAAAAAACAAAATAAACAAAAGTCTCCTCTGAAACTTAGTCACTATTACAACCGCTAAGTCTCCATGGGGCAGCCAGGCTGGGATGTTTTTTGCATTGTTGATACGGAAGGAGGGGGGGCATGCCTTCCTTCACCCTTCCACCGGTCACCAGAGGGTCCGAGGCGATGACCTCAAGGGCACCCAGCCCACGTGGACCCCTCAGCCCCCACACCGTTACACAAGCACCACACTCTACCCCAAGCCCCATGAATAAAATGCCTTTTCCCTTTCCTTCACCGATCCGCTATTACGGGCGAAATAAGCCCAAATTCTTATGCCTCTTTCCCGCTCTATCTTTATTATGGGTTGACCGTACGAAGCGGTAATTCCCTATTCCTTTCAATGGCTGCGTTCTACCCAATCAGAACCACGCATTCGCTTTGCAGAGCTAGCTCAGTGAGCTCCTGCACGCCTCATTTAACCTCCTGACAAGCTGCTGACGGCTCCCCGCTGCGAGAACGATGGAACCGAAACTTGTGAACTCATAAAAGTGTCAAATCTTGCTACAATGTATCTATTTTGTTTCCGACTTCAATTACCAATATAAAATGGACTAAAAAGGACTAAAATCTTTAGAAATTCGTATAAAATCAACCACGACTCCAATTTCCTTGCTTTTGGTGCCGATCGGCTCAGTCTCCTCAGGACTCCATAACACCTGCCCTACCTCCATGATCCCTCGAGCAAGGTGTCACGTACTCAGGAAGACCCTAATCCGATCAAATCGCTCTGCCAAGCCTTTCCTATGGGCAATGCCAGGTGGCAGACTATACATACATGGACCATTGTCTTCTCATCACCGGTACTCAGGAAGTGCTTATCTGCGCATATCTCCAGCTCTGCATATTTCCCCTCTCTCCTCTATATGTTAATCCGGTGTAACCCAACCTCTCTTTAATGTATTCATGATGTAATCCGTGTAACCCAACCTCTCTTTAATGTATTCATGATGTAACTATGATGTATTTTGCACTGTATTCTGGGACATGGAGGGAAGTTTTAAAAGTTCATGTCACCCCTTTCCCGCTGTTCAATCTCGCCTTGAACCTGTTGCGCAATAAACTTGGATCTTCTCCTGCTTGCTCCTGTCTTCGGCTGAGCTCATTTTCTTCCGCAGGGACCCGTGGACTTAGTCCGACGAGCTGGGTGGCAGAGCAGCCTCGCACCCAGATTTTTACCGTAACAATTGTAAAACAGAATATCCAACGATGAATCATGCGTACACCCCATGTTCACTTGCACTCAAAAACAGAAGGTAAGCAAATAGATTTGTTTGTCGTTGTTGTTGTTATTTAGTTTGCACAACAGTGCTAATAAAGCATTTCACCTATACACCTTGCTAACTTTGTTAACAGAGTTAAAAGAAAAAGACAGCCAAAACACCAAACCAAATGACCCGGGCAGTAGTTACTGCGCATTGTTAGAAACTCAGATATATAAACTGGGTGCCACATGGCACCTTAAACCTAGAGGGCAGTGGCAACAGTGGAGAGTCTAGTCACAATTGTAACCAAATCCACCTCCATAAATAAACAGCCTCACTGATTTTTAAAGGATAGAATTCAGCATCACACGAACATCATTTTGACTTGCCAGATGGAACAATCCCCTCTTCTTCTGCCACGCCTGGGGTGGGCACTCCCAATTCCACCCCGAAGCCAATTTCAGAGGGCTTGCAGAGGAGGGGGAGAAAGCCCCACTGCAGAAGCAGAAGTCTTTTATTTCATTTATTACATTTATATACTACCTTTATCTTCCAAGGGGCTCGGGGGGGGGGGTGCACACAAGCAACAGTGTTTGCACATCTTGCAAGGAGGAAGAGGAGGAAGGTGAGAGGCTCCAGTATTCACCTAATTTCCACATACTCTGGCCCACTTTTGGTGTGTTGAAGCATTCCGTATCCACTCTAAATGATCTTGATCCCCTAACACACACACACACACACACACACACACACACACACACTATATATATAATATATCCTTAAAACTGCCATTTAAGAATGGGACACCTGACAGTAAAACTCAATTATCTTAACTGGGTGTGAAAGGAAAAGTGCTACAGAAAAACCAACAGAATAAATACACCTCTGAGTTACTAGTTTGATGGCAAAGGAGACCCCCGACCCTGTGAGCTACTTTTCTTTCTTGCATAGCAATTTGAACTTTATGCATATCTTATGCATGTTTTTACACATCACTAATGAGCGAGTTCAAGTTAAATCCTCACATTCTTAAGATCACAAGTGATGGATCTTGCATTTCCATAAGACTAACTACAAAAGATCTTCTATATAAGTTCACTGTGACTATGGTGATACACATGAAGCATGTCGTTTCAGTTCAAACTGAGAAGTAAACACTGTTCAGTTTGAAATGTATTTGAAATGTATGTGGCTTAAGGGTGCGATTAATAATAATAATAATTTATTATTATTTATTTATACCCCACCCATTTGGCTGGGTTTCCCCGGCCACTCTGGGCGGCTTCCAATCAAATATTAAAAGCACAGTACAGCATTAAACCCCCTTCATGGATCACTGCCTTGCCGTGGCGAAGGGGCTTGAATAACTCAGAGAAGCTATGAGCTATGCCGTGCAGGGCCACCCAAGATGGACAGGTCATAGTGGAGAGTTTTGACCAAACGTGATCCACCTGGAGCAGGAACCGGCAAGCCACTCCAGTATCCCTGCCAAGAAAACTCCATGGACAAAGACAAAAGGGATATAAAAGTTATGACGCTGGAAGATGAGCCCCTCAGGTCGGAAGGCGTCCAACATGCTACTGAGGAAGAGCAGAGGACAAGTACAAGTAGATTCAGAGCTGATGAAGCGGCTGGGCCAAAGCCGAAAGGACGCTCAGTTGCGGATATGCCTGGAAGCGAAAGGAAAGTCCAATGCTGTAAAGAAAAATATTGCATAGGAACCTGGAATATAAGAACCATGAACCTGGGAAAGTTGGATGTGGTCAAAAATGAGATGGCAAGAATAAATATTGACATCCTGGGCATCAGTGAACTAAAATGGACGGGAAGGGGCGAATTCAGTTCGGATGACCATCATATCTACTACTGTGGGCAAGAATCCCGTAAAAGAAATGGAGTGGCCCTCATAGTCAACAAAAGAGTGGCGAAAGCTGTACTGGGATGCAATCTCAAAAATGATAGAATGATTTCGATACGAATCCAAGGCAGACCTTTTAACATCACAGTAATCCAAGTTTATGCACCAACCACTGGTGCTGAAGAAACTGAAATTGACCAATTCTATGAAGACTTACAACACCTTATAGAAATGACACCAGAGAAGGATGTTCTTCTCATTATAGGGGATTGGAATGCTAAAGTAGGGAGTCAAGAGATAAAAGGAACAACTGGCAAGTTTGGCCTTGGAGTTCAAAACGAAGCAGGGCAAAGGCTAATAGAGTTCTGCCAAGAGAACAAGCTGGTCATCACAAACACTCTTTTCCAACAACACAAGAGACGACTCTACACATGGACATCACCAGATGGGCAGCATCAAAATCAGATTGATTATTTTCTCTGCAGCCAAGGATGGAGAAGCTCTATACAGTCAGCAAAAACAAGACCTGGAGCGGACTGTGGCTCAGATCATCAGCTTCTTATAGCAAAATTCAAGCTTAAACTGAAGAAAGTAGGAAAAACCACTGGGCCGGTAAGATACAATCTAAGTCAAATCCCTTATGAATACACAGTGGAAGTGAGGAACAGGTTTAAGGATTTAGATTTGGTGGACAGAGTGCCTGAAGAACTATGGATGGAGGCTCGTAACATTATACAGGAGGCAGCAACGGAAACCATCCCAATGAAAAGGAAATGCAAGAAAGCAAAGTGGCTGTCCAACAAGGCCTTACAAATAGCAGGGGAGAGAAGGCAAGCAAAACGCAAGGGAGATAGTGAAAGATAGAGGAAATTGAATGCAGATTTCCAAAAAATAGCAAGGAGAGACAAGAAGGCCTTCTTAAATGAGTAATGCAAAGAAATAGAGGAAAACAACAGAATGGGAAGATCTGTTCAAGAAAATTGGAGATATGAAAGGGACATTTCGTACAAAGATTACCATAATAAAGGACAAAAGTGGTAAGGACCTAACAGAAACAGAAGACATCAAGAAGAGGTGGCAAGAATACACAGAGGAATTATACCAGAAAGATATGGATGGCTCGTACACCCCAGGTAGTGTGGTTGCTGACCTTGAGCCAGACATCCTGGAGAGTGAAGTCAAATGGGCCTTAGAAAGCACTGCAAATAACAAGGCCAGTGGAAGTGATGGTATTCCAGCTGAACTACTTAAAATTTTAAAAGATGATGCTGTTAAGGTGCTACACTCAATATGCCAGCAAGTTTGGAAAACTCAACAATGGCCAGAGGATTGGAGAAGATCAGTCTACATCCCAATCCCAAAGAAGGGCAGTGCCAAAGAATGCTCCAACTACCACACAATTGCACTCATTTCACACGCTAGCAAGGTTATGCTTAAAATTCTACAAGGAAGGCTCAAGCAGTATGTGGACCAAGAACTCCCAGAAGTGCAAGCTGGATTTAGAAGAGGCAGAGGAACCAGAGACCAAATTGCAAACATGCGCTGGATTATGGAGAAAGCTAGAGAGTTCCAGAAAGACATCTACTTCTGCTTCATTGACTATGCAAAAGCCTTTGACTGTGTCGACCACAGCAAACTATGGCAAGTTCTTAAAGAAATGGGAGTGCCTGATCACCTCATCTGTCTCCTGAGAAATCTCTATGTGGGACAAGAAGCTACAGTTAGAACTGCATATGGAACAACTGATTGGTTCAAAATTGGGAAAGGAGTACGGCAAGGCTGTATATTGTCTCCCTGCTTATTTAACTTATATGCAGAATTCATCATGCGAAAGGCTGGGCTGGATGAATCCCAAGCCGGAATTAAGATTGCCGGAAGAAATATCAACAACCTCAGATATGCACATAACACAACCTTGATGGCAGAAAGTGAGGAGGAATTAAAGAACCTTTTAATGAGGGTGAAAGAGGAGAGCGCAAAATATGGTCTGAAGCTCAACATCAAAAAAACGAAGATCATGGCCACTGGGCCCATCACCTCCTGGCAAATAAAAGGGGAAGAAATGGAGGCAGTGAGAGATTTTACTTTCTTGGGCTCCATGATCACTGCAGATGGTGACAGCAGTCACGAAATTAAAAGACGCCTGCTCCTTGGGAGAAAGGTGATGGCAAACCTAGACAGCATCTTAAAAGCAGAGACATCACCTTGCCAACAAAGGTCCGTATAGTTAAAGCCATGGTTTTCCCAGTAGTGATGTATGGAAGTGAGAGCTGGACCATAAAGAAGGCTGATCGCTGAGGAATTGATGCTTTTGAATTATGGTGCTGGAGGAGACTCTTGAGAGTCCCATGGACTACAAGAAGATCAAACACATCCATTCTTAAGGAAATTAGCCCTGAGTGCTCACTGGAAGGACAGATCATGAAGCTGAGGCGCCAATACTTTGGCTACCTCATGAGAAGAGAAGACTCCCTGGAAAAGACCCTGATGTTGGGAAAGATGGAGGGCACAAGAAGGGGACGACAGAGGACGAGATGGTTGGACAGTGTTCTCGAAGCTACAAACATGAGCCTGACCAAACTGCGGGAGACAGTGGAAGACAGAAGTGCCTGGCGTGCTCTGGTCCATGGGATCACGAAGAGTCGGACACGACTAAACGACTAAACAACAACACCAGCATTAAACATTAAAAACTTCCCTAAACAGATGTCTTCAGGTGTCTTTTAAAAGTAAGATAGTTGCTTATTGCCTTGAAATCTGCTGGGTGGGCGTTTCACAGGGTGGGCACCACCACTGAGAAGGCCCTCTGCCTGGTTCCCTGTAAGCTCACTTCTCACAGGTTGCCAGAAGGCCCTCAGAGCTGGACCTCAGAGCTGGACCGGGCTGAATGATGAGGGTGGAGATTATCTTTCAGGTATACAGGCCGTTTTGGGTTTAAAGGTCAGCACCAACACTGAACTGTGCTTGGAAATGTACTGGGAGCCAATGCAGATCTTTCAGGACTGGTGTTATGTGGTCTCAGCGGCCGTCACCAGTCTAGCTGCCGCATTCTGGATTAATTGCAGTTTCCGAGTCACCTTCAAAGGTAGCCCCACGTAGAGCGCACTGCAGTAGTCCAAGCAGGAGATAACCAGAGCATGCACCACTCCGCTGAGACAGTCTGTGGGCAGGGAGGGTCTCATCCTGCATACCAGATGGAGCTGGTAGACAGCTGCCCTGGAAACAGAATTAAGCTGCGCCTCCATGGACAGCTGTGAGTCCAAAATGACTCCCAGGCTGCGCAGCTGGTCCTTCAGGGGCACAGTTGCCCCATTCAGGACCAGGGAATCCCCTAAACCTGCCCGCCCCCTGTCCCCCCAAAACAGTACTTCTGTCTTGTCAGGATTCAACCTCAATCTGTTAGCCGCCATCCATCCTCCAACTGCCTCCAGGCACTCACACAGAACCTTCACCGCCTTCACTGGTTCCTCCAGACACCCTGTTCAGGCTTCTTCCCCAGGGAGGTCACTTTGGGGCTGCTAATACAGTGGTACCTCTGGATGCGAATGGGATCTGTTCCGGAGCCCCATTCGCATCCTGAAGTGAACGCAACCCACGTCAGCGCGTTGTGATTTGCCGCTTCCGCGCATGTGACATCATTTTGAGCATCTGCGCATGTGCAAGTGGCGAAACCCGGTTCCGTTACTTCCGGGTCGCCGCGGAGTGTAACCTGAAAACGCTCAACCCAAAGCTACTTCAACCCAAGGCGCCCTCCATTGTCTCACCAGACAGATGGCAACAACATGTCACACTGGAGATAAGGCCAGAGGTGTATTGCCTAAGACAATTTGTGCATCCACAGAGGAAACATATATCCAAATATATGCCTAATGCTGCTATTAGGTAAAAAAGCATGCAGGCTGCAATCAAAACAACACATTGTTATGAGTTTTGGAGGCGGAGGAAGTAGGCTGAATCCACACTATGCCCAAGCTGGCATTGGCAAGGACTTGGGCCTCTTGTGTCTCTCCCGCTACATTCCCCCCTCTTCTGCCCCCGTGTATATTTGCGATCACCACGGAAGCTTCTGTCAGAGCGGACTCTGCTCCGCAAATGCTCCTGCCCTTCTAAGCGCCACAGGCGTAGCCACGTTATCCGGGGCAGGAAAACCTGCGGAGAGCCTCGTGCCCCCGACGGACTGGGACAAGAGGCCGCGAGGTCGGCGGCGTCCGTCTTTCAGACGTGACGAGCCTCTTGCCACCTTCGCTGCCCGGGAGGCCGGGGCGGGAAGAGGCCGGCTCGGCCTTGGCCGCTCCGCGGGGCCACGCCGGGCGCCGTCGAAGCGCTTCTTCCCCGACTCCGGCGCTCGGCGGCCGCGGCCCCTCTTCGGGCAAGGGCGCTCCCGGCCCGGGCGTCGCGTCCCGCCGCCGCCGCCGCTCACCTGCCGTGTCCCAGACGGAGATGCTGTGCGGCCCCCACTGGCGGAGGCAGAAGGCGCCGCCGACGGTGCTGGCGGTGTCGCGGAAGCGGCGCTCGGTGTAGCGTTGCAGCAGCGACGTCTTGCCCACGTTCACGTCGCCCAGGAGCACCACCTTCCCGTCGGGCTTCATGCTCGCTCCGCGCCCGGAGCCGCCCAGGGAAACTTCGCCGGGGCGGCGCGGAAGAGGAAGGGCGGCGCCGGGCCGGGACCTGGGCTGGGCGGTGCGCGCCCTGCTCTGGGCTGGACGCGGCTTCAGGCTCTGCTCCGGCGGCGGAGTCGGGGGTTCAGGCGGCGCTGCGCTCGCTCAGGCGGGAGCCCCGACGGGAGCCCGGAGGGGAAGAGCTCCGTCCCTCTCGGCGCGGAAGGGAGGCTCTCGGGGCTCCCAGCTCGGAAGGCCCGGCTGCTGGGCGAGGGATCCGCAAGGAAATCTCCCAGGCTAAGGAAACAGTCCGAGGAATAAGCCTGGTCTTGTTTGGACGCTGCGCGTCTGGCTGGGCGCCTTCCCTGGAGTCGAGGAGAGACCCCGGGACCCCCACAGGCCAGGCGCAAAAGGGGGTGGGCAAAGACCCTGGCGAGTTTCTGCGGACACCCACTCGCTCCCCAGAGAAAGGAGAGGCGGCATCAGAGTCCCCAGGACACAGTCCAGCCGGGAGGGAAGGAGGCACCTAGGAAAAGGGAGCCGTCTAAGGGCCAGAGAAACCCAAAGAGCTGCATTCAGTCTGGGCCTGAATAGCATTTTATAAACCAGAAAAAAGAAAATGGGGAAAGAGAGACAAAGCAGTAGAAAGCACTTCCATTTCTCCATCCGCCTATTATGGATATTCTGATTATTCAAAGTATTCCAAACATTCACTCTAAAATAATGTCCAGCTGTATTCACTCTAAAATAATGTCCAGCTGCAATGCCCAATTCAATCTGCTAAACGTTGTTTTCTCAATTTTCAATCCCAGTTGCTTCAAATTCATTCGTTTTCCTTTCCACACAAAAAGTCCAAAAACGGTTCTTCAGTGGTTATTGTCACTAGATATCCAGAATAGTCTTCCTCCACAACTTAATTTATACAGATTACAATTAACATATAACAGTTTCACAATTTCAGAACAATATGAAACAACCCCTAACCCCCAAATAAAACAACACCCACCATGCTTTTAAAATATCCAAGTTAAAGCCCCATCCCCAGTAAAACAATCATTTTATCACAAGGGGGCTGCCCCACACCCATGTCTTCCCAGAAGTGCTGCCCCCAAAGGGACACCCCCTTTTGGTGGTGGCCCCTCCATTGGCTTTATAGAGCTGTTCTCAAAGCAGGTTTTAACACATGCGGATTACAGAGGATTTAGTCACAGGGTCTACCTCATCTCTCACAGGAGAATAGCCTAGTTTAGTTAGCTTTTGACATTCCAAGTCCTAATTAAATTCTAGTACCTCCTGGACCAGGAATTTAGGGGAATCTGGCACCCACAAACTCCTAACACTATACTTGCATGGGCAGGGCAATTTTAAAGGCTGAAAACTAAACCTACAGAAATCCCCCCCAAAGTAAGACCAGGTTAGAAGGATCTCCTTGCTGCTGCCATTTGTCAGCTCCCAATAAAATGGGAGAAGCAATGTGCTGACGCTTCTTCGCAACAACTACTTCCGAATTTCTGCTACTTCTGCTTTGTGAGACTTTCTCAGGGCCAACTAAGAAACACCCTGTGCAGATGAGAGGCTTCTCTTCATTTCACACCCACCCACCCTTAATATAGGAAAAGTTGTTATATGACTCCTTTTCCTACAGGCTTTTCCTACAGTTCCCTTTCTTCCAAAAAGCCCCCTTCCTGCCCCATTTCCCCCTGCCAGTGGGGAGGCTGCTGGAGTGGTGCCATTTCAATGGGAAACTTGGCCTGTGAGAGGCAGAACGGGAAGGTGGCCGCTGAAGCCTTGCTTCCTGGGGCAATGAGATCTCTTGAGGGGCCTGCAAGATCTCTCCAGAGGCCACAGCCCCTTCTCACGTCTCTTATTTATACCCCACCCATCTGACTTGGTTGCCCCAGCCACTCTGGGCAGCTTCCAACGTATATAAAAAACATAAAGCATTAAAAAAACTTCTATACAGGGCTGCCTTCTGGTGTCTTCTAAAGGTTGCCTAGTTGACTCCGCAGTCGCATAGCCATGACCTCCAACATTTCTCCGATAAAAATAGGGATGCCATAACGAAAAGCCGGACATTCTGGGATCAATTCAGAAACTGGGACCATTCCTGGGAAAGAGGGGCCCTTGAAGGGCCTGCACTTCTCTGGCGGCTGCCTCCGTCTGCCTCGTGGGCTGGCTGCCCTGGCTTAGGAGAGAGGCCTGTGTAAAAAACCAAAATCTGCCCTTATTCCCTTATGGGGAACACAAGAGCACTTATAGAGTGCTTTGTAGGTTCTCCATCGGTCGGAGAAAATAACAGAGGCCAACCAGAGAAAATTGAGAAGCAAAGCAGCTCGTAAGCCTGATCTTTATTGAACTATGTTCAACAGGGTGCCCCCTTCACATGCAGGAGGAGGACCCACAACCCAGGTGTGCCAGCCCTTATATAGACATTTTAAATGCCCGCCCAGGAGTCCAAGACCACCCCCAGAAACATCATACATACATCACAGAAGGGGTGTAGCCCAAGACCATCCCCTAGACACATGACAGAAGGGGCGGTCTACAACAGAAATCTGAGTGCGTTGTTTATCTCCTGTCGTTTACCTCCTGTCTGGCAGGTTACCTGTTCATGCTTACTTGACTGGATACCCTGGGGCGCCTAGCCAGTCTTTTGTAGTGACAAATAGTTCCTGAGCCAGGTCATACACAGATATACCCTTAAGACAGGTTTTGTGAATGAAAAGACAATGGGGAGGTTTTTCCATTTTCCTTTGACCTTGCAGAGAAAACATTTGGTCAGTTTGGGAGCCAAAATGGTTCCAGGGCTGCCCTCCTGTGCTGCCTCAGACATGTGGCCCATACATTTATGTATGTGTTTGCCTGGCACATCCATGAACATTATATATATATATATATATATATATATATATAACCTTAATTTTTTTATTTCACCTGACTTCAGTGGGCGACCTCAGCCAGAATTGAGCTCTGGCCCTTCTCAGGCCATTCTCTAAATCAGTAAAAATACATAGCTGACCCAGGTTCTGCCCCACCCCCAACAAAAATCCTGGTTACACCCCCGGTTCCAGCACCTTTTTCTGGAAAGGGAGGTTGCCTCACCGGGTTGTTGTGGCAGAGACAGACAGGCGGCCCTGCAGCCTCCTCCCCCCGGGGTGGAAACCAGTCCTTTGGCTTGAATGGCCGGGGTCTTTTCTGAGGGGGTGGGATCATGTTTTCATCCAGGGTTTTGTTTTTGTTTTGTTTTTTGCAAAAAAAGAACGGTTTCTTTTATTTTTTAAAATGCTGGACGCGTGTGTGTTTGTTCCTTCCTTAAGGTCTGGCTTTTCGGTTGCCCTGGGAAAAAGCGACCAGTCCCCGGGATTCCTGGCGCCCCCGAGGTCGGCGCTTGTTTGGCAGGCGAGTCTCGCGGCTCCTGGGTCTTTCTTGCCAAGCGCTGATTCCCCCAATTTTTTCTGCCGGTGAGCTCACTGGCTTACTGCGCATGTCACAGAGCGCGGCGGGGCTTAGGCTGCGGTGCGCGTGCGCAGAAAGCGGCGAGAGGCGGGGCCCAGCGAGGGCGGAATGCCGCGAGGGCCGCCGGGAAGAGGGAGGCGGGCGGGCGGCCATGGCGCTGGCAGGTACCGTGCGGGGCGCGGAGAGGGGCGGGCGGGGGAGGGGCGGGCGCGTCAGTCCCGCTTGGCCACCTCCGTTTCCGCGCCCTTCGCTCTCGCCCCTTGGCAGCTGCCTGGGCCGGAGGAGGGAGACCCGCGAGGCCGCCTGCTAAGCCCCTTCCCAGGACGCGCGTCGGACTTGCGCTCGCAGGCAGCGCTTTCCCACAACCCGCGGGACCGGCGCCAGCGTTAGGACCGGGCGCACAGCCACCCCGTCCCGCTTCTCCTCCCCGAACCCGGCCACGTTTGCGAACAGGAAAAAGGGGCCTTTTTAGTTGCAGCTGGGTTTTTTAAAAAAGGGTTTGTTCGGTTTTGTAGGGAATGCAAAACACAGGTGGCAGTCTAAAACAAAGAAAAATAAGAGTCTTGACAGCCAGAGCTGTTTGACAGTAGAAGAGACTCTCTGGGAAGGTGGTGGCCTCGCCTTTCTTGGAGGTTTCTGAGCAGAGGTTGGCTGATCTAGTCGCGATTCCTGCATTGCAGGGGGTTGGACTAGAGGACCCTCAGGGTCCCTTCCAACTCTACAATTAGTGAGAATAACAAAATCTTACCAAAACAGCATTGAAATGTCATGGCTCTTTCAGGCCTCAGTGCTTTTCCATTATGGAAACAGTTGTGTCTGTTGTTAAGCAACTGGGAGTGCCCGTTCACTGCACTAATATTATAACAATGTCAGAAGAGCCCTTTTGGCCCATCCAGTCCAGCATCCATTTCTCACACTGGCCAGCCAGATACCTATTGGAAGCCAGCAAGCACAGCCCATCCACTTATGAACCCCAATAACTGGCATTCAGAGGCCGGAGCATCGGATGAGGACCTGGGAGATCTGGGTTCAAATCCCCACTCAATCATGTAGCTCACTGGGTGACCTGGGGCCGGTCACAGCCTCTTAACCTGCCTCACAGGGTCATTAACTGCAGTGTGTGTGTGTGAGCCATGTCCTTGGAGAAAAAGGTGGGGTGTAATGCAAGAAAAAAATCGCTCTTCTGCTTACCTGCTTAACTTTCTTAAAGCCAGCCGGATGGGGATGTTTGTCACCAGGCACCCAGAGATCTCCACATGCTCGCAATTGGACCTGTGCCAGTTGGAAAATGCGCATAACTAATTTCTAACACTGGAGGCAGAGATAACCTGGATACAGTGATTCATGCTCTGGTAACTGCAGATTAGATTAGTGTAACATGGACTGCAGCTAGTATAGAATGCAGCAAGCGTATTGCCTGACTTGTCAAGCTGAGCACCAGTTCTGAAAAGGCTGCACTGTCTGCCTGTAAGCTACTGAATTCACCTCAGGGTTAGGACTAATTTAGAAGGACTCAAATGACTTAGGACGCAGTTACCTGAAGGAATGCTTTTCCTGCTGTCATTGTGCCCATATGTTAAGATCTGCTGTGGATGGCTTTCTTGTCCATTGCTGAGTGAGGCATGTACCTTGAAACTCACAAAAGGACTTTGATGGGTTTGAAATTGTCTCTGGAAATCTACCTGGTGCCAACGCAGGCACTACTGTATTTTTGTTGTTGGCATTCTCCTGTCTCAGGAGATAATGGAGGAGGAGTGTTCCTTGGGGAAAAGTCAAACTATTGGGGAGTTACAGAACCTGCTGTTAGTCCACTGACTTTAGTAGGAAAGAGAAGAACCTATAATTTATTTTTATGGTTTTTCCAGAATTGTTAATTTGAGTTTAGATGGGATGGGTACTGCACTGGAATCACAGTTGATTGAAGGCGAGGTTTACAATGAAATAAAACTCTGGAGAGGTGGTATTTGGGTGTTTCTTCTAATGAAAAAACTGTTGAAACTTAGAACTCCCCCCTGCCCCACAGATGATGCAACAGAGTTTTGGAGGCAGATTGAAGATAGCCGAGTGGACTTGATATTTGAGCAAGTGCAGAAGGTACTTTGGTCTCTGAAGCAGAAGATCAAGGACAGAACTGCAACAGATGAAGGTTTGGAATCCTTTGTTATGATAATCAAACCTTGAATGGCTTAATGCATATTGCGTACAGAATAAACGGTGCAAGCTAAGATTTACCATGCATTTATTTGTATGGTTATCATTTTTAGAGACTGTATTTTTAATACAGATTTTTAAAAGTCGGTATTACTTTTATTTAAACAGAGTACTGCCAAGCTTTGGCATTTGTGAATCAAGTGGATATGACTAACCTCCTACCTCTGACAAATGGTACGAAAAGAGTTTCCATATTTTCTGTGTGTTGGTTTTTACTAAGCTAGAAAACATGAAATATTAGCTATCTCTTCAAAAACTATAGAAAACCCATTCTAATATGGCACTTCATGGGTTTGGGTTTGGGATTAGGATTATGTCCATGCCTATCTTTTGGCCTGCATGTTGGAGCTTCACATTGCTATGGGAGCCTAATTGTGTAGCCTGATTTGTTCAATTCTCTTTCGAGTATTAGGATTATGGATGTTTGGGCTCTGTTCCATTCAAGCGTAATGTCCAATGTGCAGAAGTCAGGCATGTGTATATGTTCCTGATCCCCCACTGAACACGGTTACAGACATATTTTAATCTGTCTGCGGTATATAACTTGGAGAATAATTTTAGAATTTCTCGTGAGAAGGTTAGGAATGCTGAGAGTTGTGACATCCATGTCGGCCAATCTACAGCTGCAAGGCATCGGTGGTGGCACTGCCTTTCCTCTGGGCTTTGCATCCCAAAGGTTTAAAGCAGGAATGGGGAACCTATGCAGTCTGAGGGCCATGTTCTCTTCTAGGCAGCCTTCCAAGGGCCACATGCTACTGGTGGGTGGGGTCAGGTGAAAAGGTGGGCAGAGCAACTACCATACTTTTCCGTGTATAAGACTAGGGTTTTTTTTACTAAAAAATAATGTTAAAGGGGGGTAGTCTTATACACGGGGGCAATCTGCCCCCATTTCCTTAATTTTGAGTCCCCCCAAATAGGGGGTGTCATACACTGAAAAATATGGTAATTTATATTTTACCTTTTTGCAGTACACTAGTTTACACATCCAGACAGCAAGAGGCATTATCAGAGCTCAAGGACACACTCCAGTCAGGCCAAAGTGCAGCATGTGAAGCTGGGCCAGGGAGGGGGCTGCCTGGGGAGAGTTTTGAGGGCCACATTTGGCCCCTGGGCCTGAGGTTTCCCACCCCTGCTTTGAAGGTCACATGAATTCTGTTTAGGTGGGACATAATTGTTCCCCTTTTACTGGGTCAGACTCAGACTCCATCCAACTGAAGGCAGTTTGTGGTTTTCCAGAGTTTCTGGTGAAGGAGTTTCCAAGCCATCCTGCTTAATCTCCTCGTGCAATAACTAAATACTGCATTTGTTCATTGTTCCTCACTTGGGCATAGTGTACAACAGGGTGGATAAAAATCAATGGTTATTTTAATTAAAAAAAGGATTTTTAAAAATTTAAATCAGATTTTTAAAAATTTAAATCAGATTTTTAAAAATTTAAATCAGATTTTTAAAAATTTAAATCAGATTTTTAAAATAAAATGCTTTTGGAGGAAAAATATTTCTAAAGATAGTTTTCTATTTAAGTTACATTATAGTCCAAAGGAAATAAGGATTTGTTTTAAGTTTTTCATGTGTGCTAAAACTCAGTCTTAAGTTGTTTTTTTAAAAAAAAATGTTTAACCACATCAGTTAACAAACATGGATACATATGCTATAATGTTACTGTTTTAGTTAAATAAATTGTTTAAATTGTTATTAAGGAAATGATTATTTTTCTCCTTCCAATAAAGTACAGCAGAAAAGTTGTTCAAATATAAACAGTTAACTTATTAAAACTCACAATAATTTCATAATTATCTGTCTATGTGTTTCTAATAGTATAACCAAATCAGTAATTTTTGATATAACTGTAAAAAATACTCTGAAAATTTATTATTCCAAAAATGAAACCTTCATCTGGTTGTAAATATTAAGATTATACCAGCAAGAATGAGTCTTTCTGTAAAAAAACGATTTAAATCAAGTCTTACTGACTAGTGATTTAAATCGTGATTTAAATGGATTTGATTTAAATCAAATCCACCCTAGTGTACAATCACCAACACATCAGTCACCAACCTTGCCTCTAGTTTGGCCTTAACCTTGAGCTCTTGAAGTGTTGGAAGAAATCTATAACATTTGGGTGGTATTCAACTAAGTTTTACTCAGAGCACACCCACTGAAATTAATTAACTTGGTCCTGTTCATTGATTTTAATGATTCTATTCTGAGCAAAACGTGGTTGAATGCCACTCACAGTGTTTGACATATTCTATCTTTCCAAAGGACAAAGCCACCACCACCCCCTATTCTGTGCAAATACGTTGCAGTCCTGGGAGTGGCAAATTAATCCATTATGTTGATTTCTGTTTTGACAATAGTCACAGAGTTATTTTGCCTTAAAATCACCAGCTTTCTTGGGAGTCTGGGATGAGGTAGGATAAAATATACCCCATATGTCCTCTGATCCCCAAAGTTTCACAGTGATTTGAAGCATGAGGGTGGAATTGGCATAATACAACTGAAGACACTCAGGCTGATGACAGCAGAAGATTCTTGTCATGTGCGAAATAATTCAATATTAAAACAATGCACTTAAAATGCTGTCTTAAGACCTTTGTTAATATATGCATAATTACAAATCATTATTGGTTTAAATAAAAGTCTGTACTGCATTTAATTGTGACTGTTCTTAATTGCAATCTAAAATGTATATTGCTAGAGTTTATATTTTACTTTTCAAAGTAAATAATGCTGTTACTGAAGAAGATATGCAGAAATTTGAGCCTGGTTTACATCCTTCTGCCTCAAGTGAAATTATAGAGAATCCTGGAGATGATTTTTCTTTGTGAGTAAACCATATTTTTGTTGCTTTTATTTCTTAGGAGTTTGTACTGTTACTCTAAAAATTACGAACAACAAAATCATCTAGAACCCTACAGATAGGGATGCTTGAGGATTTTGTTCATTCCACGTTTTGAGGTGGACAATACCGTTGAAGCCACCTGAACCACTGTGCAGTCAGTAGGATAACAGCACTTCATAGAGTACAGACCAAAGTGCATGGAATATGGCCCAAAATTTCCATTTTAGGTCACATGCTTGTTTTTAAAATGCCCTTCATTGTGGTAATGGGGAGGAAGGAATGGATCACTGATAGGGAAATGTAGTGAAGTAGTGATTCACCCATCCCTAGTCCAAGAGTGACTGGTTATGTAAGACTTGCATATAGACTTCTGTCGTCTCTACCGCAGTGCCTGTCCATTTCTGCTCTGCCCATTCATTTCCCCAGGTGGCCTTCCCCTTCTGGGCTCCTACCTCTGCTTTCTCCCTAATTCTGCCCCGTTTTCTAAACCAGTCTTCCTGTCTAACCTCCCTTCAGGATCTGAGCAGCTCTGCTCAGGAGGAAAGGACCCAATCCTCATTCTGTAGGCTGAAGGTGACACAGAGGCCTCTAGGGATCCCTTTCTCTCCTCTCCTCCCCACACCCCTGACCAGAAAGTGAATTTGGCTCAGGTGGACAAAGTCAGAATCCAGTGCTTGGGGCATGCCCTTCTTCCTCCACCCCAGAGCTCCTTTAGACAGAGGTTTCTGGATACCAAATGAAAAACATTCATAACTGATGTCAGCAATTTGCCACACATGTTCTCCTCTGACCATTATTATTAAGATAGATGCAGAATGCAAATGTGATCAAAATGCTCACTTTTGTGGCTTGAAACAAGTGAATTCAATCAACAATTGTATCTGAACAAACCTTAACTAACTTACTGATTGCCTGACATATTTTTCTTCCAACACTTGCATGTGTGCTTGTAAACAGAAGAATGAAGATAAAGGAGGCGATACATTCAAGGAGTAAAGGCGAACCTGCAGAAGTGTCTTCAAAATTCCCCTATGAGGATCATGTCTGCTCTAAAAAATGTCTTGCCAAAAGGCCATGGAATTCATACAAGGATGAAAACCCTCTTCATCTGCCAATGCTGTGTCGCTTCCAAAGATGGCATGCCAAACCAGATTATGTGTCAAAGTCACACAATGTTATATACAAAGCTCCCTGTGGAAGGAGTCTGAGAAATTTTCAAGATGTTCAGAATTATTTGTTTCAGACAGAGTGCACTTACTTATATTTAGATCACTTTTCTTTCAATACTTATGTACAGGTGTTTAGAAACAATCCTAGTTGCCAGCCCTTTGTGTTTGATTTTGATATCAGCAACGGGGCAGAGACAATACCAGTTTCTTTCTGTAATGACATAGACCACGACCGACTACCTTACTTTAAATATCGGAAGGTCTCTTGGCCCCATGGATACTTCTTGAACAATTTCTCCAGCATGTTTATTGACTCATGCAGTTGCACAGATGGCTGCACAGACAGGTATGTATTCTAAACTTACTGTTCAGCACTGCAAATACCCTTGGACATATTTACATGTATATTGAGGCAGAGTGGTGTGCAGCATTTAATCTACAGATTTGCAAAGAGTTAGCAGCTTTAAACTGCATTGCCAAAGGTGAGGACTTACCTGATTTCTACAAATAATCAGAGTTCAAGCATGGACACTATTCTATTCTTACGCTTTCATAAAAAGGGCCTAGACCAGTGCAGTCCTGGGTTTAATTTAAAGAGTGGGTGTCGGGGGCTGGACTGAGGAGGAATGGTGGGAGCCCCCCCCCTTCTCCTGAACCTTCCCAAGAACAGGAGGACAGTATAGATTTAGAACAGTGGTTTGCAGAAGGCTGCAGAGGAGAAAATCTGGGGAATATTGGGAGAGGAACAGCAGGAAGAAGCACTGGGGGAGAGACAGCTGACAGACTCAGTGTCCTTGGAAAGCATTCCTGATCCCCGGTCTCCCAGGACCAGGCGGGCATTAAGAGTAGTAGAACAGAAGCCTCAGAGGCAGAAAGCTCAGATCAGCCGGTGCAGCGATGACATAGAATAGAAGAGACAGAGGGGATTGGACTTTACTCGGAGCAATGCCATTATTTAATAGAGACTGCATTCCTTCGTGTCTCTCTCTCTGAATACTGAATAAATTATGTGGTAAGAACTCTTCTCGTTTATCTGCTTTTTGGTTGCCACTGGGGGAGGAATTGGATACCTTGAAGCCTGACAGTGGGGTACACTAATGTAGTTTTCAAAACTGTTTACTAATAAGTCTTTTTAAACATGCAGAGAACATAAAAAGCTTTAAATAAGCAGCTCTGTTAAATGGAAAGGATCGTAATATTTAACTTGCTGGCTAAGCTGTCTTTCTTGAGACAGCTATTGGCTTGCTGTGCTACGTATCAGCTCCTTTGAAAATTTAATGATTAAACACATGTCCAGAGAGTAAATGGGCTATATTGCTTTATTTCATATCCTTATTTGCACTAGATCTACTGTGTGCTTTCTAGGAAAAAATGTGCATGTCTGCTTCTAACTGAAAGAAACTGCCATGAAGCTTCTGTGTCTTCAGGAAAAGAAGCATCTAATGGATATAATTATAAAAGACTCGATGGACCTGTGCCCAGCGGGTATGCAACCCCAACTTTATTTTTACCTGAAGGCCAGACATGGTGGTTCCATTGTGTCCTTAATTCAAGCTGTCTTGTTTTGGTCATGTAGAGAATGGGAACCCCATTGCTCTGCTGTTCCATTTTAAGTGGCAGCTTTCAGCTTAACAGAAGAAAAGTGTAGCATTGAACTTGCCCCAGAAAAAAACAACTAAAAAAAAAAGGTATCCTGGATCCTAGTAGACAAGATTGGGCAACAAATATGATGGAAATTGTGGTTCTCATGTACTAGCAGTTCCTTTATTTATATTATAAATTTATCGCATGATACATTGGCCTGGCACCATCAGTAGCAACGTTTAGATGCCAAGCAAGTACTTTCCTGCATTTGACTCTTAATTGGGGTCAGATAGTATGATACTCTAACCTACATTGATGTTCAGCTTTTAGTAAGCTGAGATAAAAGTTTTTATGTTATTGCAAGATCATTACTTTAAGTTAATAATATTGTTTTATCTTTTTAAAGTACTTGAAATGTGTTATGTACGCTTTAATAATAACTAGTGTATACATATAATAATGATGATGATGATGGAGTGATAGCACAGTCAGTGGAGCATGAGAATCTTAATCTCATCTCCACATTGGGTGAAAGATTCTACTTTGCAGGGGTTTGGACTGGATGACCCTTGTGGTCCCTTCTACCTCTACAATTCAGAGAATGTTAAGTGGCCGAGGTTTTGAGATCTCCAGGGGAGTCCCTATTGGCACATTTGCTTACCTGTAAGGTTCATAAGACGGTGTTGCATGAGATGGCCTTTTCTTTAATGGCCCTCAGGTTGTGGAGTGCTCTCCTGTCTAAGGTGTGTCTGGCCACATGATTATGGACATTTTGACATCTGGTCAATACAAGCTTTTCTGCACAAGCCTTTTTATGAAGTTTACAGTTTGTTTGTGTTGAGCTGTATGGGATGACATGCTAAATAAATAGAAACATACTCTAACAACCAAAAATATGGGTGTTATGCCCTGATAAAAATGGTTCCTCCCACCTGACCCAACACTCTGGAGCAGATTTCGAGGTTGCCCAGCAGGCTGCAGGGTTAAGGAGGGAGAAATTCCTTTGTGCAGGTGGACATTTGCTGTGCAAGTTGGAACTGCAGGGTTTGATACAAGCCCCTAATTATAAATACTGAATGTGTGGGCTATACATTTTCAGAATGCATCATCACACTGTACTGTTGGTACTTCCATGTTAGGATCCTTTTATTGTATATTGCTACTCCTCTTGCTTTCTCATTTCCTTGCACTAATTAAGTCTAATTCAGCCTCATACTATTCATACATTTGCTGTTTCCTATAGCAGTGTGGATCTCTTGCAGTGAGGCTTGCATTTTCTTCTGTAGGTATTCCAAATATTGTAGGTGCTAGCAGTTATGCTAGCGGTGCATATTGCTGCTTCCGTTTCCTCATCAAAACATGCAGCAGCTCCTGAGAAAGTGCTGGAGCTCCAAGAGGATCCTCTTGTCCTGAACGTTGTTCACTCAGCTGCTCTCCCCACCCTCTGAAATATTGAACCTGTAATGCTGCTGTTTTCTTTTTGTGGCAGAATTTATGAATGCAGTGTGTTATGCAGCTGTGACAAGATTATGTGCCAGAACAGATTAGTGCAGCATGGTCTTCAGGTTCGGCTGCAGGTCTTCAAAACTGAAAAGAAGGGCTGGGGAGTCCGTTGCCTTGATGACATTGACAAAGGAACTTTCGTTTGTACATACTCAGGTAATTTAATGTAGTCCAGGAAGGGATGGAAATTCATATTTTTTATTTTTTTATTGCTTTTTCACAAATAGATATACATATGCAAATATCTTCTTCCATTTCCTTTAGTTATATAAACTATATTCTTACTTACATTCATTGCATTTTCCTTTTCAACATACTAAAACAGTCACCAAAATACAAATCCCACCCAAAAGTCAACTTTGGGGGGGGGGGAGGAACCATCCTTCAAATAGTTCCAAAGTAAAACCTTCGTATCTTGGTAGAAAATTCACGGTTAACATTAGACACTTGTGAGGCAGTAACTGGAATACAGTGGTGCCTCGCAAGACGAAATTAATCCGTTCCGCGAGAGTCTTCGTCTAGCGGTTTTTTCGTCTTGCGAAGCAACCCTATTAGCGGCTTAACGGATTAGCGCTATTAGCGGTTTAGCGGCTATTAAAGGCTTAAAGGCTTAGCGGATTAGCTGCTAAAAGGCTATTAAAGGCTTAGCAGATTAGATAAAGGGGGGGAAAAGCGAAAAAAAAATCTCTAGACTCGCAAGACATTTTCGTCTTGCGAAGCAAGCCCATAGGGAAATTCGTCCTGCGAAGCAACTCAAAAACGGAAAACCCTTTCGTCTAGTGGGTTTTCCGTCTTGCGAGGCATTCGTCTTGCGGGGCACCACTGTATTGAGTGTTCAAACAGGAAATGGATGGTAAAAATAGGTTCCAAGTGTTATGAGCTTATACATATGTACAGTAAACATGGCAGAACCCATCCCTCTCTCGTCTTGGGGGAGCCATCCAAACTGGTGGGCATCCCTACCTCTTGTGGGAACTAACTCTTATAATAGTTTTAACTATGTGCTGGCCGTCTTCCAAATACCAGGTCCAAAGAGAGGACTGGAGATGCACAAAGTCTTCTCAGTCTGCATAATGGCCCAGCACCCCTGGCATTCACGGGAAGAGAGAAGACAGATGGGTGTCTTGCCCACACTTGAATAGATCATGCCCCAACTCCTGCTTAGTTTTTTTAAAAGAAGTCCAAATCCAGAATACCCATTGTAATAAGCATGTAAGCCTGGTGTTGCCTGCAGCCAGCATGGAGCCATATATGGAGAAATCAGTTTGATTCATTTAAATAACCCCAATCATCCTTACCATAGAATGTAAACCACACTGAAATTATTTAAAGCTGCTATATAGAGAGCTTGTTTGGGGCTTATTGCTATTCTGGAATGGGATGAGAATTATGGAGAGAAGGGGGAGAAGTGATTTTCTTTCCTTCTTCCTGAAGCATTGCTAGATAACGCAGGGAGGGATGTCTTGGCCCCTCCAGCCCTAATCTTCCCCCAGGGTGCTTAGGATAAGCTGTTAGGGACTTTGGCAGGCCACTCCCTCCCCACCCCCATTTCCTCTCCATTCCCCCCACCCTCACTTATCAACTGACACTGTAGTGTTTTGTACATCGTGGAAGCTCATGATTCAAAGTTCAATGTGCCTAACAAGTTCCCAGGCTATGCAGAAAAAACCGTCTTGTTTTTGGATGGCCCAGTTTCACTTCCAAACCCATGAGAACTCAAGTACTCAAGGGCAGCCATGCTGACCTCTAGAATACTCTACTCCACCAGCAGCCTGGTTTCCTCCGCCCATTTTTCACATTCTGTGACTGCTGAGCATCCTCAGTCTTCATTGGAGTTTCGCCTTAAACACTGTGCTGTGCTGACCTTGAGGTTCCCCTGAACATACTGATATTTTTCTCTTGTTTCTCAGTGGCCCCATTTGGACTCAGTTATGTTGGAACTAATCGCCTGAGTTCACTTTTAGAGTCAGTAATGTTAGGATTAAAACTTACATTTGGATAATTTTGAATGCATTCATTGCTTCTGCAAACACCCATCTGTTTCACTGCAAATACTAGAATATAGAATATATCCTTTTTTTCTTTAGGCAAACTGATGAGCAAAGATGAATCCAGGCAACCTAAAGATAAAGGTCGTGAGGTTAAAGAGGAAGATACAGAGAATGGTGACAGAAGCCACACTTTATTTAAAAAAAGGATAAAACTGGATATGTTCTGTTCTGATTCAGAGACTGAAGTTATCCAAACCACTAGGAAGCAAAAATCTTTGCCCGTAAAAGGTGAAGATCAGCTAAGTGTGTAAGTTCAAGTAACAGTTTTGGGAGTCACTGTGAGTGCTATCCAAGATGTCCATGGCCAGTAAAGTCCATCAAAGAAAAGCTCAGCAGCACAGGCCATTCTTTATGTTTGGAGCAAGTGAATATCTCAGGCATTCTTTCCCCCAGGCTTCCCTTCCTTTTTTCTGATCATCCTTCTCCCTCACTTGGGAAGGAAGGACTGGCCTTATCAGTTGCTGACATTGACCCTGGCCTTGTCCAGCTAGTGCAGTGGTCAGCCACTTATATTTTGTGTTGTTCCTTCCCAATACCACTGGCACAAAAAATGTTAATAACAATCGTAGTGGCAGCATGGTAATGTCTTTCGTTGGACCAGTTCTGGAAACCTTTCAAGCTAGAAATAACATTTCACATATCTAATGAAATAGTAGAGAACAGCTTGTCAACTTTAGTTCAGCATTTCTTCCTGTATGATTGCATCTTCAGAACTAAAAGCCACGAAGGATTTTGAACACTTGGTCCTAATTCCCTGACTCCTCATTTTTCTGAGGTTCAAGAAGTTAAATTTATGTACGCTTAAAAAAAACAAAAACCCTTAATATTGACAAGTGGGTTAACCTTTAGCCTGCTTTAAAACTCTGTGATAGGAAATTGTCTTCAGAGTATAAATGTTCTAATATGCTACTAAATGCTAATGTTTCTGCCTTGCAAAACTTCCATATAATGTTTGGTAAGAAATTTGCTTTGTCCTTTTGAAATTGTAAAATTTATAGGAAGAATATTTTATAATTCATTGTGCAAGTTGCATAAAGTCCTTTATCCATTTCTCTTTAGAATTCAGAGTTGTCAAAGCTACAGCTGTAACAGTACTCAGACTTACGAAGCTGTCACAAGACCGAAAACTCGAACATCTGTTCTTCAGAAACATCAGCGGCAACGAGTAAAAATTCTACCCTTTTTTTGGCTTCAAGGAGTTCCACCTGCTTTCTCTGTCTATTCTTTTTTCAGCTATCAAAATGATTTGTGGTACAACAAAATCTGTTACTAGCTTGCTACTTCCTTCTCTTTTCCACCATGTAAAATGTGTATTTCTACACCTCAGTGAGATTGTACCCTTGTTTTGTGAGAAGTGAGGGGATGACCTGCCCACTCCTATTACAGTGGTGCCTCGCAAGACGAAAAGAATCCGTTCCGCGAGTCTCTTCGTCTTGCGGGTTTTTTCGTCTTGCGAAGCAAGCCCATTAGAGGTTTAGCGGCTTAGCGCTACAGTATTAGCGGCTTAGCCGGCTTAAAGATCAGCTGATAAGCGGCTTAGCATCAGCTGTTAAGCGGCTTAAAGATCAGCTGATAAGCGGTTTAGCCATCAGCTGATAAGCAGCTTAGCATCAGCTGTTAAGCGGCTTAAAGATCAGCTGATAAGCGGCTTAGCATCAGCTGTTAAGCGGCTTAAAGATCAGCTGATAAGCGGCTTAGCATCAGCTGTTAAGCGGCTTAAAGATCAGCTGATAAGCGGCTTAGCCATCAGCTGATAAGCGGTTTAGCGGCTTGGGAATAGGGTGTTGGTTAGGAAAACAACCCGCAGGAACTCGCAAGACATTTTCGTCTTGCGAAGCAAGCACATAGGAAATTCGTTTTGCGAAGCACCTCCAAAACGGAAAACCCTTTCGTCTAGCGGGTTTTCCGTCTTGCGAGGCATTCGTCTTGCGGGGCACCACTGTATAGGGTGCAGGTAGCCAAGTCTGTGTCGTCCTACAGCTGCTGCTTCTACTCCTCAAGTCACCATAGGCAAAGTGATAAATAGTGTGGATAAAAGCTTTCTTGTTCAGTCTGCCCATTGAAAAGGGGAGTGCAGTGGGCAGAAAATACTATTCTAAAATTTCTATGGACCATGGGAAAGTTGCTACAGTAGACAGTGAATTGTATCCAGCTATGTCAAAGAGTAGACCCTTTGAAATTTACAGTCTACTCTGAGGATGTCTTAGCAAATCTTAGTTGATTACATCACGGTGGCAAAAGAATATTCACAGAATGTTTACGTCTTGCAAGGGGGAGTGGGGAAAGTGATTTCTGTCACATACTTTCTGCACATTGGAGCGTAAATAAAATACCTTTTATTTCCAGACCCTATTTTCAGGTAATCCTGCACTACAATGTGCAAGGCATTGGGCTCTGGAAAGTGGCCATTTTATTCCTCACCATGTCAAGGTAACCTGTTAAAAAAAGAAGGGTAGGCTTTGAGCAAAGAGCAAACGATTGATTATGAACTTTTCTTCTGAGGGAATTGCTGATGCCAGTTCAGATGATGATGGAAGTTCTGTGTGCCAGAAATCATCAAGAAGTAAACTAACTGCTGCAGCCAAGAAAGGAGATGAAAGTAAGTTACTCTAGGTGGGGTCTGACCAAGGCAGAATGCAGTGGCACTTTGACTTCCCTTGATCTGGACCCTGTACTTCTGTTGATGCAGCCTGGAATAGCATTAGCTTTTATTGCTACTGCATCATACTGTTGCCTCATGTTAAGCATGTGGTCTACTAAAACCTCTAATTTTTTTCGCATATTTCCTATATTTGTGCAGCTGGTTATTCCTGCGTAAGTGTAGAACTTTATATTTGTCCCTATGCCTTCTACATTTGTCCCTATTGAAATTCATTTTGTTCATTTTGGCCTAGTTCTCCAATCTGTTGAGGTAATTTTGAATCCTAATTCTATCTTCTGAGGTATTTGCTACCTCTCCTAATTTTGTGTCATCTGCAAATTTGATGAGTATCCCCTCAATTCTTTCATCAAAGTTATTTAAAAAGATGTTGAACACCACCAGGCCTAGGACAGAACCCTGAGGTACCCCAATTGTCAGTTTTTTTCCAGGATGGTGAGGAATCATTGGGTTAGGCCAGTCAACATCCAAACAGCAACTTGTCATTGTACACTGGAGACTTTTAATAACAGCGTGAATGTTTGATATTGAAACTGTTGGACAAGTTTAACTTGATGTTCGCTAATTATACGCTATCCTGAAATGTGTGTTGACAGAATCAAGTCTACAAGAAGAGCTTGGTGAAATGGTGAGCATCGTACAGTCCGAAGGTGGTGCAGACTGCGTTAAAGAGAATCCTCTTTTCAACACCACTTTGAATAGTAAGCCAGCTGTGCAAGATGACAGAGAGATTAAAAAAAAAAGCGATGACCTATTCTGGACTCAAGATATACACAAGAAAAGTTTCAAGAGAGGGAGAAGAGAATCTGCTCATAAAAAGCAAGCAACGGAAGATAGCAAAGCATTCCTAAAGAATAAGGAGAGCCCATGTTTGCTGGATGCAACCAAGGAAGGCAATGTGGGCAGATTTCTTAATGTAAGTAACAGTGGTATGTGTGTCTGGTTTCAAAGCCGGCTATTGTGTTGCAGAAATCTATTCTGAATATGAACCACCTCCCTCCCTTGTAAACGGTGCACATCTGGTCCCCAGGCCCCATTTTTGCTTTTGGCATTACTGGCTGCACCATGCCAGTATCTTTTATGGCCTTGGCTTACTGTTTCCCTACGAGGGAGGGAAATTTGTGGCCCTCCAGATGTTGTTGGACTGCAGTTCTCATCAGCCCCCGCCAGCAAGACCAGTGGTCAGTGATGATGGGAACTGTAGTCCAGCAAAATGTGGAAGGACAAAAGTTCCCCACCCTTCCCTACATTAACAGCTGAGATCCTCGGTCAGCACCATTGTCAGCTTTCCAGTTTGCCTGTGCATCAACCGGCACATGTCCAATCTCATGCCTGGCATTCTGCCTGCAGTTCACAGAGGTCCTCCTTCATACTGTGTGTGGCTGGGTGTTTCACCCTCAAGGCTTAGCTTGCAAGATAGTATGAAATGCTTGTTTCGCTCAGACATAGGAGGCTTGCTGCATTCAAGTTAACTGGGATTCTTTGCTGTGCATGTTTGCAGCTGCTATTCCAACCCTGTCCTGTGCTGGCAGCCCCCTCCATGGAGGCAGAGGTTTGGTCCCTGAGCAATGTTCTTCCCTTTTACTGCCTAGCATCCCAGAGAGAGTGATCCTTTTGCTTTAGCAGTTTGGCATTGAGAAGGGTGCCAGTGTGTCTCCCCTATTTTCAAGCACCCACAGTGCTGTTCTAGCAGGATTGCCCTTGGCTGTCAGATCAAGATTCTTCAGGAACACGGGCAATAAAGCAATGCATAGTCATCTCAATATTATTGTCACAAAATCTTACTCGTTTAAAAGTAGATCCCTGCTCTGCCTCCTGTACTGTTGATGTTAAGTATCTGTTTTGGGATCAAAGGGAAGATCTTGCTGTAAAACAAGAGCACTTTAGAGATTTTTTTTCTAAACTAACATTTGCACAAGAAAGTATATTAATAGCAGAACCTGTCATTTTAATTTTCATTGGTTTGTTCCGTTTACAGCACAGCTGCTCCCCTAATCTCTTTGTACAGAGTGTATTTGTAGAGACCCACAACAGAAATTTCCAGTGGGTGGCATTCTTCACAAACAGGTTTGATGTATTTTATTGCTTTCATCTTCATCCCGCTGAAAGAGCAAAAAAAATGTTTCCAACTGGGGGGGGGGGGAGAGTACAAAACCTAGAACCTGTGCTTTGACGTTGATCTTTACAGCCTAGGTTTCAGCACACACTTTGCTGCCATCCAACCAATACTTTATTTTGCTAGAAAAATACTGTGGCAGAAGTTCTTTTTATAAAGACAAAATGTGTGTCTGTGTGAGATTGTCAGTTGCTGCTTAAGCTATAATGGCACATCTCTGCATGCACCACTATGACAGAAGTGGGTGCTTAACTTACATGACTTCAAGGGGCAAGGAACAGCTCAGTACACTAAACTGATTAATGATTTGTTTCCTTTATCCTGGTTAAGGAAACAAGCCATAATTAAGCCGTAATTGGATTTGCACAAGCCTTGTGTACCTGTAGAAATGGAAAAAGAAACCAAGAAACTGCAATTAATTATAGTTTTCCACTGCATGCAAATCAGGAACTATGGTTTAGCTCACAAAGAAGCCAAAATTCAGATATGAACAAACGATCGTAATGGGAAGCTATGGTTAATTGCAGCTTCTTGGTTTGTTTCCCTGCTTAAAGGGGCTGCAAGTACATAACTAAAAATTCTCCCTCCTCAATTACCTGCTGTCTCTTCAGTTGCATGTTGGGAATGTTGGCTTGCTGATAACTATAATTGTTTTGCGTAGCCAATGTTGAAATTATAATCTCCAATTGCCCAACCCTGCAAAATGAATTGTAGTTTTCACTTGACAGATCTGCAAACTGAGGCTAAAAGATAATGTCCGTACAATTCATGATTTGGCTTTCAGCTCAGGACACAAGAATTTACTGACTTTGTTTTTTAGTTGAAAGACACTTCACTAGACAGTTTCGTGACCATCTTCTTTAGTTTATTATTCACTGTCTTCTGTTTTGTGTTGCTGAAAGTTCCCAATTTGAAATTTGGTAGGGTTTGCTCAGCCCCCAAATCTGGAAGATCCCACATGATAAGTTTGCCATCTCTTGGTCATGCTGAGCCAAGACTCAGTTGGAAGGTACTTCAAAAGAAAAGGCCCCAATTCCTTTAGGTGTCACTATTCCTCGTTTGGTAATCCAGACCTTTCTTTCCCCCTGCTGTTGCTGTGAGGAGAGCGGCGGGGGGGGGGGTGTGAGAACTCGTCTCCATCACCTCACTCGACTTACGGCAGGCTCACAGCAACAGAGAAAGAGGGCACATAGATTTAATCGTCTCCCATTTTGGTCAGGCTGTTTTATGCATAGAAAAGGTCACAGTGGGACCCTCATGGCAAAAGACCTCTGCATGATATCAACTTCTTACCTCCTCAAATGGCATGCATTTTGCTCACGAGGTAAAAGTGACTGATCTTATGTAGAGTGCCTTTCCCTCATCACAAAATAATCCCATTGCAATAGGTGAGTGTGAAGTTGTGCTTGTGGGTAGTTTTACACCCTGTTTTAGCTGTTGAGCATAAAAAATCCAGCTGCCTTTGGTTGCTGTTCTATTCACTGTGTGATATGTTTGCATCCTAGGCATGTAAAGGCTGGAACAGAACTCACATGGGATTATGGCTATGAAGCTGGAAGCATGCCTGAAACAGAGACTACTTGTCAGTGTGGTGCTCATAAGTGCAGGAAAAAAATATTATAGTTTTTTTAGTCTTGTTAGTTGAGGTATTTTCAACGTTTTCCAGACCCAATACCCACTTTGAACCCAAACATATTTTGGGACATACAGTGGTACCTCGGGTTACATACGCTTCAGGTTACAGACTCCGCTAACCCAGAAATATTACCTCGGGTTAAGAACTTTGCTTCAGGATGAGAACAGAAATCATGCTCTGGCGGTGCGGTGGCAGCGGGAGGCCCCATTAGCTGAAGTGGTGCTTCAGGTTAAGAACAGTTTCAGGTTAAGAACGGACCTCCAGAACGAATTAAGTACTTAACCCGAGGTACCACTGTAATTTCTTTTACCATATATTTGCACAGTGGTAGTGCTTCTGTTGCAATCCACCTTGGATCAGGCTGTGACTCACTAGAGGGTCCCGACCCACTAGTTGAAGACTAGTGCATTAGCATAACAATTAGCATTTAAGGTACAGAAGGTATTGTGTTACTGTAGGCCAGTTCACATGAACATGTTTATCAGGTGATAATTGCAGTTGTCTCTTGATAGCTGTTTGACAGTTGAACAGGCTCTTGGACGGTGGACTCCCCCTTCACTTTTTAAGCAGAGGTTGGGTGGCTGTCATGGATGCTTTAGTTGAGATTCCTCCATTGCACAGGGTTGGGCCCTTCCAACTGCACTTGTATGATTCTATGGAGCTTTAGCATGCTAGCACAAATAGAGGCATAATAAGCATCCTGCTTGACAACCACTGACACAATGGTTCATGGGAACTGGCCCGAAACCTCTCTCAGAAAAAGAAATCTGCCTTAATAAAAACAGATTTTGAAGGAGTTGGTCTAATGGGATTTTCATAGAATGAGATAGCTGTATATAAATACCTTTCTCCTCTTCACTATCAAACTTAGCTTCAAGTACCTGGTTATTTGTGAGATACTTTCATAACAAGGTTGGGACTCTTTTCGGCTCAATGGATCAGATCAGCTTTGGCCTCACAGGTAGGCAGGATCTAGATACCTATGCACTTAAGATGTACCTGCTTCTATGATCAAGCCACTATTCTGTTAAAAACTCATTTTTGCTATTTGCTCTCTGGAGGTATCATTTGAATCAGATTTTACTACCACACTTAAGACTTCTAAGGATGTATCTGCTTTGTTTTCATCTAAAGACAACAACAACAACATACATAAATACATACATACAGGTGAACACCAGGTCTAAGGCATGTCTGCAACTGAGTTGGGCCAGGCTTATTCAAGGACAGCCCCATGGAGGATATGCTTTCCACGAAGTCCCGAGCAGCCCCTTGTAAGATTGTGTCAGCATGGATGTTGAAATCCCCTAGGACAACCAAACTAGGTGTCTCCAGGAGAACATCCGCCACAACCTGAAGCAGCTCAGGCAGGGAATCCTTGGTGCAGTGGGGAGGAATCCTGTACTGCCCCTATTGTCCAACTTCCAGAACACGCACTCAGAAAACTGGATCTCCCCAATAGGACGTCTGGTGCAAACTAATGACTTCCTAAAAACCACTGCAACACCTCCCTCCCCACCCATAAGACCTAGGTTGCTGTGCGTAAGAGAAACCTGGTGGACAAGCAGCGGCAAGAACCGGCCCATCTGCTTCATCCAACCAAATCTCTCTTACACATGCCAGGTCAAGTCCTCCATCCACGATCAAGTCATGGATGACAGCCGTCATGTGAGTCATTGACCTGGCATTGCACAACAGCTCCTTAAGGTCGTGTGGGTCTCCCTTGTTGATTCCAGTATCCTTCTAGTCAGGATCAGACCCAGAGGCAGAGATAGCCTTCAAACAACGACTCAACCTGCCTCCTCGGGAATGACGTGGTCTGGTCTTAGCGTAACTCCTCCTCCTGCCTCTGATCACTGAGATTGGGTGTCCCAGTGCATTTGCCCCTGTTGGCTGGGGCCCACTCCCAGGCAGCATTGACCATCTCCCCTTAAGAACAATTTATAAACAATACAATAACCAAAAAAACCGTGGGGGGGGGAAATAAAATTATACCTAAACTAAACCGGAGCTGGATCCTCTTCAAAAGAAGGATTCTGGTTTTTCTGTGGTGTAGTGGTTAAGAGCGGTAGTCACGTAATCTGGGGAACCGGGTTCGTGTCTCCGCTCCTCCACATGCAGCTGCTGGGTGACCTTGGGCCAGTCACGCTTCTCTGAAGTCTCTCAGCCCCACTCACCTCACAGAGTGTTTGTTGTGGGGGAGGAAGGGAAAGGAGAATGTTAGCCGCTTTGAGACTCCTGAAGGGGAGTGAAAGGCGGGATATCAAATCCAAACTCTTCTTCTTCTTCTTCCCAATTGCAAACATCCGCGCTTGTAAACGGCGCATGTTGCATAGTAAAAGTGCGTGGAGGCTGGTTGCCCTTGGCGTTAAGCAGCTCCAAGGGGTCATACACCCGGCGGAGCGGGGCCATCAGATTGGACCAGGCAGGGGTATGGAGCCTTTGGGTTTTTTACCCCGAAAAAAAATACCCTTTTGTACTGCCTTTTTGTCCACTTCACCTCTTTTTCTAAGTCCTTCTAAATTCTTCAATCCCAGCAACATTTTCCTCCTTGCTTTCCTCCTCATCCTCATCCTCTCTCTCTCCTTTGAAGTACGTTAACAAGGTAACACAGGTGATAATTGCAGAAGATTGCAGGTGATACTCTGGCATCTAAAATCATTCACACAAACAGAAAGCTTAAAAGCACAAAAAACATGTACCAGATGCTGGCTTTGCTCAAGGTTAAATGTGATTATAGCATGTTGTTGTTGTTTAGTCGTGTCCGAGTCTTCATGACCCCATGGACAAAAGCACACCAGGCACTTCTGTCTTCCACTGCCTCCCGCAGTTTGGTCAAAGATTATAGCATATACACACACAAATTGCAGGCAGAAATTAAATAACAAAAGAATGAGATCCTCTCGGAAGGTAGTATACTACTGTGATTATCCTACCTTTGCTTCTAAGATATGCTTGTTTTAAATTCTTTCTGCAGAATATTCACTGTGAAAGGGCTGCACTTGAAAGTTGATTGACTTTTTTTCTGACAGTTTCCCCCTATTATTTATCTGCAAGTAATTTTAATCTTGATATACATATTCACGTACTTAATTGACTTAGGACAGTGGTTCAGCTAAAATTAGGGCACTACAGTAGGTTAAGTGCTACCTGCTGTATGGCTGAATTTTCTTATAAGAAAACATCTGATAACAGTTTGAAAGGGTATTCCTATTAAACAGGAGGAATAAGCAACTAATGCTGACTTTTAGATAAGTGACATCAGAACTCAAAGAAACAGCAAAGAAAGAGCACACACTGTATTCAGAATGTTTAAGAACCCACAGTAGACACTGACTTGATGACCATGCTGGGTAAGTATAAACTCATTTCTGCATCTGAATGGCATACAGAAGGAGACAGAGTGCAACTCAACTTCTAACACCAACTATTTGCATATCTATTTAATTAGATTAATTAATCTTAATTAAGATTCCCGGCCAACGCACCAAGAAATGTAGCCTTATTAGTCCCAGAACAGGGAGGAAGGAGTCAAATGACACTGAGGTTTGGTTCAGAGAAAGAGTTTATTCTGCACTCCAGATAGCAGAAGGCATATATATATATATATATCTTGAAGTGTCTCAGTTGGAGTTGGAGAAAAGGACTCATAGCTGCTCACCTGGGAACAAAGGCTGCACCCAGAAGTATCCCCAAAGCATAATCCTGCTCCTTAAAGGATTCTGTCAAGAGAAGAAAATAGGCATTTTTGCAGATAATGTGTCCTTAGACATTTGTTCATTGTCATTCACTTTCCCTACTTGGGAACCAGACATTGGTTGGCTCACCCAGCTCTGATGAAAAGGCTAGAGCTGAATGGTATCAGCATGGGGATGGCACTCCAGTCCACAATACCAGACACCCTCAGAGACACATTGAACTTTGAAGGACAACTTCTATGGGGTGAGGCAACAATCCTGTCTTCTGGAACCTGACAGAAGAATTCCAGGGCTTGCAGAATGAATGGCCACCAAGAAACCAAAGCTTTGCTCCTGTCCCTCCTCAAAATCGACCACCTAGTAACAAACCCTTATTTGTTCAAACAAATCCAAGAGAATATGTGACAGGGAATTTGTTAGGGGTCTGTTGGCCCGGGCCCTCCAAGGAATGCCAAGCAGGCAGTGAAGTCAGGCCTTAATACTAGTGTATGCTGGAAAGTCAGCAGAGAACTGATGTCAACAGTACTCTTGCACATTTCTGTGCTCCATGTGTGTCTGCCATTAGCCAATTCTATGGTTACTCTGTAGGAGTTGCAACCCACTGGCAAATCTAAGCCAATTGGGAAAGCGCATGTGCTGGGGGTTTTCCAACTCCATTCTTCCCAACTTCTGCCTAAGTGTAGCCGCCTGCAATGTTGACTCCTTGACGCTCCTACTAACTTGGGAATCGCCCTTCTCGGCTGCTGCTCCCATTCTGCTAGGCGCCCCCGCCGGTACTCGGGCGGCTGAAACGGCGACGCAGCGACCTCTGGCGGGCGCGGCGGAAAGACCCTCCAGCCAAGCCTCGAGGTTGCGGCGGAGAGGGAGGCGGGCTCTGGGCTCCGTGCGCGCGCAGCGGAAACGTCCTCCGCCGGTGACGTCACCCGGACCTTGCGGAAAAGGCGCTGCGGGAGTCGCCGCCGCCGCCGCCGCCGCCGGGGCGCTGCAGAAGGGTGAGTGGCGAGGGCGGGACGGGGCCGGCCGCGCGCTCCTTTCCTCGGCTGCCCTCGTCGCGCGCCTTGGCTCCCGAGGCCGCGCCTCCCCGGGCGGGCGGGAAGGCTGCGGGTGCGCGAGGGAGGAGGGCGGCCCCCGGGGGCCGGGAGGGCCGGGCTGCCGTGGCCGGGAGGGCTGCTGTGCCGGGCGCCGCTGAGGAACAAAGGCGGGGAGCGGGGAGCCCAGGCAAGCGCAGGGAGCCGCTGCCTGTGGGAAAGAGCCCTCGAGGCGACGAGCGCCTTCTGCTGCCCCCTCGCCCTGGGGGCCCTTCTCCCGAGGCACCCTTCTGGGCCAGTCAGAGGCGACCGGGTGCCCGCCTCACGGAGGATTGGGGTGGTGCTCCCTGCCTTACGTGGCCATGGGCTGCCTGCTTCTTAAAAAGCCGACACTGGATCCATCGGTTTCCAATAAGCACCAAGGGGTGGGTGGGGTGGGGTGGGGTGGAGAGGGTTGTAGCAAAACTAGTTCAAGTGTTCCTGGGTGACCTGGTTATCTGGCTCCCTTTCAGTCTGGATTCAGGCCTGGTTTTGAAACTGAATCATTCCTGGTCACTCTGATGGATTGGGGGGGGGTTAGAGAGAGAATAACCTTTTTCTCTTGATCTCAGTGACTTTTGATACCAGTGATCTTGCTGGATCAGCTGTGTGGGATTTGTATTGGAGGCAGGGTATTCCAATGACGCCATTCCTACCTGCACAGTTGAGTTCCCAAGATTGGCATTGAAGGGTTGCTCCTTGACCCCATAGTAAATGTGTTACGGTGTTTTGCAGAGCACCACATTGTCCCCAAAGCTGTTAAAACATGTGCAGTATATGCAGCTGTTAAGGGCAGTCATTGGAAATTGTGGAGCATCTTGTGGGGGCTTGTAGAAAGATAGTTAAAAATGGCCAACTATCCCTCAAACATCTAGCCTTGAATGCTTTGTATCTTATGTCTTCATTATATATATATATATTTATTTATATTTTTAAGAGGGTGAAATTATATTTATTGAGTCCAACTTCAACAGCTTCTCTAACTTTCTTCTGTGGTCATAAAAAAATGGACTTGTACAATCATGGGTGGTACAAAAAAACTAAATAAAATTATCTTTAAAAGCATTAAGCGAACCAACCAGCACACATACCACAGCCCCAAGACTAAATGCCTTTCCATTCAATTGTTGTATTTCCACTTTATAGAATCTTCATGGTCTTTGCCTTAACAAAAAAAAAGTTGAGTTGACATTATCTAGAATAATTTTTGTAGCTTACTGAACTGAAGCTTATTTTAACTTTTAGCTAATCTCAATACAGCAGTCTTTTTAGCACCTGCAATCAAACTCAAAACTCCTATGTGAAAGTGTAACAAATACTTTACTTTGTATTGTTACGTTATCATTAATTGCCACAACTGTAAACTAATACCATATAGTCCTGCACAAGGATGAGAATTTGGAGACATATAATTCAAGTGTTCAGCTGTTGACAGAGCTGCAAACCATGGTTTTTCATGTTAATTTTTAACCAGGCTTTTTAGAATCTGTATTAACACAAGATGGAACAATGTTTTTCAAAAAAGCAGGAAAACATAGTTCAATTAATGTTTTTACCACATGATTTACAGTCCCCATCCTTACAAATGTGCAGCGTTCTCCTTTCCATTTCTGAAAGTCGAAGACTTCTGTATTCATCCCATTTACAAAGAGCACCATCATTTTCTGCTTCCATTGCAAAGAAAAACAAGGTTCTGGACAGCTGCAACTGTAGAATTTTCATTTTGTCCGGTGACAAGGTGTCTGTCCAATACAACATGCACTGCATCTGCTTTGCTGGTGCTATAGATAGCTCCAGAATCTTTTGCAAAGTCCTCAAAGATAATAGGCAAACTGGCAAAACTAGGCAGTCTTATTAGTTCATACACACAGGGACCTGTTAAGCTGTATTCCTGAAATACCCAGGATTTGTCCTCATTTGTGGCACAGTATAAGGCGGCAGCTCCATGTCCAACAGCACATATGGGTTTGTTTTCAGAGCTGAAATGCTGCAATATTCTAGCTAAGTAACCACTGTTTGCCAGATCCACTATGGCACCAGGACAGTCTGGAATCAACAAAGCATGGTATCTGGCACCATCAGTTGATTCCAGCTTGGCAGGATTTGCGTAAGATTTCATTCGGAAGTCCTGGATCCAACGCATGTTTGCCTCATTAACACCAGTGAAATCAATTGACTTGCCCCCTGGAGTAGCAACCTGTAGATTAAAAGCAGAGCTTGCCAGGGTAAAAGAGTGAAGGAAGGAATCAGCAGATACCCCTGCTGCGGCCGCGCTGGCCGCTATGAGGCACATTGGCTTGCTGAACCTCTCCGACATGGTGGCGGCGGCCGCGGAGCCTCCCTGCGGGAAAGAGGAAGCAGGCGGCGGCCGCCTTCTCATGCGCTCCCGGGCCAACGGAGGGGGAAAGCCTAGCAGCGCCTGGCATGTCTTCATTATATGAATTAATATCTGAGTGCTTTGATTTTTGTTTTGTTGCAGTTTATTTTGTATCTTGTTTATAAATGAAAAATCAGAAACAAAACACAGTGAGTCTTCCTTCAACATTCCTGAAGGTCTTCATCTGTGGAATGTTCCTTTCTTGCCTACCTTTCCCCCTAAGTCAGATGTATATATTTAAGATCTATTAGTGTATTTATAACTATTTTGAACTGTATTCAGATGCTCAGTGGTTGCAGTTATGATTGTTATTTGTAGTTCTGTTTTTTCTTCTAAAAACTTTAGCATTGCTTTTTAAAATATTAAGTAAATGCCTTTAAATAAAATGTAAAATACATCATGTAGACTGTCTCCTTCATTGGCTAGAATCCATAGTAGCACCTATAAGTAGACTTCTGCTCAGGGAATAATTTCACCAGCAGAAGGGAGAGAGAGATGACGACTGCTGATTTCCTTCCCCCTGCAGTGTCTTGTACCCAGAATCAGCTCTGGAGAGTTGGGAGACATCAGCGAAATCTCTTCCCTTTTGCCAGTGGATCCCTCCACTGGATTAAAGACCTCTAGTTCCATTACATTTGGGGAGCAAAGTAAGACTTTTTAAAGAAGTTCACTGATAACATTGAGGATATTCCAGTTATATGCATCTAGAGTTCAGGGATGGTGTCTGTGTTGTGCTAATCTTTAAAATCCTTTTCTAAGGTGACTTTGCTAAGCTAACTTGGATAATGGCAAAGATGGTAAGAAGACAGTGTGCATTTTGCCCAGATGATGAAGAATGTGCCATTATGTATGTTGCTGAAGGACAGAACCTTGCAGTTCATCAGGATTGTTTGGTGAGGATTAATTCATTTTTCTTTTTACACAAAACCCAAAAAGGGTTCTCTAATTATTGTTACTAATAAATTTCAGCAATAGCTTTTCTCTAATAAACACATCAACTACAATAACTTCCACAACCATTCCTCCCTATTAAACAATAATTATTTCCATCTTTTTCCACACAAGAGTCTGCCCCTATGATCATATATTAAAATAACAGTTCATACTGTTTTTTTATTATGTATTTGTAAATTCACACCCAGTTCCATATCCTCCCATCCCATTTCCTGTTGTATTTGCCATGGTTTTCCATCCTGATTTTTAAATAAACATCTTCTTAAAGCCAGAAAGTAGCTCACATACCAGACAGAGAAACCTCTCTAAGACATAAATTATAACCGTCTCAGAGAGATTGGAGAACAGGAGGCTTTTGCCGACCCTATGCCCATTAGGGCTCTCATGTGGCTTTGGGGCAAGATGTTGATTCCTCTGCTCTTAAGTTGCTCACCCCCATTCAGGTTCCAAGGAGCTTCTCGGTCTCCCAACTTTTAGTAAACAACTTTTTCAGAGCATCAGAGGTTAATTCCCTGTCAGAGTGAATTCAATAGCCAAAATGTATGTCTGGCTATCAATCACCATGCAGCCATCTCTGTTGGCAACCTGCCAACAGAAGACATTGAGTCCGCCTTGTTCCCTCCCTGGAAGTCTCCCTTCCCAGCTGCATCTGCTGTTCTTAAAGCCATGGATGGCCTGGGTGAGGCTGTTGCTCAGCTGGACTTGATTATTATTATTATTAATTAAATTTGCATACCACTCTTCATCCATAGATCTCGGGGTCTAGGATACATCTGGTATAGGATGTGGAAGGCTCATCTTTTTTTATAGTGTTAGTAAGGCAGTTTCTATGCCACATTCAATCCTGAATCCCAGCTGAAATGGATCCAGGAAACCAGTTTCATACAAGAGTGCCTGCCTCTAGTCAGATCTGTTGTTGGACTACAACTCCTTGACCACTGCCACTGGTCATGTTAGCTGGAATTGATGGAAATTGGTACTCCAAAACATTTTGAGGGCATAAGGCTGGGGAAGGCTGTTGCATACCAATGCATTCTCTTTCTATGGTTCTCTTTCTATAGAATACTACCTGTGGGACAAATGACAAAATAGCAGAGGAGCTTAGTTGTAATATAAAGATTGGTCTCATAGTTAAACTAGATGGCATAACTAAATTACCAGCTCTGTTGCCACTTCAATAGTAATTTTAACTGCTTTAAAATTCTGTAGATATTTAGTGACAATTTCTGTCACAATTGCACCTATTATTATTATTATTGTTGTTGTTATTATTATTAATAATATCCTGCCCATCTGGCTGGGCTTCCCCTAGTCACTTTGGGCGGCTTCTAACACTTATAAAAGCCAAGTATAATGGGGGATGACCACCTCCCCTGTCTTTGCTCCTTTGCTTACTACCGGTTCCTGCATTGTCAGTGATTGGACTAGCTGACCTTTGGGTCCCTTCCAAATTTGGAATTCTATGATTCCACCATTGCTCTTGAACTGAGGAGGCTCTTGAAAAATGTCACTCTTGTTCTGTGGCATGCGTGCCTGTTTGTGTGTGCATGCAGAGTTCACCTTTTGTTCTATTTATCACCTAGTAACACAAAGAGGGCCCTTGGGGTCACCAGATGTTGCCAGTGGAGACTGACAAGTGTTGGGAAATAAGGTGTGCAGATGGGGAACCAAATAATGCAATTGCAACTTGGTACTGCTTTCTAATATTTGGCTACTTCATTGTAGCAATGACTGTCTTCAAGTGTACTATATATACTATGGTTCTTTCCTACCTACATTGCATGGTAGAGGGAGGTGAGATGAAGAGAAAGCTTCCTTTGTGAGCTGGGTTGACTATCTTATCCTATTTCAGTGCATCCCTTATTCAGTTTAAATACAGGGTTCTTGAACAGCGCCCTGTCTTCTAGGAGACTGGAACAGCAAGGGGTGGTATGCTCAACCTGGAAAAGTGGTAGTTAAAATAAAATCCAAGTACCGTATTTTTTGCTCTATAAGACTCACTTTTTCCCTCCTAAAAAGTAAGGGGAAATGTGTGTGCGTCTTATGGAGCCAATGCAGGCTGCGCAGCTATTCCAGAAGCCAGAACAGCAAGAGGGATCGCTGCTTTCGCTGCGCAGGGATCCCTCTTGCCGTTCTGGCTTCTGAGATTCAGAATATTTTTTTCTTGTTTTCGTCCTCCAAAAACTAGGTGCGTCTTGTGGTCTGGTGCGTCTTATAGAGCGAAAAATACGGTATATACATTATTTTGAATGGTTCTTAATTGCAGATAAGTTGCAGATAACCATGCAAAAGAAACTAACATTGTGCAAATCTATGAGAGAACACTTAAATCAAATCTCTTCCCAACTGTTGCTGCTGTTCCTTATTGCTTCATTGTAGTATCTCCTGGTTTGATTTTTACTTCCTTTTAATTTATGTTTTTATTTTTAGCTATATTCCTCTGGATTCGTGGAATCTGAAGAACATAACCCTGAGAATCTCGATATAAGGTTTGATGTGGCTTCAGTAACGAGTGAAATAAAAAGAGGAAAGAGGCTGGTGAGACCTTTTACATTTTTATGTGTATAAAAGCAGACTATGCAGAATTAGTTCAGAATTATTTCTTTTGATGCTAAGGTCAGAGTTACTTAGTTAAGAGGCATATACTGGCAAGTATTCTGAGAAAAGAACACTTTAACACAGGGTCAGCAAACATTTTCAGCAGAGGGCCAGTCCACTATCCCTCAGACCTTGTGGGCGGCCGGATTATATTTTTTGGGGGGAAATGAACAAACTCCTATGCCCCACAAATAACCCAGAGATGCATTTTAAATAAAAGGACACATTCTACTCATGTAAATACATGCTGATTCCCAGATAGTTCTCGGGCTGGATTTAGAAGGCGATTGGGCCAGATCCAGCCCCCGGGCCTTAGTTTGCCTACCCATACTTTAACATAATGCTCCTCAAAAAAACCAACCCTGCCATTGTAATAGCAATGAAAGACTTGCTTTGTTTGGCAATCACTCTTCCTCAACAGATTTCTCCAAAATGAAGGGAGAAGCAATAGTCTTGGCTAAATGTCTGGCTTTTCCCCTCAAAGCATCCCTTGTGCACTCTTAAGAACTGTACATAAAATGCCATCAAAGGGATAAAAAATGTTAGCGCCAATTTGAAGTCTGAATTCTTACCATCATCAGATATACATCCTATTGTATATAAGGTAACTGTAGTCTTGATTGCAAATTACATTACCCAGTGCTTTTCTACTAGAAATGTAATAGCTGCTGGCACCTGTCTGTCTCGAAGTGACCTTCCCAGAGCACATGCCTGGGCAGTGTATCTGAAGGTCCTGGGCTGCTCAGATAACAAATCCCCTGTGCCTCTCAATCTCGTTGATGGGGTCCAAAGAAAAGCAGAGGCAAACAAGGCACCATCCAACTGTCTTAGGGACTACACTCCAGATTTGTGTAGGGTTTACTATTCCTTAGATTTTTCTTCTCCCGAAGGTATCCTACAAGGGCAGCAGAAGGCTCCTTCTACTTGATGGGCTCCCTTCCCAGGTTGATGAGCCCCATCTGCCCCTCACTTCCCTCAACAGCACATGCAGAAAACTGCCTTCTTAACCATTGGACCCACTCTTGGTCTTGTCCGCTCAATCGGTTGGAGCCTCTCTTTGCATGCAAGGAAAGTCCTTAATCCACTAAAGGTCTGAGACCCATTGGCTCCATACACCTGGTTTAGCCACCCAGTCAAAGCCATTTCCTGGCCTGGGGCTACTGTCACATGCTGACAGCTTCTAAGAGGTGAGAGCTGAGGGCAGGGTGAGGATCAGAGGTGGACAAACTGTCTCAGAAGGAGCGGGACGTGTCTCCCACCAGAGGTACTACCCCACTCATAGCACCCCACAAATGGAATATATGGGATGTTATCAATAGACAATTTAATAATTATTTCATTGAAATAATTGTATGGAGATGCCATGAAGGCTGTGACCACATATTTTTAAATTAAAGAATATAAATGCAAAGAAGTGTGGGGTAGAGGCCCAGGCTAGCCAAACCATTCGCTAGATAGAAGCAAAGCATTTCTCGTAACCAAATAATTTAAAAAATGTTTCTTTAGTTAAAATTGCAACAGAGAGTTAGTAATGATTAGACAAAGTTAGACTGCAATTTTAACCCCTGTCCTGGCTGTAAGTTGCATTGAATTCAGGTAGGACTTACTTATGAGTAGCCATGCCAAAGACTGTGGTTTAAAAATTTTGGTTCACTGAAAGCTAAGATTGCTAACATCAGAACCAACCTGATATGGTACAGTTTGTTTAGACTCAAAAACCCATTTTTTGCAGATATGCAATTTCTGTCGCAAGAAAGGAGCCACTGTGGGCTGTGAGATAAAAAACTGTCGCAGAAGTTACCATTATTTCTGTGCTTTGTGTGATGATGCTGCAATAGAAACGGATGAAATTCAAGGCATTTACCGGTATTTAACAAATTCTTTTCTAAAATTTGTTGCATTTTGAGAATTTTCTTCCATTTATCTTTTACTTTGACACCATTATTGGGGTGGTTGGTACTGTCTTTGCCTGTTGGTGGCACCCGTCTGTCTGGGGAGACAATGCAGGGGTGTTCCTTTGCGGGTGAAGTCAAATTGCTGGAAGATCACAGCACCTGCTGTGGCACCTAATGGCCAGATAATAGACCAGGGGCCGACAAGGTTTACCTCGCCTGGGCCGGTTCACTCCAGCGGAGATCCCTACGTGGACCGGATCGCATTCACACCCGATTTCCGGCATCTGCGCAGACACGATTTCCAGCGTTGGTGTCCGCACAGATGCGATTTCCGGCACCGCGGAAGTGAGTCCCCGTGCGCCGGTTTAGTGCAGCACGTGGGGACTCACTGAGCAGGCAGCTCAGTTCAGAGACGGCTTGTGGGCTGGTTAAACGACCCCCGTGGGCCACTTGTGGCCCATGGGCCTTAGGTTGCCGACCCCTGTAATAGACTATTCAGTCAGTCCCTCTGCTGGCTGAAAGCTTCCATAAGTGAAAGGTTTTTCAAAATTCCCCTTTTGTCCTGCACTTCCATCCACTGCTCCAAAGCACCCCCTAATCCTCTCGAGCAGGTTTGGGGAGACCCAGCAGAGTTGCAGAAATAAGGGGAAGGTAGGAAAACTGGCCCTCTTTCTTTTCACAGAAGCTTCCTCTGCAGTCCAAAAGCCTTTCATTAGTGAAAAACACCACCCAATATCTGAATCTAAACAATCCTGAGAACCAGCAAAATAAACTTTTTTATCCCCCAGAATTGGACGTGGGGTTATTCATGATATGCCCGCTTTTATAAGTTGCTCACCTTGGCTGTCAAATCCACCTACAAGGTAGCAGAATTGAGCACTTGCCTTGCTGTGGCGAAGGGGCTTGAATAACTCAGAGAAGCTATGAACTATGCCATGCAGGGCACCCAAGATGGACAGGTCATAGTGGAGAGTTTTAACCAAACGTGATCCACCTGGAGCAGGAACCGGCAAGCCACTCCAGTATCCCTGCCAAGAAAACTCCATGGACAAAGACAACAGGCATATAAAAGTTATGATGCTGGAAGATGAGCCCCTCAGGTCGGAAGGCGTCCAACATGCTACTGAGGAAGAGCGAAGGACGAGTACAAGTAGATTCAGAGCTGATGAAGCGGCTGGGCCAAAGTCGAAAGGTAGCTCAGTTGCCTGGAAGCGAAAGGAAAGTCCAATGCTGTACTGAAAAATATTGCATAGGAACCTGGAATGTAAGAACCATGAACCTGGGTAAGTTGGATGTGGTCAAAAATGAGATCGCAAGACTAAATATTGACATTCTGGGCATCAGTGAACTAAAATGGACGGGAAGGGGCGAATTCAGTTCGGATGACCATCATATCTACTACTGTGGGCAAGAATCCCGTAAAAGAAATGGAGTGGCCCTCATAGTCAACAAAAGAGTGGCGAAAGCTGTACTGGGATGCAATCTCAAAAATGATATCATGATCTCAATACGAATCCAAGGCAGACCTTTTAACATCACAGTAATCCAAGTTTATGCACCAACCACTGGTGCTGAAGAAACTGAAATTGACCAATTCTATGAAGACTTACAACACCTTATAGAAATGACACCAGAGAAGGATGTTCTTCTCATTATAGGGATTGGAATGCTAAAGTAGGGAGTCAAGAGATAAAAGGAACAACTGGCAAGTTTGGCCTTGGAGTTCAAAACGAAGCAGGGCAAAGGCTAATAGAGTTCTGCCAAGAGAACAAGCTGGTCATCACAAACACTCTTTTCCAACAACACAAGAGACGACTCTACACATGGACATCACCAGATGGGCAGCATCAAAATCAGATTGATTATTTTCTCTGCAGCCAAGGATGGAGAAGCTCTATACAGTCAGCAAAAACAAGACCTGGAGCGGACTGTGGCTCAGATCATCAGCTTCTTATAGCAAAATTCAAGCTTAAACTGAAGAAAGTAGGAAAAACCACTGGGCCGGTAAGATACAATCTAAGTCAAATCCCTTATGAATACACAGTGGAAGTGAGGAACAGGTTTATGGATTTAGATTTGGTGGACAGAGTTCCTGAAGAACTATGGATGGAGGCTTGCAACATTATACAGGAGGCAGCAACGAAAACCATCCCAATGAAAAGGAAATGCAAGAAAGCAAAGTAGCTGTCCAACGAGGCCTTACAAATAGCGGGGGAGAGAAGGCAAGCAAAATGCGAGGGAGATAGTGAAAGATAGAGGAAATTGAATGCAGATTTCCAAAAGATAGCAAGGAGAGACAAGAAGGCCTTCTTAAATGAGTAATGCAAAGAAATAGAGGAAAACAACAGAATGGGAAGATCTGTTCAAGAAAATTGGAGATATGAAAGGGACATTTCGTACAAAGATTACCATAATAAAGGACAAAAGTGGTAAGGACCTAACAGAAGCAGAAGACATGAAGAAGAGGTGGCAAGAATACACAGAGGAATTATACCAGAAAGATATGGATGGCTCGTACACCCCAGTTAGTGTGGTTGCTGACCTTGAGCCAGACATCCTGGAGAGTGAAATCAAATGGGCCTTAGAAAGCACTGCAAATAACAAGGCCAGTGGAAGTAATGGTATTCCAGCTGAACTATTTAAAATTTTAAAAGATGATGCTGTTAAGGTGCTACACTCAATATGCCAGCAAGTTTGGAAAAAGCAGCAGTGGCCAGAGGATTGGAGAAGATCAGTCTACATCCCAATCCCAAAGAAGGGCAGTGCCAAAGAATGCTCCAACTACCGCACAATTGCACTCATTTCACACGCTAGCAAGGTTATGCTTAAAATTCTACAAGGAAGGCTCAAGCAGTATGTGGACCGAGAACTCCCAGAAGTGCAAGCTGGATTTAGAAGAGGCAGAGGAACCAGAGACCAAATTGCAAACATGCGCTGGTTTATGGATAAAGCTAGAGAGTTCCAGAAAGGCATCTGCTGCTTCATTGACTATGCAAAAGCCTTTGACTGTGTCGACCACAGCAAACTATGGCAAGTTCTCAAAGAAATGGGAGTGCCTGATCACCTCATCTGTCTCCTGAGAAATCTCTATGTGGGACAAGAAGCTACAGTTAGAACTGCATATGGAACAACTGATTGGTTCAAAATTGGGAAAGGAGTACGGCAAGGCTGTATATTGTCTCCCTGCTTATTTAACTTATATGCAGAATTCATCATGCGAAAGGCTGGGCTGGATGAATCCCAAGCCGGAATTAAGATTGCCGGAAGAAATATCAACAACCTCAGATATGCGGAAGACACAACCTTGATGGCAGAAAGTGAGGAGGAATTAAAGAACCTTTTAATGAGGGTGAAAGAGGAGAGCGCAAAATATGGTTTGAAGCTCAACATCAAAAAAGCGAAGATCATGGCCACTGGTCCCATCACCTCCTGGCAAATAGAAGGGGAAGAAATGGAGGCAGTGAGAGATTTTACTTTCTTGGGCTCCATGATCACTGCAGATGGTGACAACAGTTGCGAAATGAAAAGACACCTGCTTCTTGGGAGAAAAACAATGACAAAGCTAGACAGCATCTTAAAAAGCAGAGACATCACCTTGCCAACAAAGGTCCGTATAGTTAAAGCTATGGTTTTCCCAGTAGTGATGTATGGAAGTGAGAGCTGTACCATAAAGAAGGCTGATCGCCGAAGAATTGATGCTTTTGAATTATGGTGCTGGAGGAGAGTCTTGAGAGTCCCATGGACTGCAAGAAGATCAAACCTATCCCTTCTTAAGGAAATCAGCCCTGAGTGCTCACTGGAAGGACAGATCCTGAAGCTGAGACTCCAATACTTTGGCCACCTCATGAGAAGAGAAGACTCCCTGGAAAAGACCCTGATGTTGGGAAAGATCGCACAAGGAGAAGGGGACGACAGAAGACAAGATGGTTGGATAGTGTTCTTGAAGCTACCAGCATGAGTTTGACCAAACTGTGGGAGGCAGTGGAAGACAGGAGTGCCTGGCGTGCTCTGGTCCATGGGGTCACAAAGAGTCGGACACGACTAAACAACAACAACATGAACTTGGAGATATTGAAGAGTCAACAAAAGTGATTCATTTAGGTTGCCATCCTAAGGCTGCTTATGTCTTGTGTTGGATTTCGTGGGAAACATGCTGAATAAATTCTAAGGGAGTGCCAGGGAAAAACCCAAGCTATTCATTTTAAATAATTTTGATTAGCTGGCTTGATAGACAGAGATGTGAGCCTTTGTAATTTGAAGTGCAGGAACTTTTGTCATGAGAACGTGGAGGCTCTTGTGAATAGTCATAAGAATTCAGATATTGGGATGTCCTCTGTTGTTTTGAAGTCACTGGGACACTGGCATGATGGAGGGGCCAGAGGCAATTGAGCTACCAGGGAACAGCTGTTTTCAGGTGGTAACCAAGTTATCTCTTTTCACCTTCTAAATTGTGAAGGGCTTCTTGTCTGGCAGAATTGAAATTTATAGCTAGAGAGAGCTAATTTGAATGGAATTTTACAGACCTGACTAGTTTTGCTTTCTACAATAGTTTGTTTGTTTTGTTTTATTTAAAGCATCCCAGAATGGCTACAAGCGTACAAGCTAAAAGACACAACACAGAAAGGAGAAGGGATTGAGAGAGAGGAGGAAAAAAGTGAACCTAGCTACTAGTGCTTGATTACAGAGTTCTTCCTGTGTCCAGACGGAATGGCAATGGCTCAAAGAGGAGGAGCCAGAGGTTGCTTGGGCCTCAGCTGAGCAGATGGAGTGGCCCTGCTCCCCATCTCTCCCTCTGCTGCAGCCTGATGCAGTGACTGTTGCTAGATGCAGTTGGCGGGGGGATGCTTAATGGAGCTGGATTCTCAGTAGAACTGACAGCCTGACCAGCCAACTTAATTTTCATAATTTATTTTTTCATTGCCTAGCAAAAAGTAGTTTAAAAACTTGCTCAGTTCTTAGAATTAATTTTGATATTACCTGCCAGCAAATTGAAGTTTCCCCTGAAATTGCCTTGGAGACAGGTTAATTAGACACCTGCATTTGTTTCCCACCTCAGAGTCATCTAAAACTTAGTGTGACATCAGCTTAGACAACTGGGAGAGAACACCAAGATCCCCTGAGCCAGAAGAACCTAGTCTCTCCTTCGCACCCCCACCACCAATTTATTAAATTTATTTGCACTAAGAAAGTCCCTGGAGTCCATTCTGCTTGCCTGCTGTGCTGTCCAAACTGCTGTAAACAACACAGCTAGCAAGCATCACTATATATGGGGAGGGGGATTAAAGTTCCATAGAAAAGCATTCAGTGGAGCCCCCCTCCTTTTGCTTTTTTTTTCTTGAAAGTTAACATAGCCAGCCAGGGCACCTTAGTTAACCTAGAATGGGGCAGGGCTGATCAGGGCCCCCTCCCAGTCGAGTTATGCCATCTGGAGTGAACAGAAAGTGGAAAGGAAATGATGCATTCACTCCCTTTTGATCATGTTTTAACCACAGTTAGTCACCCCCATCCAAGCTGCTCTTCCTCTGTCCTGCTTCTTCCCCCTTCCTTCCTCCTCCCCCTCCTCTTTTCAACTGTTATTTCTCCCATTCCAGTCCTCCTCTCTGCTTTTGTTTTTTATCTTTAACATCTTGAAGGTCTTCCTACCTGCTTCCAAGAATCCTTTGTTCATCACAGCCAATCAGGAAGTTTGAGGGGCTTTTGCCTGTCTGCTTGGCTTAACACAGGCACACACAAAGTGAGGTGGGCTTGGGAAGGGGGCTCTTCTGCTGTCTCAGCACAGGCTTGGGAACCTTCATTGAGCGAGTAAAAGGACTTCAGTGTATGGGACCAAGAGTTGCAAATGCTTCACATTCTCCCTCTTTTCTTTAAAAAACAAGGGTAATTGAAATGCACAGCCATCAGAGCGTCATGACCTTAAAATAGTAACGTATATCTTTAGTCATAGTTTTACCTGAAATGTAATACTGAGGAAGTAATGTTATAACAAAAACAAACCAGGCTGCTGTTGCAAAGAAATTACCCAGTTGAGTCTGATAAATGCAGCAAGCTCAGGAGATAGACTGAGCACACGGAGGTAGGAAGAGGGTCCATGAGATGTTAAAATAGTTTTTAAACTTAAAAGTTTTAATCATCAGTTTTAATCATCAGAGCAATAGTGATTGGTGGGAAGATGTTGAAATTTTCCCTTATGATATTTCCCCCTTTTCCCTTCCTGCCTTTGGGATTTGTTGCTCTGTGTAGCCTGCCTTCACCCTTCTGTGTGCAACAGTGCAAGGGAAGGAGAAGGCAAGGGCACAAGTGAAAATCCTTGCCTTAACAGGACCTTGACTTAGTGTTGCTTTGGATACAACTCAGAAGCTTTTGGACCCTGTCTCCTCGCCAAGGAGAGGGGCCTACTTCTGAAAGTTCCTGGAATGGAGAACTTACATACTTCAATAGTAAGGAATTTTATTTTCTCTGAAAAAAAATGAATAGATGGCAGAATAATTTGTCACTATTTCATTGGTAAACACTGATCACTCCACTCTACATAGCTTGCCTGACACTCATGATTCTTTCTTGCAAAAATAGCACATCAAACCCTTTCTTGAATAGGCACTTGGTGTTGTCTTAGTGCTCCTTTCAGATAAGTATCAGTGGTACCATTCTTCCAGAACTGAACTCTTCACTGTGTCTTACTACATTTATGTACATTTTAATAGAAATGAATGCATTTGTTTATATATTAATTCAATTTCTTTTCTCTCGTTATTTCTCCAATGTATTAGAGTGTTCTGTCCAAACCATGACCCAGTCAAGAAGACAAGCTTTTATGGTTAGTTTTTTTCCTCATCAGACTCTTCTCCATGCTTCAAATAGTCATTTTTAGCAGATGCAGTAATGGAATATTTGTTTATACATTCCCCACTATTGAAACCCTTGACAAAAAGTGTGTCAAGAGTGCTTTTATAAAACACTGAAAACCAATGTATTTTTTCTCCTACCCATATGAACAAGAGAACTACAAAATACTATACAATTTACCATTGTAGGGGTTTTTTTGTCAGAGGTTGGTCTGGTTCAGCAGTGATTTCTCCAGTTCAAGTTCCATGTGGAAGAGTTTTTCCAGTGGTTGCTGCTCATCACTGGACCCAATAAATGTTGTTTTCCTGACTTTGTCTCTCTGCAGCTCTTCAGAAAACCAAAGCCACCCTCCCTTCTGCCCTCCACAGCAACTAGCGCCTTGTAGATAATTCCCTGCTCACGTAGGTTGGCATCACGCATCAGCTGACATTATTCCTGATTATTCAGAAAATGGCCAGATTCCAATTCATAGAAAATTACTAATTTTCTCATAAGACCCACACAAATTGCCCACAAGGCAGCCTGATACTGTCTCTCTGCTCATTGCACCTGCAACATACATGCAGCTGCTCAGAGACTCTGAACTTCACATTTTGTGCAGGACGGAGGGACAGTTGAGTTGCTGCTTATCTAGCTTTCTTAAAATTGTTGTTTACAGTTTAAAGTAAATGTTGGTTCTTTCAAATGGTGGTATTTTCCTATCCACCAAATTGTATTACACACCAAAATACTTTTGTTCGTTCTTGTTTCTGTTTCTGCCAATTCCAAGACACTTTTCAGAGAGTACTTCCACCACCAACTCATTCTGATTTGACCCATGTTTTCCTTTTTCTTGTTTCTTGATAAAATTGTGCTGGGAGGAGCTTTTAGTACTTGCCTCATGACTGAAATGAGAGAGAGACTCAGGTTGTGGACACGGTGTGTTCTGTGGCTAAAAAGTGAAATGATAGCATGAAACTTAACTATACTGCCCCACAATTCTGTGATTGTTTTTCAAGACTGGTGTACAGGGTAGTTCTTTGACTTGGCCCAAGGTGCAAAGAGGGGAAAAGAATTTATTGCACTCTTGTGCCAGTATTACTTGGACTTTCAAGATACAAGAAGTAGTATTTGTTAACAAATACAAACACACAAAATCTCCATTTTGCCATTATGCCAATTCACTGGATGATTCTTAAGTCCTTATCATTGTAACTCTTAAGACGAATTTAAAAAGAAGTAATTCTAACGTGTTCTGTCTGTTTTTATAGTGTATCTTGCTATAACTTACTGAAGTACTATAATAAATTATCTGGTAAAATATAAGCAGCAGCTATCTTATTTCTAGATGAGGACAGCAAGAAGGGGCGGCCCCCAATCCTAATAAACTCTTCCTGCAGTGGAAAAAAAATGGTAATTAATATATATTTTTAAGCCTTTTTAATGTCTACACCATGCAGTAAATTTCCTCCAATGAGCCATGCTTCCTTGCTACATTGGTCTCACATGTGATTTAAGTCTGAGTTCTAATTCAGTTTGTTCTTTTTTGACCCGTTTTAGTTTCTGACTGCTGCTAGGTGCTAAATCTTGGGAAATAAAATGTGCATAGCTGAACTGTGTGTGCCACTTTGAGCTGCTTGGAGGAAAAGTGCTATGAATTAATACATGGATTACTTGGGAGATAATTTAGCTTAAGAAACAGCATATGCTTAGTGCAAAGCATGGATAGGATTCAGCTCTAATCTTGTTAACATGTGAAGGTGGGGATTGTTACACTGGAAAAACATGAACATTGTCGTTAGTGTTCTGAACAATACTGATAAATATGCAAACTTGTTTTTAAAAACACTTTTGACAGAATGATAATGAAACAGTTGCAGAAGAGAGCCTACAACAGGTCCTTAAGAGAAAAAATGACCAGCAGAAAGGTAGGACTTCACTGTGTTTGGCACTTGTTAGGATTTCTAGTAGCCTGTTCTGCAGCTTTTTGCCATGAATGTGAGTCAAATTACAAAGATGGCCACTCATGATTATTATAGAGGCCATTTCCTATACAGTGGTACCTTGGATTAAGTACTTAATTCGTTCTGGAGGTCCGTTCTTAACCTGAAACTGTTCTTAACCTGAAGCACCACTTTAGCTAATGCGGCCTCCTGCTGCCGTCGTGCCATCGGAGCACGATTTCTGTTCTCATCCTGAAGCAGAGTTCTTAACCCGAGGTACTATTTCTGGGTTAGCGGAGTCTGTAACCTGAAGCGTATGTAACCTGAGGTACCATTGTATATATAAATGTGACTTGATACAGGTACCATTGTATATATAAATGTGACTTGATACAGAAACATACTTTCTTCTGAGAAATATACAGTTCAGCAAACTGCTTAGACATTTGGGCCAAAAAATCTTTCTTTCCCACCAAACTCATTGATTTCAACATTTCTTCTCTTCTCTCAGAATTGTTCCTAATTGGCTTCTAGATGGCTCAGATACTTAGGTATAAGTGTCTAGTCTTCAGCTTTTGAGTAATCTTCACCTGACACTGGTTTTAAATTTACCTTCAATTCTGTTTCATAGGAGTTTCCAGGCCTTGCACATTATATGATGATATTCTTTTTTCAGGCATCATCACACTCTGTAGTTTTTAACTTTCACTTTTTTCTATAATACAAAACTAGCATTATTATTATTATTATTTATTATTTGTACCCTGCCCATCTGGCTGGGTTTCCACAGCCACTCTGGGCACCTTCCACAAAGACCAAAAATACACTAAGATGTCACACATTAAAAACTCCCCTGAACAGGGCTGCCTTAAGATGTCTTCTGAATGTCAGGTAGTTGTTTATCTCTTTGACATCTGATGGGAGGGTGTTCCACAGGGCGGGCGCCACTACCAAGAAGGCCCTCTGCCTGGTTCCCTGTAGCTTTGCTTCTCGCAATGAGGGAACCGCCAGAAGGCCCTCGGCGCTGGACCTCAGCGTCCGGGCAGAACGATGGGGGTGGAGACGCTCCTTCAGGTATACTGGGCCGAGGCCATTTGGGGCTTTAAAGATCAACACCAACACTTTGAATTGTGCTCAGAAACGTACCGGAAATGTAGGTCTTTCAAGACTGGTGTTATGTGGTCTTGGCGGCCGCCCCCAGTCACCAGTCTAGCTGCCGCATTCTGGATTAGTTGTAGTTTCTGGGTCACCTTCAAAGGTAGCCCCACGTAGAGCGCATTGCAGTAGTCCAAGTGGGAGATAACTAGAGCATGCACCACTCTGGCGAGACAGTCCGCGGGCAGGTAGGGTCTCAGCCTGCGTACCAGGTGGAGCTGGTAGACAGCTGCCCTGGATACAGAATTGACCTGCGCCTCCATGGACAGCTGTGAGTCCAAAATGACTCCCAGGCTGCGCACCTGGTCCTTCAGGGGCACAGTTACCCCATTCAGGACCAGGGAATCCCCCACACCCATCCGCTCCCTGTCCCCCAAAAACATTACTTTTGTCTTGTCAGGATTCAACCTCAATCCATTAGCCACCATCCATCCTCCATAATCACATTGTGACCACTAACAGGCCAATAACCTGGACCCATGGGTTTCTGTGGCAGAGGGGAAAGCCGCATATAAACACACATTATCTAAGCTTTTGGCTTGTTCTTGAGCCTTTGCTGCTGCTGCTTTTCCCTGGTGGAGAAGTGATTGCTGCTTCAAAAAATATTTAAAGCATCCAGGATTTTAGTGTAACTATGACTTGAGAGTATCTTGCAAGCTAAAAAACAAAATGTCTTGAAAGTAAATTACTGCTCTTGCTAGAAAGAGCTTCACAATGCCAGTAGATATGGAACTGTTTGAAAAAGGATGTATTTCTCTCTTAACAGTAAGGATAGACTTTTTAAGGAAGTGTAAGCAGGCTGGGCTTCTTGATGAAATCTTTGAGGAAATGTTAGACACTCTTCACCTTGCGCAAGAAAAGCTGATGGATGACAACACTTCTGAAGCAGGTACTGGAAAGTGTTTTTAAGTCACAGCCATTTGGGACAGTTGCTAATTTGAGCTTTTTGGTTCAAGGCATGACCTCTGAATGCTTCCGTAGGGCTTACCTCTCAGGAACAAGACTGCTTGGCCCTGTTTATTTCTCATGTTCTTTTCCCCCAGCCTACTGTTGCAGGATGAGTTTTTGACTCTCCCCTACAGAGCACAAATGCACAGTTGGGCTTTGGGGCACCCTGTGACCTTCCCTTGCAACAGGTTTTAGTGGAAGCAGAAAGAGAAGACTGGTTAGGTGCAACAGCCCTGATACCCCTGGGTTCAGGGGGAGGTCATGACCATTTTATACACTGGCATGACTTTATTTATTGTATGCATTCATAGCCCAGCCTTCACCAAGCATGTCCAGGGTGGGTTACATACAGCTCAATAACCTATTTTTACTGAGTATACAGGTGAAACTAATATATGAGATAGACTCATGACACGCAAAGCGAGATATGCCAAGCCTTTATTTGTTATACTTGTGATGATTATGGCGTACAGCTGATGAAAACTCCAAATTAACAATCTCAGAAAATTAGAATATTGTGAAAAGGTGCAGTAGCTATTCAATCCATAACACCTGCAATGGGATCCTGAGCCTTTAAATGGTCTCTCAGTCTGGTTCAGTAGGAAGCACAATCATGGGGAAGGCTGCTGATCTGACAGTTGTGCAGAAAGCCATCATTGAGACCCTCCATAAGGAGGGAAAGCCTCAAAAGGTAATTGCAGAAGAAGTTGGATGTTTCCAAAGTGCTGTATCGAAACACATTAATGGAAAGTTATGCGGAAGGGGAAAGTGTGGAAGAAAAAGGTGCACAAGCAGCAGGGATGACTGCAGCCTGGAGAGGATTGTCAGGAAAAGACCATCCAAACGTGCTGGGGACTTTCACAAGGAGTGGAGGCTGGAGTTAGTGCATCAAGAGCCCCCACACACAGACGGATCCTGGAGATGGGCTTCAAATATTGTATTCCTCTTGTCAAGCCGCTCCTGAACAAGAAACGTCAGAAGCGTCTTACCTGGGCTAAAGAAAAAAAGAACTGGTCTGTTGCACAGTGGTCCCAAGTCCTCTTTTCTGATGAGAGCAACTTTTGCATCTCATTTGGAAACCAAGGACCCAGAGTCTGGAGGAAGAATGGAGAGGCACACAATGCCAGATGCTTGAGGTCCAGTGTAAAGTTTCCACAGTGTTGGTCCACTGTGCTTCATCAAGTCCAGGGTCAACGCAGCTGTCTGCCAGGAGATTTTGGAGCACTTCATGCTTGCTTCCGCAGATGAGCTTTATGGGGATGCTAACTTCATTTTCCAGCAGGACTTGGCACCTGCCCACACTGCCAAAAGTACCAAAACCTGGTTCAGTGCCCATGGGATTACTGTGCTTGATTGGCCAGCAAACTCGCCTGACCATTATCCCATAGAGAATCTATGGGGCATTGCTAAGAGAAAGATGAGAGACATGAGACCGAGAAAGCAGAAGAGCTGAAGGCTGCTATTGAAGCTATTGAAAAAGTATTCCATAACACCTCACCGCAGTAATTGATGCAAAAGGGGCCCAAACCAAGTACTGAGTACATATGCATGCTTCTACTTCTCAGAGGTCCAATATTGCTCTATTTGCAATCCTTGTTTTGCTGATTTCATTTAATCTAATTTTCTGAGATTTGGGATTTTCATCAGCTGTATGCCATAATTATAACAATTATAACAAATAAAGGCTTGACATGTCTCACTTTGCGTGTCATGAGTCTATCTCATATATTAGTTTCACCTTTTAAGTTGAATTACTGAAATAAATGATCTTTTCCACGATATTCTAATTTTTCGAGTTTCACCTGTATCCTTGTGTGTACTGTATATTAAAATCTGTGTTCATGCAGAGGTATCAGCATGGTTTTGTCTCTACCCTCAGAATATGAAGAAACAGTAATGTCACTTTTTGACTGTGGCCTTTTTGAAAATATACTTGCAACAGCTCACTCTGGTATGTATGCATGAAGCAAAATTTGGAACTTCTCTCAGTGACTACTTTTTGAGCCTGGGCAATCTGGTTTGGCATTAAAACCCAAGCACAAATGTCTCAGCACCAAAGTAGAATAGATCAGTTACTTGGTGCTGAAATAATTCAGACTGTTTGGCCTGATTATTCTTTTGATCTTACGAAGAAAACCACTTGCCTATTCTGCTTATTAGGCTGCATTTCTGGGACTAAGTCTTACTGAACTCAATAAGTAGACTATATTCCATTGTTCATTTTTAAGGAGTGGGAAGGAGAAGGAAATGAGTTATCAGTACTATACCGTATATTTCCTGCTGTAAGAAGGGGCTGCCTGGCATAACTGCTGCATTGCTCTACCAATCCGTAGTCCCCCTTTGTGCCTTTTCAGGCATGAATAATAGTTATATACATTTCCCTGTAAAAAATGTTTTGGAGGGGGTTAATATTTTGACCCTTTTTGTAGAATTATGCTTGTGTATTCAGGTAACTCAAATTGCCTTTATGAAATCAGTTGATTGAAAGGACAGTCACAATGGAGAAGATATTAGAGAAACAAAGGAGTCATTTGAAAACAACAAACTTTTGCATTTTACATTAATACTAAGCATCAATTGTAAATTCTACAGGAACTGAAGAAAAAATTCAGCAGCTACTGCACACACGGGAAAGACTGGATACTCAGATTGAGCTTCTGAAAGATTTGAAGGAAGTAGTACTACCTGCCCCAGAAGACACAGCTAGTGTATCTAATAGTATCTCTGAACAACCTGCATATTTCTGTAATACTTGATCATGATTTCTCCTATCTGGTTCTTGCATAAAATCAACTTTCCAGTTAGATAAGTCTGCTTGTCCTTATATATCACATTTGTTATAACTGTTTTTTTCCTCTAATCATGACCGTGAGACACTTTTGTTCCAGCAAAGGCATTTTTTTCTTTTGGTTTTGACGGTCAAATTCTCTTTTTGTCTATTGCCAATTCATTTATGTGATTATTTGGAAAGGCAAGGGAAAGCCTGTGTCCTCTTGATAGCCATCTCCAAGATCACGGCTGTCTTTCTGATCTATTCCAGTACAGGAAGAATCGGATGTGTTTACCACGTGTTCTTCATAGCTTCTTTGCAACTGAGTCTCTAGAACCAGGGCAGCTCCAGCCAGCAGGGCCAGGAGACATCAGTGAAGGGATGGAGAACCCAAGGTCAGCCTTCCTAAAGGATTGCACTGTGGTGCTATAATAGTTGTCACTACCCATACTTTTTAAATCAATGGAAACGTCTTCTATCTGCTCCTTCAAGACACTTGACTACAATTGGTACTGAAATTAAACACCATAGTTTCACTTTCCAAAGAGAAAGTCAAACCATGAACCTTCGTACTTATAGTTTTACAGAATAGATCCTGTCTGTAAAATGACCCTGGCCTTGCAGTAGGAGCCCAAACATTAGATGTTTCAGACACCTCAGGAGGGCTTAATGTTAAAATGTTTCAGAGAATCAGTTTCTTAGAATCATAGGTAGTTGTGTGTGTGTAAAGAATATTTGCAATTGTTTGATTACAGAATTGTAAATAATCATTTAATAAAAGTGGGTTTTTTTAACAAAGTACAGCGATTTAAATTTGTATTTTCTACCTTCAACTACTGTCAAGGTACTGTCAGGACGCTTCCCATTTCAGCAACTTGGTCTGCTGACTTTCAGAAAGGGGATTGGGGAGGGGAGAGAGAGATAGGACAAGGCAAAATCCAGTCCTCTCATCCCTCCCACCACCACGCCATGTAAGTGCTTTCAAAACATAAGGACGCTAGCCATCTGTCTGGCAGATGTATACATTCAAGCAGCCAAAATACACAGGACTGAGATTGTGAATGTGGAAACTTTTAACAAACTGAAGATGCAAGTAGTTGGTTGAAGTTTCTGATGCAAATTGTGAGGGGGATTAACCAGATTTTCCATTGCAGTTTTTGTCCCATTAATATATGTTGATGGGGTGGCACTAAGAATCAACTGCAGCTTGGAGATGGGCAGCACTGAGGAGAAATACCAGATACGTTTTTATAGGTCAGCTTCAAACAGTAGGGTTGTGGGTTTTTATAATTTAGTCTTTAGAAGTTATACTTCAGAATTTGCACTGCTAATACAGACATTAAAGCTGCTGTACATTTTGTGTGTGAGAGAGCTCTGTTAGACAGTACCTGAATCCTAGCAGATGCACCAAAAGCTGTATCTTCATTGTGCCAGCTGCACATTCACTGTGGATGCTGGAATAATCAATGAGAACTTTGCCTGTATTGGCACAATTCCTTTGCAGAAGTTAGTGGGGGGGGGGTTTCCTGGTCCCTTTCTGTTTCTACAAGAATTATGCTTAGAAAAGTGCCCTTAAGTCCTGTCCCCCCCCCAAGAAAGTCAACAACATTTTCATACAACACAACAGTCCTAACACATTTTCTACCTGTAGTATTGTCATCAATCAAGTTTTTTTGAGCATCACCACTATTCTACATCAAGAAAGTCCAGCTTTGAGGTAGGAAGAATATCTAGATATTAGCCTTGGGCATATAATCCTCAATAATGAAAGGTAGACAGTCCTATAAAGTTTTGATTTATCAAGGATTTATCCAATTTAATGCATTTTTTCCCTTTCAGCAACACTGCAGAAGTTACTAATGTTTACTACACACTGCCTGCCCCTTTCTGGTGAAGACTACCAGAACAAACAGCAGTACAGAATTGCAGAGTTGGATGGAACCCCAAAGGTCATCTTCAATCCCCTGCAATGCAGGAACAGATGTTCTAATGTCCTTTCGAACTCAGAAGCACCACCCTCTGCTAAAAATAATTTTATGCATTATTTTAATGGGATACATTTAGAACACACATTTTACACACAGAAAATGTACAGAATTCATACATAATTTAAATGCAAAATATTTTCCAAGAGTATTCTGCTTTTAACAACTTTAAATCTCTACAACGAGGCTGCCTGTCACAGCTTATATGTCAAAAAGCTGTGGAGGCAAAAATTTAATTCCAAATAGATTTTGAGACACCATATAACTGATTCTTCAAGTCTTTTTAAGAGACATAGTTCAACAGATTCAATACATAATTGTTTCACAGACAAGTCCTTCGTTACTGGCAGGTTCTGCAAGCTTTCTTCATGTGCATGCAAATGGAACAGACAAAAAGGCAAAAATACTTCCTTCTCACACTGCTGCTACATAGTTCCAGGTGGTGAAGCATTTTAGTGCCAGCAAAAATCAGTAAGAGACCCTGAAATCACTAAATTACACCACATAGATTAACAACTGAGCAAGCCCAACTTCTGAAAGATCGATCATAGTCTTCTCTTCACCCTCCTTCAGTTCCTTCCATCTTATTCTTTCCAAAGTTGTTCAAAACTTTGTAGAAGCATCCAGCTATCTAGAGCAACTTAAAATCAAATCTTCCATTCTTTGATTTGGAACTCCTTTAAAAACAACTGCTGGACAAGTGTTTTTTATACAGCATGGCCATGAAATCACACCAGCTATGGCTGCAACATCCATTCAGTTCTTAAAGGCTCCATATTTACTGGCTTTAGCAATGAATTCCTTTAGCAGAGAACCATCCATTTGCCAAAAAGCTGCAGTCTGGGTGACTTCAGTCAAGTGATTGACACAAAACTTAAAGCAGAATTCTTCTAAATCCTAGATACAAAACAAAAAGCCTTTTTATTAGCTTCAAAGTTTCTAAATTTTCTCTCATCCATGTTCAAATAAAGACAGCATTAAAAAGTTATGTATTTAGAATTGATTAATAGTTTTAACCATGCCATATGACAATTCTTTGTTCCAGCCACAAGATACAAGAAACGACACTCCTGCTTCTCTCACTTGCTAACGTGTAATGAAAGTTTCCTTTACACATAAGTGGGCCAGGGAGTTGGTGTTAGCTGCATTCGTATGCAAAGGCAGATTTTAAAGTTTAGTCTGTTACACAGGTCTTATTCTAAGTCTGGATCCAAGTCATTGTGTTTATCCACTAAGTAAATAGCAACTCCTGCGTCATTTGGTAGAAACAGGCAAGTTTAATACCTCAGTCTGAGTTTGTATGTAGTAGCTATTTTTCATCTTAAAATGGGGGTGGTTCCAATTGTTGCTGGACTACTAATCGCATAATCCTTGACTGGGGCTATGCTAGGAGCTGCAAATCCAGTAACTAAGGAGATAGTACAAGAATACTTGGCTAGTTTAGATGCATTCAAGTCTCCAGGGCCAGATGAACTGCATCCAAGAGTATTAAAAGAAGTGGCAGATGTGATCTCAGAACCACTGGCAGCCATCTTTGAAAATTCCTGGAGAACAGGCGAAGTCCCGGCAGACTGGAGGAGGGCAAATGTTGTCCCTATTTTCAAAAAGGGGGAAAGAGAGGACCCAAATAATTACCGCCCAGTCAGTCTGACATCAATACCAGGGAAGATTCTGGAGCAGATCATTAAGCAGACAGTCTGTGAGCACCTAGAAAGGAATGCTGTGATCACCAATAGTCAGCATGGATTTCTGAAAAATAAGTCATGTCAGACTAACCTGATCTTGTTTTTGACAGAATTACAAGCCTGGTAGATGAAGGGAACGCAGTGGATGTAGCCTACCTTGATTTCAGCAAGGCATTTGACAAGGTGCCCCATGATTTTCTTGTAAAGAAGCTGGTAAAATGCGGTCTTGACTATGCTACCACTCAGTGGATTTGTAACTGGCTGACTGACCGAACCCAAAGGGTGCTCATCAATGGTTCCTCTTCATCCTGGAGAAGAGTGACTAGTGGGGTGCCACAGGGTTCTGTCTTGGGCCCGGTCTTATTCAACATCTTTATCAACGACTTGGATGATGGACTCAAGGGCATCCTGATCAAATTTGCAGATGACACCAAACTGGGAGGGGTGGCTAACACCCCAGAGGACAGGATCACACTTCAAAACGACCTTGACAGATTAGAGAACTGGGCCAAAACAAACAAGATGAATTTTAACAGGGAGAAATGTAAAGTATTGCACTTGGGCAAAAAAAATGAGACGCACAATAACAAGATGGGTGACACCTGGCTTGAGAGCAGTACATGTGAAAAGGATCTAGGAGTCTTGGTTGACCACAGACTTGACATGAGCCAACAGTGTGACGCGGCAGCTAAAAAAGCCAATGCAATTCTGGGCTGCATCAATAGGAGTATAGCATCTAGATCAAGGGAAGTAATAGTGCCACTGTATTCTGCTCTGGTCAGACCTCACCTGGAGTACTGTGTCCAGTTCTGGGCACCACAGTTCAAGGAGGACACTGACAAGCTGGAACGTGTCCAGAGGAGGGCAACCAAAATGGTCAAAGGCCTGGAAACGATGCCTTATGAGGAACGGCTAAGGGAGCTGGGCATGTTTAGCCTGGAGAAGAGGAGGTTAAGGGGTGATATGATAGCCATGTTCCAATATATAAAAGGATGTCACATAGAGGAGGGAGAAAGGTTGTTTTCTGTTGCTCCAGAGAAGCGGACACGGAGCAATGGATCCAAACTACAAGAAAGAAGATTCCACCTAAACATTAGGAAGAACTTCCTGACAGTAAGAGCTGTTCGACAGTGGAATTTGCTGCCAAGGAGTGTGGTGGAGTCTCCTCCTTTGGAGGTCTTTAAGCAGAGGCTTGACAACCATATGTCAGGAGTGCTCTGATGGTGTTTCCTGCTTGGCAGGGGGTTGGACTCGATGGCCCTTGTGGTCTCTTCCAATTCTATGATTCTATGGACATCATCAAGTTCCCCATCCCTGGCCTAAGATGCAGAACCAGTCAGAGGGCCTTCTCGGTGGTGGCACCCGCCCTGTGGAACGCCCTCCCATCAGCTGTCAAGGAAATAAACAACTACCTGACTTTTAGAAAACATCGGAAGGCAGCTCTGTTTAGGGAAGTTTTTGATGTTTTATCATGTTTTTAATACTCTACTGGGAGCCGCCTAGAGTGGCAGCCAGATGGGTGGGGTATAAATAATAAATTAAGCAAATAATCCCAAAATATTTATTTAAATACTGTAGTTTATTGTGCTAACAATGGTAGAGAAAAACACAAAAAATATAGTAATAATAAAAAATTATTATTAGGCCCAATGGAAATTGGCCTGTAGAAGGGAGCGGTCCTCCCCCACACTCACAGCAGCAGTAGCAGATTCCATAGTCAGATTCCATAACCAAGGTAGCAATCTCTACTAGTCAGGAAGAGAAACCAGCAACATCCCATAGTTCTTGGATCTCCCCATCCTACATATCACAATTCAACCCAATTCTTTTTCTCCAGTCAAACTCAGAAGCCAAGTTATTCATCATCCAACAAAATATAAAATGATATTGAAGTTCAAGCTACAGACTTTTTAGCAGGAATTTCTAACCAACTCTTCTTTGAACATTAAAATTCAAGCTCATGTGGCATCCTTGTCTGACCTGCTTCAGGCACCCTCATGTCTGCACCGGAAATATAAACTTCTGAACAAATCTTTCACCACAAAAACCACATTCATAAACAAAAGGCACAAAGAAAATATTTAGCTGTGTTATTGCTCAGTGCCATACCCAATTGTCTCTACCTCTGAAGTATCAGGCTAAATGAAGAAACACACACTCCATGCCCCTTACCTCCAAGAGAAGCTGTATTGTTTAAGGCAGAGCTAACTGTGTTGGGGATGGGGGGCACTTCAATTAAGATTTTAAAAACCTATCCAGTTGCAGCTGAAGCATCAGAAGAGTATTTTGATGCATCTGAAAGTTTTAGGAAGAGAGACTTGCTAATAGTTCAAACTGAACAGCAAGCTCATCATATGTTGTGAATAGAACTATGAAATACTGATTGCATTCCCCAGTCTGATACTTGAGCCTACAAATTAATAAAGGAAGAATGAATTTTGAACTTGGGTCACTTGCAATTTAGAATTGTTTAAATATAATTCTGCACCAGAAGTCATTGCACTCTTCCAATCCTTCTGCCTGTGCAGGCTTTGCCACTTGCCCCATTATGAGGGTTCCCCCAAAGCCCCACCATCACACAATTCCCAGGAGGCTTCCTTGTGCAAGCAGAAGCCCTTGCACAGGACTTTCCTGGCAGAGCTAGTTCAATGAATCCTGCCCATTCAGCTTACAGTTGGGGGTGACAATCATACTTAGGCAACAGTGAAGCACCGCTGTGCACTTTTGTTAATTTGCAACTGCTGTGGTTTCCGTGAGGCTTGCCCATGGAAGAAGAGGAGTCAATGACTCCCTTCCCACACTGATAGAGTGAGGCGCCCCTTCAGGGGAAGCCCTACAGCAATCTCTTTGCGGCCAGAGACTGCAGACATCCTGGGAGGGGAGCCCTGCCATGGGCATCGTGGCACTTGAGGATACAACTTGGAACCAGGTCAAACTTCATTCAGCTTCACGTCAATTAAATGTTTAAATTTCTAACATTCCCATTAATCAAGAACTGAACTTGAAAATTTAGATTTAAGTTTAGGTTCCTTTGGTTCAAAAGAAACAACAGTTAAGGTGAAATTGCTTCCTACATTTTCTGATTGTTGCTAAACCTCAAAAAGTATAAAACTCCATTCCAACTATGTTTGATCAGTTTTATCAGTTAATCACCTTGCTTTATGGTAAAAAAAGGTAAAGGACCCCTGGACTTAACCGTCCAGTCAAAGGCGACTATGGGGTGCAGCGCTCAGCTCGCTTTCAGGTAAGGGAGCCGGCATTTGTCCGCAGACAGCTTTCCGGGTTATGTGGCCAGCATGACTAAACCTCTTCTGGTGCAACGGGACACAGTGACGGAAACCAGAACACATGGAAACACCATTTACCTTCCCACCGCAGCTGTACCTATTTATCTACTTGCGCTGGTGTGCTTTCGAACTCCTAGGTTGGCAGGAGCAGGGACAGAGCAATGGGAGATCACCCTCTTGCGGGGATTTGAACCGCCGACTTTCTTATCAGGAAATCCAAGAGCCTCAGTAGTTTAGACCACAGCACAACCCCTCCCCCCACATATCTAGCTTTATGGACAACACAGCAGAAAAGGCTTAAAATCAAACCAAGAGTCTAGATAACAGGTGTTTCACTCTGGCCTAGATTTGCTTCCCCAAAGATTACTCATTGTTATGAATGTTGTGTTTGCTAAAAACACTGAAAGGTGTTTTTCATAAAACAACAAGGATACTGCTTCAAATCAGGTTCTACAAATGTTAGAAATGTACTCTCTTAAAAACCAAAGCTAAGAATCTGGGGGTTAGGATTCATTCACAGCCCCCAGCACACATTGGACATCCAAGTCTTCAGATTAGCAGTATGTTTCATAAAGAAGAAGAAGAAGAAGAAGAAGAAGAAGAAGAAGAAGAAGAAGAAGAGGAGGAGGAGGAGGAATTTGGATTTTATATCCCTGATATCAAATATCAGGGATATCCCGCTTTATCACTATCCGAAGGAGTCTCAAAGCGGCTCACAATCTCCTTTCCTTCCTCCCCCACAACAAACACTCTGTGAGGTGAGTGGGGCTGAGAGACTTCAGAGAAGTGTGACTAGCCCAAGGTCACCCAGCAGCTGCATGTGGAGGAGCGGAGAAGCGAACCCGGTTCCCCAGATTAGGAGTCTACCACTCTTAACCACTACACCACGTTGGCTCCCTCAAGCAAGACTGATTTGTCTACAAAACTGACAGAATTTTAAAACTTGTAGTTCCATTTAAACACACAGAAAGATTTACTACATAGAAAATCTCTCATAGTTAGTTAAACTCTCATAAACTGGCCCAGGTATATAGAAACATCTCAAAGAATGGTAGGTTGCATTAACATCCCCTGTTATACAGAAAATGCAAGTGATTGCAACAAAATGTTGAATTGTGGTTTCTACTCAAGGTGGCCGGCATAGCCCTCTTATGAGAGACGCCATTCCATTCTCTCTCCATGCCCCCCCTTTTTCCAACAGCCCATGATTTTCAAATAGGTTTTACTCAGATTAGGCCCACTGAAATAATTGGTCGTAACTTCTGCTCTTCAAATCGGTTTAAATACCTCTGTCTGGGGTTACTGAGCCCGGTCAGTGTTTTCAGCTGTTTTTGAAGTCCACCTTCCCCTCCCCACCAACAACTAGTTGTTTCCTAAAGGAAACAACTTCTGCAAAGGAGCCTGTGAGTGCCTCACTCCTGTATATGGACAGTGCCAGTTTGTCTACATAACAATCCCTAACAATTTTTCTTTTAATAATAAAATCAAAAGAAAAATAAAAAATCAGGAGTAAAAGGGATGCAATTATAGAATTACAAATGGGTACTTTTGTACTAGGGACACAGGGGGCGCTGTGGGTTAAACCACAGAGCCTAGGGCTTGCCAATCAGAAAGTCGGTGGTTCGAATCCCCGTGACGGGGTGAGCTCCCATTGCTTGGTCCCTGCTCCTGCCAACCTAGCAGTTCAAAAGCACGTCAAAGTGCAAGTAGATAAATAGGTACCGCTCCGACAGGAAGGTAAATAGCATTTCCATGTGCTGCTCTGGTTCACCAGAAGCAACTTAGTCATGCTGGCCACATGATCTGGAAGCTGTACGCCAGCTCCCTCGGCCAGTAAATTGAGATGAGCGCCGCAACCCCAGAGTCGTTCACAACTGGACTTAACTGTCAGGGGTCCTTTACCCTTTTACCTTACTTTTGTACTATGAAAGAAATAGAAAAAATAAAAAGGTCTTGCTTATAGGCACCACCAAATAAAGTATTTCAAAGGGATTTGCTATCCTTGTGAACTCAGTGCCATATATTTGATAAATAGCCCTCAAATAAGAAATAAATGAAATAAGAAGAATCAGAATGACCTCTGCTGACTTGAACATTACATGTCAATTTCTCTTTGACAGCAATAAGAATAACTTTCTTGCACCAGTTATCTAGGGTGCATTGGTGCATCATGGCGTGCTTTTTCAGCCCAGAGCAAGGACAAATCAAGTGCCTACTGGAAGATACACAATTAACTGTTCACACAGAAGATCCATATTACCTTTCTCAAAAACAGACCAAATACATAGTTTAGTGTCTAGGATCACATTTCCCCCTTTAACTGTAATGATTTCTGTAATTACTTGTTTCCCAAATTTATGAACTTCAACACAACTCCTCATGTGCCATTAAGATCCTGGCTCCCCACAGCCCTGTGAGCACAAGGCTTGGGGAGGGATCTTTGACCCCATGGAGCCTTCAATGTAGGGTTAATGAGGAGCTTATCCCCTATGATGTTTAACATCTACATGAAACAGCTGAGTGGGGTCATCCAGAGGTTTGGAGACCATTGTCAGCAATATGCTTCTCTTTTACATCTTCAGGTGAAGCAGTGGAAGTGCTAGATGAGAGCCAACAAACTTAGCTCCAGCCATATAAGACTTGAGACACTGTTGGGGGGGGGGGTCCATAGAACAGACGGATGGGAAGTGGTCTGCTCTTGATGGGGGTTACACTTTGTCTGAAGGAGCAGGTTCATAGCTTGGGGGTCCTCCTGAATCCTTGAGGCTCAGGTGGCCTCCGTGGCACAGAGTGCCTTCCATCAGCTTCATCTGGTGGCCCAGGAGTGCCCCTATCTGGAAAAGGGGAGACCCACTTATGTCGTCAATGCTCTGGTAACCTCTAGGTTCGATTACTGCAACGCTTTATATGTAGGGCTGCCTCTGAAGATGGTTTGGAAACTTCAGCTGGTGCAAAATTTGGCAAGCAGGTCAAATGGAGGCCTGCACATTAGCTGAGATCCCACATTAGCTGAGATCGGTAGCGGATCATAAACAAGGACAAATGAGGGCAATCGTCCTTGCAAAAAAAAAAACACCACCCAAGGGGGCAGGTGAGCTCCACTTGCAGATTGTTTGATACCTGGCTCTCGTCCACCATGGATGACGGGAGGCAGGAGGCGCTGAGTGCAAAGCAATTTGCTTATTGGTAACCCCCTGATACAGCCATTATGGGGAGGGGTTCTTCTGTTTATTTGAAAGAAACTGGATCTAATTTACAGGCATGTACTGGACTAATTGGACAAGATAATCTGCTAAATGAATCAGCCACTGAGCGGCAACATTTTGATCTGGAGAGATGATTTTCTACGTAGCGAACACTGGTATGTTGGGGGAAGCAAGCCTTTACACTTTCTTTATATATCATGTTTGCTGCGTTATTGATTTGGCAAACCTCCCCTTGAGTGCTAGTGGATTGATAAAAAGCAAAACGAATTAACGAGAATAAGATAATATTTATGGATTACTACAAAAATAGAACTGCGTGAGAGTATTGATATGATTTAAAGCATTGATCTTCCACTGAATCGCAATTAGGGCTGTGGCCTTTGAAGATCTACCATGGCTCTGGCGGGATGCCAGATTGTTAGCAGTGGAATGCTGGAGGATAAGATAAGTTGGAGACCTGCCCAGGGCAATGGCGGGACGCCAGACCTTTTCTGTATTAATATGGCTACTATTGAATTATTGTAATTAAAATTAATTTAAAATACAAAATTTGGCAGCCAGGTTGCTCACCAGGACAAAACAGTTTGAGCATATGACACTGATCCTGGTCCGACTGCACTGGCCACCAATTAGTTTCTGGGCCCTATAAAGCCTTAAACAGCTCAGGACCACAATACCTCAAGGCCTGCCTCTTCCCCTATGAATTGGCCTAGACCCTGAGATCATCCTCGGAGGCCCTTCTTCATGTGTCTCCTCCACGAGAGGTCTGGAACATGGCAACACAAGAACAGGCCTTTTGGGCAGTGCTCCCTGCTTGTGGACTACTTCCCTCAGGGAGATTTAGTTGGTGCCTTCATTATGCACCTTTTGGGGCCAGATGAAAATGTTCCTTTTCAACCAGGTCTTGGGCTGATTAACATTCTAGACACCTTTTAATGTGTGTTGGGGGGGGATTGTTTTGTTTTGTTTTAAATGTGTTGGGGGAGGGGGTTATTGGTTTGTTCCTTTTGTTCCTGTTTTTATTGTGTATATTGTGTTTCTTGCATTTTTATACTGTAGACTGCCCTGAAATCTTTGGGTGAAGGGAAGCAGTAAAATTTAAAATAATTTGATCTGACTGACAGAAATATAACAGGAGTTATGCAACTTGTGGCTGGGCTTCTAGCCAACCTACCGGAAATATACTAAGAGCCTCTGAGCTTTTGCACCCAGCAAGTGGAATGAAGGAGAAAGGCCAACAGGACAAGTGGCACTGCTCTCCAGAAGGCAGAGTCCCTGCATTTCTCTTTTAGGAAATGCTCCACATCCCTTAACCATCTAATATGGACAGCCAGAGAACCCTCATCTGAAGCTGCTTTTTCCTCACTCCCACCCAACAGCTCTGAACAACTGAAATAGGCCCCTTTCTTCCATTCTTATCTCTCTTGCTTCCAGCAAGCCTTGTGTTCCTGCCCCCTCTCCGTTTAGTTTGCACCAGATCATAGCCCAGCAAACACATGCCCACACCAAAAAGGCCAAAAAGGTCTCCAAGCAGAGGATGTGAAGGAGAATCTCCCTGAGGGTGGTCTACATGGCACTGCTGGGGAATCTACTTTTCCCTCAGACTGGCTTGGTGCAGCTGCCGTCCTCAATGGGAAGAGCTGCCTAGTTTAAAGGCAGAGAATCCTAAAAATGGAAAAGAGGGACCCTGAAAGTGCCCATCAACAGTTGGCACCTGCAACACAGACTGAGCAGGCCCACACTCGTTCCTCTGAGGCCCCACTTCCACGGCACAGGCATCACCAAGACTCGGCACCTGAACTAGCTATGGGCATATAGGGCAATACTAATTAAAACACCCGACTGACTGGCTGCATGAAATTCAGCAGCTGACAAACAGTTGCCGCAGCACCCAAGAGTGAAGTGTGACAGCACCCAATGGTTGCTCTGTGTGAGATATCCAGAAAATGGTTCGCAGGAGCTGGGAGGAATGCTTGCTACACTGTGCCTCAGCCAATAAACTAGATTAAATCTCTGCATACAGAAATGTTAATTTCTCCACCAAAATTTAGTTCTGCACCAAGTACATCTTAAGTATCACATTTCTCTGATTGTAGAAATACAGAGTGCTTTGGTTTTATTTTGTCCATAAGGAAAAAATAAGAGTTACTTTGCGCACTGGTGGCTCTAATAGTTTACCTCTGCATCGTAGCGAACAGCTGCAGAGAGCAAGGAGAAAGCGTTCTCCACAGTGATCCCTCTTTTGATAAGATGCTGACAGAGTTTTTTCAGTCTGTTTTCGCAATATGATGTAGCCAAATCCAGAAGCCCTAAAATCAAAATGCCACATTAAAATGTTATTTTTTCTGTTCTTAACAGCTCCAGTGCAGCATTTCTCTGTACACTCAAGCATAGGGCATATGAAGCTGAATCATAACATAATGGTAAGAGGTAAATACATCATCCTCACCCCACTGGATAGGAAACCAACCACAAAACTGGGGTAGCAGCATTGGAACGCCAGGAAAAAGGGGCAGGAATCAGCAGGCAGTAAAGATGAAATACAAGAGTTATTCCATGCTCAAGGATGGGGGAGATCCTTCCTCAGAGGGACATTTCCCACAGCAATTATTGAATACAAGCAACATTACAGCGTCTCCTGTTGAGTCCACTGCATTTGTGTCAACTGTCCTTTGAATTTGAGAATTGCTGCTGGAAACATGAGCTCAAGAAAGGATTTCTTCTCTTGAAACATGCCAAGGGGAAAAAAATCTCATTTCCAGTGCTTTTTCCGGGGGGGGGGGAAGGTGCCGCATGATCCCCCCCCCCCCCCGATTTCTCTCACACTGTGTACCATTGAGTACGGCCGGGGGAAAACACTGCTCATTTCTAGCACCTAGATTTCCTCCCCTCTGCTCTGTTTCCTCAAGACAGAATCCAGTTTTTTAAAGGCCCCCACCCCTTAAAACTAGCTTCCATTGGCCTAGAAGGAACCACCCGTGTATTGGCAAATAAATACAGCAAATTACCGTATTTTTCGCACTATAGGACGCTCCCGACCACAGGACGCACCTTGTTTTAGAGGGGGAGAACAAGGGAGAAAAAATTCTCCCCCTCTCTGCTCAGCGCCCCTTCAGCGAAGCGGCAGGAGAAACGGAGCCCCTTCCATTTCTCCTCCCACTTGGCTGAAGAGGCACTGCACAGCTCTCCATCTCTGCTTTTTTTCCCTTCCATATTTCACCAACAACACTTTTATTAAACATGAAAGATGCCAGGGTGGTAAAAAAAGAAAACACCAGAAAAACCTATGCTGCATTTTAAATTCCTCTTTGCAAAAGGGCTAAAGCAAGACATTTAAATTTCCCACCAGTGCAGAGTTCCCTTTTAGTTTGTCCTGCTTCTCTTTATTTCAAGAAAAAGCAGAAGTGAAATTTAAAGCTGCTTGCATGGTTTATGAGCACGTTTAAGGATTTCCTGATACCACCAGTTCTCAGCTCAGCTAAAAATAGTTTGCAAGAGCTTTGCGATCTCTGATAGCCTAGTATCTCTCTCTCCCCCTTTTTCGTAGTTCTTTTCCACATATAGGTTGTGGGGAGGATGTAGCCCTCCATATATTGTTGGGCTCCAGCTCCCATCAGCCAGCGGTGATGGGATTTGTAGCCCAGCAACACCTGGAATGTCACAGCTTCGCCGTCCCTGATTTTGGTTTCGTTCCCACGTAAGCTAAGTGTGCCATCAAGTGCAGCTACAGTTGGATTGCTGCGCCTGAGGCTGCAACAGCCGGCACACTTATCTTGGGAGTGAGATTCCCTCAGCATCGCTGAGACTTGCTTCTGAGTAGACCAGAGAGGCTTGCCCTCTGGCCCCGCGAACTAAGTGCGAGCGCCATTGAGTTCAATAGGAACCTTCGACGCAGCGCGCCTTTCCTCGGTGCAGCCCCGCACAGGATCTGCTTCCTCGTTCAGGTTCGCATCCTCCCCCAATGCAACGGCGGTGCAACCAGGAGCGGATCCCCCACCCCGGAAGAGCGCCCCTTCCCTCCCAAATTGGCCGTGCGCTCCAGAAAGGGGGGGGGGGAGATGCGCCGCTTGCCCGCCTCACCCAGCCCGGACGGGGGCGGGCGGAGAATGTCAGCTTGAAATGACTGGCAGAATCCGAGACCAGGGAGAAGAGTTGGTGGAAGAAGATTGGAAGAAATTTAAAGACTATTTACAGAAATACTGCAAAATTAATGAATGTTAGAATGATGTCAGAATGAAATTAAGTGGTCTTAGCAACAATGTTATAAGGTGTATGTACAAATGGATTGTTAACAGATGAGAATTTAAAGTTATAATATGTTAAGTTAAAGGATTAAGATAAAAACAAAGAGGGAAAGGAATTGCTGAATTAACTAATAGAACTGGAATACAAAAAAGGGAGGTGTGAGGAAGTCAGGGAAGTAAGGAAATGAAATGTAAGTTATGGAAAAATCAATGTGTTTTTCTTTTAAGTGTTTTTTATCTTTTTTCTGTATTTTGTATTTTTTTTCTTTTTTATGTTTTTTCTTTTTATTTTCTTTTTTACCTATGTAATTTTTTCTTTGAAACTTTAATAAATATCATTTAAAAAAAAAGAGAGAGAATGTCAGCTTGAACAACTTCCTACTGGGCTCCCGGCGGCAGGTGGTTTGTTTGTTTTTTTAAAAAGCAACCTTTTCAACTGGAGCGTGGAGGAAGCGATGAATAGCCAGAAAGGGGAGGTGGCTGACGCACTGCACTCCCTGGGCCGCCGCCGCCTGTCCTGCCTGTGTATCTCGCTCCACCCTGCTGCCGCTGCTACGGCCGCCGCAGAGGAGAGAGGCACTGGGATGCTGCTGCCTGGGGCAAGGCACGGGGCCGAGACAGCTGTGCAGGGAACCTGGACGGCACTCCTCCTCCTCCCCCTCTCTCGCTCTTCCTTTCCCCCCCAGAGCCCGCTACCGCCGCTGCCACAGCCACTGCGGAGGAAAGAGGCACCGGGACGCTGCTGCCCGGGGCAAGGCAGGGGGCGAGATGGCTGCGCGGGGAACCTGGACCGCGCTCCTCCTCCTCCCCCTCTCTCGCTCTTCCTTTCTCCCCGTAGCCCGCGCTGCCGCCACTGCCAGAGCTGCCGCGGAGGAAAGAGGCACCGGGACGCTGCCCCCCGGGGCAAGGCACGGGGCTGAGACGGCTGCACAGGGAACCTGGACCGCGCTCCTCCTCCTCCCCCTCTCTCGCTCTTCCTCTCTGCTGAAGCCAGGAGAGTCTTGCTTCAGCAAAAGGAACCCGAAGCCTCCGGAGCACCGGCCCCTCTCGCTCTCCAGGCTTCAGCGAAAGCCTGCCTTCGCTGCATAGGACGCACACACATTTCCCCTTCATTTTTGGAGGGGAAAAAGTGCGTCCTATAGAGCGAAAAATACGGTAATGATACTATAACTGCAAGCTGCTCTTTTTGATGTAAAAACTCTCCAAATGAATTTTCATTTTTAGCACCAATTTGAAACAATAGTGCTCAGAGCCCAGATCCATTTTTTTGAAGCAAGCTGCTCTACTTCCATCAGCTCAGTGCACCCCAGACCAGCACTGTCGGCTGACAGGGTCCATAAGACAACAGAGGCCTCAAGAGCTGTTGCAGACACCTTATTTCCAAACCCCATCCCTGGCGAAAATGCAAGCAGGGCAGGCAAAGGTGCACTGGCTGAATTGTCTCGTTTAACTGCCACTGGGGATGTGCCTCCATGTCTATTTCTTCTTCCCTTCCCTTTCTTGAAACAAAGTCAGTTCTCCACAATTTCTCTGCACAATTTAGCCCCCGCCCCCAAGTGCTACCTATCGCGTCTTCAGGTGGCAGATCAACGCTGTCTGTGTAGAGATACTCCAGAAAAGCACGGTATACCGGGTAGGAAAACTGGTCAATTTCTATCACCTCCTTCATGTCTTCATTCCAATAGGACTGGAACATAGTACGGAAATGCTCACATCTGTTGGGGGGGGAGGAAAAAAACTACATTCCAGATTCTGCAGAATACATTAGGAACATGGGAAAGTACCACCTAAGAATTCATCACAATATTCTGTACTCCTCCCCTGCCCCCAATAGTTTAAGTTAGAATTGGAACATACTCATCATGACAGTGGGTTGCAGCCAATGGTGCCATTGTGCCCAAAAAAAGCACGTACATTTGCAAAAGTGGATTTTTGTTTTGTACCCTACTCAATTGCATTTTATTTTTATCTAATTTCTATGAAATGTTATTTAATGTTGTTGAAAGCATATACTGCACCAAGATCTGCAATAGGAAGTGGGAGACTGGTGAAGTTTGGATGAACCTGGCATGAGAATAAAACAAATTAAAATAAAAGGAGTGGGAAAGATCTGGTTGATTAAAGAAACAAAGATGAACAATCAAGTTTATTAGATACTTTGGACATAGCATTAGCACTCGGCCACAGGGCATTAGACACAAGTATTACCTGATTTTCAAGACAGCTTTATGTACATAAATGAATTTTCCATCTACTCTAAATTTTAGATCCGAGGTTTCAGGGCTATCAAATTCTCTCTTCAGGGACTCTGTCACTGTTAAGAAGTCCTCATGCTCTGCAAAGATTAAACATCATTATACTGAAAGCAATATTAAGGCTCCATACACAGTCTGCATCCAAGGTGCTTTCACTGCTGGTTTGAGAAGCAACATACACACAGAGCTAACCATAATCTGCATCTGTCCTGCAGTTTCTTATGAAGCACTGCATTTTGGATGCCTTTTCCCCACAAACCAGCTTCTGTCTTAATTAAAGATGCAAATACATGTTAAAAGGAGAGGGGATAGTTTTCCACAAGTTCATTAAGTAGGAATCCACAGAATTGTCACTGTGATTAGCTGACTGTTTAAATTCTGGCTGTCATAATTGGGGGGAATCTCTATCAAGAAAAAATATGTTCTGTTGTTCATGTGCTCTTTTTTTAAAAAACCAGGCCAGCATTTGCTCAAAATGAGCAGGAGGTAAATGAAGTTACCAGTCTCTGATGTTGTGTCACTAGTCTCCCACTCTGTCATTTTAAAATAGCATTAATTCTCCTTAGCCTCTTCATTTCCACCGCTGCTTGCTTTATTGGGTGAGGGTGGCAGCTGCAATAGCAACTTAGTAACAACTTAAAAGAGTGTGTTAAAATATTGCTGCATAACAGCCCTGAGACCCAATCTACTTCTTCTTTTCAAGAAAAAGGAAAATGCACTCCTGGGGACATGAATTTGTTGGAGCATGCTTAACATTTTCCCTTTGGGCTGTTGGTTTTTAAAACTGCTGAAAGCCACTTGCAAGAGGCATCCCATTCTCCCACGTGCTGCTGTTGCAGTTAACTTCACAGCACCTCACCCAAATACATGCCCCTCTTTTAAAAAATAAATAAAATCCAAAGCCAGGAGCAGGCATAGGCATAGGCATAGGCAAACTCCGGCCCTCCAGATGTTTGGGACTACAATTCCCATCATCCCTGACCACAGGTCCTGTTAGCTAGGGGTGATGGGAATTGTAGTCCCAAACATCTGGAGGGCCGGAGTTTGCCTATGCCTGGCCAGGAGAATGAAAACACAACAGTATTCTCTCAGCTTCCCATTCCAGCAATGAGCAGAACTCATTAAAGTCTCTCAGCTAAAGCCTCCCAGCATCGCCTGCCAAAACACCCAATATGGAGATAATAATCACGGCCTGCATTCACATTTTCATTGTCAGGGTACTTTTACAAATGAGAAGTCACATTTTTTGTCTGAAGTTAAACTTGAGGGAGGGATCCGGAGCTCCTGCCTTGGCTGCTCTCTCTTGTCACTCTTTCTCCCAATCAGAGCGACACTAAAATTCTAGCTCTTTCCATTGTTCTCTATGGATGCTTCTACCACAGGAAGAGCAACTAAGAGCTTTAAAATGAACCAAAAGTCCTTTCTCCAGACAGTGGGCATGTCACTAAAGGTTTTATTTCACTTCCTTCATTAGTTAGGAGCAATGAAAGACAAGAGCAAGTTCTTGTTTCCTATAAAATATTTGGGTCAAATGCAAATATTTTGCCTCTTTATTTACAATTCTAAAATAGCTGGAGACTTGCTTTTTCTTTTAAATTAAAAACAGAGAATCTTGACAAGCCAACAGTCCAAATGTGTGGTGGCTGGAATGGGGCCAGGTGTGACCAGACCTTGAACAGAATCCTGTTCCATCCCTTTCCCCCAATCCTGATCACTTCTCCCAGCAAGCGCCCTCTGCTAAAAGGCATTGCAGCTGACCTCTCTCACCCCCCACCGCATGAAAGGCAACATGGGTATTTTGCACTATCCACAGGAAAAGCCAAGAGTGACAATCCAATGGTCTGGAGGCTGAACTTTTGGGTTCCTTTGATGCTGTTTTCCCCTCCCACAGAAATAAGTGAAAGCTGCCCATTGAAAATGGAAAGAAATCCAGGATGTTCATTAGCATAGCTGTAATTGAGCATCATCAGTGGGCCTGCCTAGAACAAAAAAGAGAATAGTTAATACTTTAAGTTGTATTTTCCCACATAAAGGATGATCTAAGTTTAAGTTTTAAGCATTTTTTAAAAAATGCACTGCAAATGCCAATACTGCAGGTGGCAGGTGTGCTTACCACTGTTCCGTAGTATTAATATTGCAAATCAGAGATGGGGCTGAGGCTGTTTTGAACATCTAGCCAAAAGCTCTCACATTGCAGCAAGAGGTCAGTCCCTCTGAGGTCTTCTTTCGGCTGAAACTGTGTGGCTTTGTATACTTTGCATATGGACATGATGCACTTTTAAGAATTTTTTAAAAACCCACAATTACATTTTCCATGCTAAATAGCGTGAACTTTCATCTTTGCTCCTTCCTTTTGCTCAATTAAGGACCACTGCCGTCCAATCACAGCTACACTACATGATTGCCTTCCATGGACAGCTCACCCTTAAGGGACCTAAAGCTGGAGACTCTGCTAAATCTTGCTATTGGAAGTCTTGGGTGGACAACACAGAGAGATGTTAACCAAGAGACTGAGAGAAATTCATCTGGGGGAAACTGTGGTGGCGCAGTTGACAGAAAGTCACTGAGGGGACTTTTTGTGGAGATGGTATTCCCTAGCCTTGTTAGCTCAGGTGTTGGACTCTGCTCTTGTACAGATGATGTTGTGCCAGGGCAGGTGCAAAGAACCAAGGGCCTGCCTATAGGAAGAGAGGAAAGCATTTTGTGAAGTGCCAGTGGTTGAGAGTTTGGGAAACAGAACTAGATTTTGGAGGTGAAGGAGACTCTGTTCTTTATGTATGGTACACTCCCAGGGTGGAGAGAAGAGTGCTGAAATTCTTTAAAAGGACATGAAGGGATTGAGACTTGAGAGAGAGAGATACGAGAATAATGCCTTTGGTCCTATAACCTCCTCACCATTATTTGTGCAGGGAGCAGCCAGCTATACTTGTTCTGAATGCAGTGAGGCATTTTTACTATTTTTCACAGGGTACCAGAAGCGACTGTTTGACTATCAAGCCTGGACAGAGTTTGGAAAACCTCATCTCCAAGCTCTGTAAAAATAAACAGCAGCCGTGTTAGAGCCACTGCAGCCTGGAGGTTAGTGTGCTGGACAACAACCAAAGTTCAAATCCCTGCCTGCCCACCCCTGGTCCTGCCATGAAGTTCACTCTATAGTAATACTATAGAGGAGGACAAGCAATGAAAACAAGCAAAGATGTGCCTTCTGACCATTAGAAGCCTGACTCAAATCCTTTTTGGTATTTGCATCCTTTGGCAGACTTTGCCCAGTGCTTCCTCCCACCCCAAGCCAGCGAAACTAGAAGCTTGTTTTCAGTGTTTAATAATAAAAAGTTGAGCATGTTCTCACCTACTGAGAGTAGACGCCACATCACAGCAGGAGTGGAAAAGCAAGCAAACACATCATCAGTGCAGGAAAAGTGGGTAACATGGGGAAGAACCACCGATTGCCCCCGACACTGACCCCACATGTATACCAGGCCACTCTGTGTCTTGGCAGCAGAAGTGTGAGCAGAATGGCAAGCTGCAATCTCTACTACTCTGAAAGAAAGAAAGAAAGAAAGAAAGAAAGAAAGAAAGAAAGAAAGAAAGAAAGCTACAGGTTAGTCAGCTGCTGACACCAGACATTTACAATACACAAAGAATTGCATAATATGTCATGAAGGTATACATGGAGATTACAGGAAGTGTCATAACAGACTATGCAAGACATAAACAAATTCAATTATCACAAGACTCCATAACTAGTAGCTTTAGTGCTGAAAAAGGGAGATTCATGAATGTCTCTCTCTTTAGGATGCACACCCTCTTCTTCTAAAAGTACATGCACCTCAGGTCATTTATCACAGTATTTATGCTCAATTGCACAAGAAGGAATATTTACCCTTTAATAAAATTAATTAACACATTTATTACATCATTCCCAGTCTAAGAGGTGATGTGCATCACTGAACAATTGCCATGTATAACTGGCAATGGGCAATGAAGGCCAGCTGCCTCAGATTGCCTCTTGCTGTTTTGTTTTAAGTGAAGGTACAAAAAGACCACATTTCCAAATAGTAAGTCATTGAAGACAGAATCATGTTGACCATACATTCTCTCAAATACTAGAATCCCTCCCCCTATGCTGCTATAAATGGACATCTAATGCTCTTGCATTCTACAGTGATAAAAAAGTACAACAGCTACATGTAGCCAATGCATGCCACCAGACAATACCACTAGAGGACCTAAAAAGGAAGGCATGGCCTGTAATAGATTTGATAAATGGCAAAATCCTAACCAAAAATGAGCTGACTTTGGGCCACTGCCATTAGATATGAAAAAGTGACCCCTTAGCTCCACATGGATGCCAGGAGAGCAGAGAGAACATTCAGATGGTACAGATCTGTTTTGCTCACCTTGGGGTCCCCACATGTTCTCTGCCAGCTCTGCCATTGGTCAGCCCCCTTACCACTACCTCAAAGGCCATGTTGAGGACGTTCAATGAGATGAAGGAAGATTGTGAGGTTGTGCCTGATGCCTCAGGGCCCATATCTGGTTACCACAGTGTAGGATCAGGTTTTTGGGCAAGCATTTAAATGTGAAAATATGGAACACATTCAAAACAAGACACACTTAGACTTCTGGTTGGTCACCCAGTAATGGCAGACGGGAGCTCTTTCAGATGAAAGAGCCCCAGCGCTGTGAAGCAGGGGGAAACCGCAAGAGTGTTGCGGTCCCCCGGAAAAACCTCAGATCGGGTGTTCTGAGGACCTGGTGTTCCGGTGGGTGCCCTTTTGCGACTCCCCCGCTCCCCGGTAAGCTCGCAAGAGCCCCGAGAGTGAGTGGGGTTGGAGACCGCACAGCGGAAATGACTGCTTCCTTCACTGCGCGAAGCTCTGAGTCTGGCGACCATGAGCGGCCAATTCCTTCAATAAAAAGACTCACAATTTGGAACTGTAAGTAAAGAACAAAGTCTTAATTTGACCAAGATTAAAGGAGGGGGAAGGGATTTAAAAACGGAGGTTGATCCCTTTTGCTGAAAGAAAGCGGAGTCGGTAAGCAAGGACCAAAGCCTTAGGTGGAAAAAGACTTTTGAAAGTTTGTAAGTTAAACCTATGCCCCCCTTCTGCAGGGGGAAGAGGGGGGAAAATATTTCAATTGCTAAAAACCCTGCGGGACTGTGTTTTTAAGTAAAGAGGCTCCTCCATTCTGTTGCGGACCTCCCGGGGGGGAAAGGCTAGACTCCATTGTGACGTCACAATGGAAGAGGAAACATTCAATCTTTGTTTCCACTGACTCTGTTATTTTGTATCCTGTGGCTGTCTGGACACATTTTAAAGTAGCTAAAAGTGTCTTCTACTTCCAGGACTGTCTGTTAACTTTATATGTGATCTAAAAACTTCTTTTTACTCGCAGCCTGCTTTAATAACATGGAACAGGGGGGCTGCTGGATGCCTGGGCTGACACCTGTGGGACTGGTGGTGGGATCCTGTTTTCCTCTCTCATTCCACTAAGCTGTGGGACTGACCTTGAAATTCCTGAGCCATTATGTTTGCTGATAAACAAGAGAAGGTAACCACAAGACATGGCTCTAAAAATCCACCCTTTGAGGAATCTGTAATGGTACCCCTGAATGAAATTAGAGACAATACAAATCACAACACAGAGGGTATAGAAAGACTGGATAAAAAGATTGAAGCTTTAAGTTCTGAACCGAAAGAGGTTAAGACTGAGATAACTACACATGATACAAGGTTGGCACAGCTAGAGACAGAGTGCCGGACTTGGAAAGACTACAATATGAAAACGCCAATTCAATTGCCTTTCTTCAAATGAAGGAAAGGGAATCTCATTTGAGATTGAGAGGGGTGCCTCAACTGGATGAGGAGAAACTCAAGGAGTTTCTGATGGACTATTTTGTGGCGTGGTGGGATTTGAAAAAGAAAGACGTTGAGTTGTGGATAGAAAAAGCTTACAGATTTGGGCCCAAAAAGGATAGAAAAATAACCTATGACTGTATAGTGGTCTTCAAGACCAAGGAACAGAGAGATACCATTTTGGGATTGCATTATAAAAAAGGCTTAAAAATACAGGACAAATCCATCGTCCTCTTCAAGGAGATTCCTAGACACTTCCTGAATTTGAGATCCAATTTTACAGAATTGGCAAACATTTTGAGGAGTAAAAAATTTTTTTTCAGCTGGGAATTCCTAGAGGGCCTATCGTTTAAAATCGAAGGAAGGAAGCAAAGAATTAAGACTGTGGGGAGAGAGGGACAGATTTCTGCAAAAGCATGCGGTGGAACTTGGACGGCAAAGCCCGCAGCTGCCAGGGGCAGGAGCGGCAACCCCTTAATTTAACATCATGGCGCTGAGAGTTTATTCTTGGAATGTCAATGGACTAAATTCTCCTCAGAAAAGGAGACAGGTATATCATGTGTTGGAAAAACAGAATTTGGGTGTAATTTGTCTACAGGAAACACATATTACAAGACTACATAGAAAAAATTTATCATAGAAAAAAAAACTTGGACAAGAATTTATTTCTTCGGACAAAGTGAAAAAAAGAGGAGTGGTTTTTTATATCAAAGAAAAATGGAACCCAAAACTGATCTTTAAAGACGAGGAAGGAAGACACATAGCAGTGGAAATTACAGCACAAGGCGAAAAAATATTTGTTATTGGGAATCTATGCACCTAATGATGGCAAAGCGGAATTCTTCAAGAACTTGGAAACAAGTCTTTTGGACTATTTGGATTACAAATTAATTCTAATGGGAGACCTGAATGGAGTTGCATCTACTTTGATGGATAGGACTCAGAGGCAAAAAAAATTGAATGCTGGCAGACTACCTAAGGCTTTCTTTGACATAACTGACAAATTTGATCTGTCAGACATATGGAGAGTCAGAAATCCAAGTGAAAAAAACTTCAGTTTTTTTTCCAGATGCAAACCAATCATTTTTGAGAATTGACTACCTATGAATATCCAGAGACTTGGTTCCTGAAGTATCAAAAATGGAAATTTGCCCTAAAACCTGCTCAGACCACAATGCAGTTTTTGTGGAACTGAAAATGTCCTTACAAGGTTCCTTCAGATGGAGAATGAATGGTGATTTGTTGAGAAGTACCCAAATTGTAAATAAAGCCCAAAAAGCCCTAAAGGATTATTTCGAAATTAATATGAATCAGGGAACGGAAACAAGGGTTATTTGGGATGCCAGCAAAGCAGTAATGAGAGGATTTCTAATTGAACAAAATTCAATTAGGATAAAGATACAGAATGAGAAAAAAAATAAAATTTTGGAACAACTAAAAGATAAAGAGAAGGGTCTTAGAGGGAACCCAAAGAACTTGCAGATACAAAAGAAAATTAAAGCCCTACAGATTCAATATTCACAGATTATAAATCAAGAAATAGAATGGAAACTAAGGAGGATGAAACAAAGGAATTTTGAATCTGCAAATAAATGTGGGAAACTTTTAGCTTGGCAATTAAAAAAGAGGCAAAAGCAAAGTACTATCACAAATATTGTAACAGAAGGAAAGTCTGTGGAGAACCCTGTGGACATAAGAAAATGTTTTCACAAGTACTACAAACAACTGTATAAAAAGGAGAAAGAGGACCAGGCCAAGACTGAGCAATTTATTAAAGCCAATGGTTTGCAGAAGATTCCTGAGGATAAAAAGATCCTACTAAAGGGACTGATTTCAAGACAGGAAGTGGAATATGCAATAAACTCAATGCAACTTGGCAAGACCCCGGGACCAGATGGTCTATCAGCAAAATACTATAAGACATTGGCTTATCAAATAAAAAGAGTATAGTCTTACCGAAGCTACTCTTTTTATTTTTTATTTTCTCCCCTCAATACCTGGAGAAAAGGTGGTTCTGCAATATGTAGGTGACCTTATACTAGCGGCAAAGGATTTTGATACCTGTAAAGAAGGGACAGAGGAACTGCTCCACTTGCTCTGGGAAGCTGGCTACCGAGTTTCCCAGAAAAAGGCACAGTTATGTTTAGAAAAGGTCAAATATTTGGGCTTTGACATCTCACACCAACAACGAGCATTGAGACCAGAGAGGAAAGAAGCTATTTGCCTTATCAAGGAACCTACCACAAGGAAACAACTCAGAAGATTCCTAGGAACAGCAGGGTTTTGTAGACTATGGATACCTGATTTCAGCAGTCTGGCCAAGCCCTTACATGAAAGCACTCAAGGTGCAGAAAAGGACCCATTTGTATGGGGACCTGAGCAGCAACAAGCCTTTTTAGTTATCAAACAACGACTTATGGAGGCCCCAGCCCTTGGGCTGCCTAATTCGGAAAAGCCCTTTCAGCTGTATGTACATGAACAGAATGGGATTGCAGCGGCAGTCCTGACCCAGAGATTAGGAAGTTGGAACCGTCCAGTAGCTTATTTTTCTAAACAATTGGACTCAGTAGCAAAAGGATGGCCTCCATGCCTAAGGGCAGTAGCGGCCACTGCAAGCCTTGTCAAAGAAGCTGATAAATTTACCTTTGGCCAGACGATGTATGTGAATGTACGTCATGCTGTTCTGACACGCATGGAATATAAGGGTAGTTATTGGCTAACGAACCCAAGGATGGCTAGATACCAAGGCCTATTGTGTGAAAATCCCAGGATTCATCTACGAGTAGTGAATATGCTCAATCCAGCAACTTTGCTGCCCCTACCAGAGGTAGATGATGAAGAATCACATGTTTGTCTCCAAATAATGGATGAAGTTTATTCCAGTAGACCCGATCTGAAAGATGAACCATTGAAAAATCCAGATGTTGTATATTATACTGATGGTAGCAGTTACCTGCATGAAGGTGCCAGACGAGCAGGATATGCTGTGGTCACCAATGAGGAAGTTGTGGAAGCTGAAGCTTTGCCTGCTGGCACCTCAGCACAAAAAGCTGAACTTATAGGTTTAACTAGAGCTCTGCAATTGGCAGCCGGATGTAAGGCAAACATCTATACTGATTCTAAATATGCCTTCTTAACCCTGCATGCACATGGAGCTCTATGGAAAGAAAGAGGTCTAATCGGAGCCCACGGGAAGGCCTTGAAATATGGACCTGAAGTAGAAATCCTGTTGGAAGCAGTATGGGCTCCAGAACAGATTGCTGTAATGCACTGCAAAGGTCATGGACGTGGAAGGGATCCAATAACCAGAGGAAATCATGCTGCTGACAAAGCAGCCCGAGAGGCAGCCCAAAAGCCTGTGGGAGGATTTATAGCAGCCCTCATACCAGAGGTAGTTCCAGAAGAAGTTAAACCTCACTATACCCCAGAAGAGAGGAAGTGGGCTGAACAGGAAGGAGTGGTTGTGAAGGACAGTTGGATGATCCTGCCGGACAATAGGATTTATGTACCTCATCACCTAGCAGGCACAATTGTAAGAAATTATCATGAATCTACTCACCTTGGCGGTACTGCAACCAGAGAGAGTCTCAGTCGGAAGTTGTATATTATTAACCTATCACGATTAGCAACTTGCATTTCACGGAAATGTGTTCTTTGTGCTAAAAACAATCCCAGGCAGGAATCCTCCTGGAATCCAACATGTGGGATACGTCCCCATGGAAAGCCTAATTGTGGACTTCACAGAGCTGGTCCCTTCTAAGGGATTCAAGTATCTCCTTGTGTTTGTAGATACTCTTACCGGATGGGTTGAAGCTTTTCCCACCAGAACTGAAAAGGCACGAGAGGTAACTAAGAGACTCCTCACTGAATTGATCCCGAGGTTTGGATTACCTAGATGCATTGGAAGTGATAATGGGCCAGCGTTCATTGATCAAGTAGTACAAGAAGTATGCCGAGTCCTACAAGTGAAATGGAGACTGCATGCAGCATATAGGCCTCAAAGTTCGGGAAAAACTGAAAGAATGAATCGGACTCTGAAAACCCAATTGGCAAAATTAACCCAGGAAACAGGATTGAGATGGGTAGATGTGTTACCCATAACACTGTTTCGTGTTCGGTGTGCACCCACAAAAAGGCTTAAGTTGTCACCTTTTGAGCTCCTGTATGGGAGGCCACCCTCCTTTGTTCAGGATATTCCAGCTGACCTCAAACAAATAGGAGACCATGTGACACAGGGACAAGTGCAATCTCTCTCCCGTGTTTTTGTTTCTCTTAACAGGTGGGCCCTCGAGCGCACGCCGTGCAGCATTGCCGAGCCGATTCATCAGTTCCAGGCTGGCGATAGCGTATGGGTGAAAGAGTGGAAACGAGATCCACTTGCACCTAAGTGGCGTGGGCCTTACACCGTCTTGCTCTCTACTCCAACAGCGGTGAAGGTAGCTGAGGTGACCCCCTGGATTCATCACTCCCGTTTGAAGAAGTCCGAAGGCAGTTGGACGTGTAAAGGTGACCCCTCTAATCCTTTTAAACTGACTCTCTCCAAAAAAAACCCTGTATCTAGCCCTACGGGGAACGGGCTAGGTCACGGGCAACATTAGACGACCGGCCTGCTGCAGCCACAACCTGGAAGCTGGCTGACCTGCGCACGCCTGAAGCTTGAGGAGCATCTGAACCAGTGATTGTGAACGGGAAGATTCACTTATACAATTGACTGACTGCCCTCCCCCCCTTGTGGAACAATTATCAGGGATATTACTCATTGGGGATCCTCGGGATATATGTTTTGGTCTTGGTGGTTCCCCATTTCTGTCACTGGGGGAATTATATTGGGGCTAATATTTTTTTGCTATCACAATAAGGTAATCTTTTGTGGAAGGAATGCATATACTAGACATCAACATGATTTTATTATTAATCCTGATCCCTTGGGAAGGGGAAGGGTCCTTGAATCTGACCAAATTTGCTAAATATTCCGCCATGACCACAATATGTGGGTAGGCTTAGCTGAGATGGTAGCCAATGTTACAAATAGGACCAATTGCCTTGTTTGCTCTTGGACCAGATGATTCAGAGGGAGGTATGCCCTTATTACCGATACCATTAAGTGCCATTGGTATGGTAAGCGAAATGCCACACCAAACAGAAGTACAGAATTTCCCCGGATGGAACTCAACTAAACCAATACGAGTTATACCTGTACAAGGGGAATTCTGTGTACATAAATCATCAGATGCAGCTGATTCTACCATGGTAGGCTCTTCTCATTGCCACTATACTTGGGATTATATTAAGAATAGTCAAACCTGGGCAAACGGTACTACCTATCGAACTCGGAATACCTTGCCCTGTGCACCTCCTTTTATTCATGCATGGAAAATGGTGTGGAACATAACTGTGACAGCAAAAGGCAATCTAACATACTGCACTGTGAACTCTATACCCCTTTTGATATTTCACCTTATGCACTCCACGTACCAAAAACCTCAGACCCGATGGTTGTGGTGGATATGTGGAGAATGGGCATACAAGCAACTCCCTTCCAAATGGAGTGGGACTTGTTTCCTGGGATGGGTATTACCACCAATGTGGATTATGCCCACTAGTTCAGCCAAGCGTACACGAAGAAACGCTGATATTTCTCATATAGGAGGAAGTACCCAAAGTTGGAGTGATACTGATGATTGGCCACCAGAGCGCATTATAGCCTATTATGATCCTGCCTCCTGGAATCCTGATGAGCTCATACAAGGGGCACGGGATCCTATTTATAATCTAAACAGAATAATTCGATTGCAAGCAGTAGTGGAACTTGTAACCAATGCAACAGCCCAGAGTTTGAGACTTATTGCACAACAGTTGGATGAAAGTAGAGCCGCCATTTTGCAGCTGAAAATGGGAATGGATTATGTACTTGCCAGGCAGGGAGGCCTATGTGGAGTCTTGAACTTGACAGGGAATGCCTGTTGCTTTAACATTTCTGATAATGGTGAGGCAATCCGTGTGTTGGCCACAAAGATGGAGAGTATAGCACATGTCCCAGTACAAATATGGGAAGGATGGGATATGGGATGGCTCACCAATTGGTTACCTAAAGTTGCAGGACTCAAAGGGATACTATTGTCTTGCTTGTTTTTCTTGACGGTAGTAGTAATGGTTTTATGTATGGTGCCATGTATCATTTCATGTTTTAGAAGTACAATTAGCAAGATGATTTCAAATGAAACTTTACCTCATATCATGGCCCTATACAGAGCTTTACCTCAGGAATATGATGAAGGTCAAGCTATCAAGGACACTTGGGAAGGTCCTTGAGCTTGAAAGGGGGGAATGAGGCATCTGATCAAGGCTTGTCTTGCCAGACATAAAGCAGCTGGCTGAGTACTCTGGCAGTTGTTTATCTTCTTGATCAAGCCCCCCCCCCCCGATTTATAACAGGAGACACGTTTCTTAAAGTTGTAAAAGGAAATTACAGGCTGGGAGCAAAAGGTCATATTGACCATACAAATTACAGAAAACAATCAAGCTGCAAAAACACTAATTAAGAGTTGGTAAATAGTGAAATTTATTGTTTAACAGAAAATACCATGTGCCTCCCATCAGACTCGAGCCACATCTTCCTAAGTTTAAAGGGCAAGAGCTAATAGAAACAGCAGCTGGCTTGAAAGGGGGGTGTAAATTTAAGGGGTTGCTTTTGGAAACTGTTTTTACTAATTTCCCTTTTACTTTGAAAAGGCCTTTTCTTCTAAAAATCTATATATGTTATGTATGAAATATATTGGCTTAAATGTAATTATGCAAAGGATTTAGAAAGTAAGAAATGTTAGATTCTTATGTTAGATTCTTATTTCATTGATGGTGTGTGAGAAGGTGAACCCAAGATCTCTAAGATAAAAATTAAAACCATGAGCCATCTGTTTTAGCCATCTGTTTTGGAGTGAAAGGGCAATAGGGCAATAGGGCAAAGATGATCTGGTAATTAAGGTGCCTGGTCGAGGCAAATGTAAGATATATGGCTACTTGTCTGCCATTTATGGATAGAAGGAAATATAGCTCTTTGTCTCTCATAAAAGGTAATAGGAAATGGGTGTATCTTTTATTATTGGTTCTAGCAAACAGCCAATAGGAATTTCAACCAAGCTGATTGGACAGAGGCAGCCAAAGGAGGAGCAAGGGGGCTGGGCTGAGGAAATATAAGTGCTGGCCATCAGGGCTGGAGTGGGCAGAGCTTTGGTAACCATATACCACTGTGTCTCTCATTTATTTGTCTGACAAATAAATTATTATTTTAATTTCTCTATTGCTGCGTTGAATATTTCATTCCAGCTAAGCGTTAACCACAAGCAGGGTGCTACAGAAGGTCATGACACCCGCTTTGGATGGCATGGCTATCTTAATTATGGGAAAATAAAGGCGCACTGGAGTTTTTCAAATCATATAATAAGAAATGCTATATATAAGGTGTGGGAAAAATACAAAAGATATTTGGAACAGAAAACCCCAAGATGGAACTCTCCATTAGAAGCAACTGCTGTTAAAAAAAACAACAACATCAAAGAGAACTGGATAACGTATAACACAATATTAAGGGAGGAGGAGGGGCAACTAATATTGATAAGTTATGAGAAAATAAAATATCACTTTTCTAGTTGGCTAGATTACTCCCAGGTGAATGAAATGTTCAGACAGGATAAGCAGATAGGTTTTGAAAAGGAGCCTTCAAGATTTGAAAGAGAATTACTGAATAGTAAAACTAAAATAATCGCAGAAATGCATAGACTTCTTTTAGACTACGAAGTAATGGATGAGGAGCTTAAGGCTTCAATGATAAAGTGGGCCCAAGAAGTGGGCCGTCCAATTATGCTAAAAGATTGGGAAAACTTATGGAAGGTAAATTTGAAATTTACAGCCAGCTATCACGAAGAGTCGGACACGACTAAACGACTAAACAACAACATAATATAAGAGAGAACATGATGAAAATGGCTCATAGGTGGTACCTCACTCTTTCCAGATTATCAAGAATGTATAAAAATTTGGCGAATGCTTGTTGGAGATGTGGAGGAAATAACGGTGACATGATCCACATGTGGTGGACGTGTGAAAAGATTAAGATTTTTGGGGGGGAAATATACGATGAATTAAAAAAGATGATGGGGATAACTTTTACTAAAAAACCGGAGGCATTTCTATTAAGTATTTTAGATAAAGAGATCCCAAAAAATCTAAGAGAGGTATTCTTGTATGCAACCGCAGTGGCTCGTATACTTGTGGCCAAGGGATGGAAAGATCCCGAGGCTCCAAAAATAACAGATTGGCAAATCAAATTACAGGAATTGGTGGAGACAGCTCAACTGACTAGTAAACTCAGAGGAAACTCTAAGCAAAAATTTGCGGAAAAATGGGATGGTTATAGAAGATATGTTCAAAAATACAAGAATAGTTTTGACTCCGTGCTAGCATTCGAGTGATAAAGGAACTAAAAGGAGGTGGACAACAATTAAGGATTTATTATGTTTTCAGAATGTATTAGAAAAATTATATAGAAAGGTTTATTGTTTTGTGTACATTCAAATGTAAGATAAAATATATGCAAAGGGACTTGACAGGAAGTCAAAGTTGAAGAAAATATTTTGGAAGATAAAAGGGGAAAAAATATTTACTTTCATTATCATTTTGTGTGCGGGTGTGGGTGTGTGGGTGTCTGCACATATGTGTGTTGTTGTATGCAATGTTTGGGAGGAAATAAGACGGTAAATAACAAATAACAAACTAAATATCAATGTATGTAATTTTTATTTCTTAATTATATTTAGTGGTGGTATGGCTGTATTGTTTTTTGTAACATAAAATCATTCAATAAAAATTGTATTAAAAAAGAAAGAAAGATTGGCTTATCCAACCTTTGGTAGAAGTATGCAGTTTGATTCTAGGAGGGGGCAAAGCATCTGAAACCTGGAAGGAAGCTTATATTACTCTGATTCCTAAACAAGATCAAGATAGAGCCAATGTCAAGAAGAATTACAGACCAATCTCCCTACTTAATGTGGATTATAATTGTTTTGCGAATATACTGGCTAACAGGCTAAAGAAGGTTCTGTCTGAACATAAACATAAAGATCAGGCAGGTTTCTTGCCTGGAAGACACATGAAAGATAATATCAGGAATGTTGTAGATATTTTGGAAAAGCTGGAAGCAAGAAAGAACTGTAAAACAATGTTAATGTTTACTGATGCTGAGAAAGCCTTTGACAATGTATCTTGGAGTTTTATGTTCACAATTTAGAAAGTATGGGGGTTGGTCAAGATTTTTTAAATGGTATTAATGCGATCTATCATGAACAAAAAGCTAAAATTATTGTAAATAATGTGGTATTGGAGGAAATTAGAATCGAGAAGGGAACCAGGCAAGAGTGCCCACTTTCCCCTCTGTTGTTCATTTCTAAGTATGATAAGAAAAGATGATCAAATTAAAGGTATTACAGTAGGATCAAAACAATATAAATTAAAAGCCTTTGCTGATGATTTAGTACTGACATTATAGGATACAGATACCAGTGCAGTAAAAGCACTGGAGCTGATACAGGAATTCGGACAGGTAGCAGGATTTAAGTTAAATAAGAGCAAAACCAAAGTATTAGAGAAAAATCTGGATAATGATGAAAGAAAGTTATTACAAGAAAAGACGGGCCTAGATTTTGTGAAAAAAATTAAGTATCTGGGAGTGAATTTGCCCAAGAAAAATCTGAATTTATACAAAGATAACTATGAGAAACTATGGAATGAAATTAAGAGAGATCTAGAGATATGGTCAAATTTAAAATTGTCACTAATGGGCCGGATTTCAGTGGTTAAGATGAATGTATTGCCAAAGACGTTATTTCTGTTTCAAGCCCTCACAATTATAGATAATGTGAAATGTTTTAAAGAATGGCAGAAAGCTTTATCTAGATTCATCTGGCAGGGGAAAAAACCCAGAATTAAATATAAATTACTAACAGATTCTAAAGAAAGAGGGGGATTTTCCCTGCCAGATTTGAAAATCTATTTTGAAGCAGCTGCACTTTGCTGGATTAAGGAATAGATACAATTAGAAGATACCGATGTTTTAGATTTGGAGGGATTTGACAATGTGTTTGGATGGCATGCATATTTATGGTATGATAAAGTAAAGGCCCATAATGCTTTTAAAAACCATGTAATTAGGAAATCTCCGTACAATGTATGGATAAAATATAAAGATCTCTTAGAAAGGAAGACACCCAGATGGCTTTCGCCAATGGAGGTGAAGGCCCAGAAAAAGTTAAATATGGATATCAAGTGGTTGAGATATTCAGACTTGTTATTAGAGGACAAAGAAGGTTATAAATTAAAACCATTTGATTAAAGATAAGTTAAATTGGTTACATTATCACCAGATTAATGAATTGTACAAATTAGATAAGAAAAATGGTTTTGCTTCAGAAAAATCTAAGTAGGAAACGGAGTTGTTGGACTCTAAAGTTAAAAATTTGTCTAAAATGTATAACTTATTGTTGGAATGGCATACAAAGGATGAACAAGTTAAGTCAGTGATGATAGACTGGACAAGAGATGTGGGAGATGTGTTTGAAGACTGGGAAAGATTGTGGAAGAAAGGGGTCAAATTCACTGCATGTACAGTGTTAAAGGAAAATATAATGAAAATGATGTATAGATGGTATTTGACTCCTGTAAAATTAGCAAAGATATACCACAACAGTGATAAACTATGTTGTAAATGTAAAGAAAAAGAGGGTACCTTCTATCATAAGTGGTGGACCTGCCCCAAGGTGAAAGGCTTCTGGGAGAAGATTTATAACGAATTGAAAAAAATGTTGAAATATACATTTATTAAGAAACCAGAGGCCTTTCTTCTTGGAATAACAGGTTTGGAATTGCCCCAAAAAGATGTTAAATTATTTTTGTATGCCACAACTGCAGCAAGAATTTTGTTAGCGAAGAACTATAAAACACAAGAAGTACCAACAGTGGAAGATTGGCAGATGAAGATGATGGATTTTTCGGAGCTAGCCGACCTGACTGGAAGAGTCCATGACCAGAAGGAGGAGGACCACCAGGAGGAATGGATGACGAAATTTAAAGACTATTTAGTTAAATATGTTAAGTTAACTTAATTGGAAAAGCTTGCAAATATCAGATAGGCTTAGGATTTAAATATGTAATGTGATGAATTAATATGTTTAATGCCAAATTTGAAAGAAAGAAAGATGTTAAGTGATTAAGTTAATCCTATAAGAATATTGGTTTTGGAAAACTGTTAAAATGATATACACTGAAATTCAACCAGGGGGATACGAGGAAGTCACTTAACAATGTTACTAAGATTGGTTTAAATACGCCCGAGATTTTTGTTTGTTTGTTTGTTTAAAAAACTTTTTGGAAAATTAATAAAATCTTTTTTTCCCCTTCCAAAACATGACACAATTAAACTTTTGTGTCCCTTGACTATGAAACGGCATACAGTTTACTAGGGGCACTTGAAGCAGGAGAGTAGCACGAAATTCTGGATGGAAACTTGAAAGAAGCTTATCATGGTGCATCACAGAATCACACCAGCTGAGGGCTATTGGATCAAGCACCCCAGTCGAAAGAATCCAGTCCCTAGGCAGGTATAGCAAGTGATACCAGTCTTTTCCTCCCTACATCACTAGAGTAGAAAACAAAAACAGATTATCCTGAACTTAAGGTGGTTCTCATTCATTTTAGTTGCCTAACTTTATCTAAAAGTGAAGTGTATTCTAAAGCTCCGTTTGAGACAAGACAAGACACACATTTTTTGCAGAGTGGAAAGTACTGGCAGGACTTGCCGTAACTTAGACGCCTTAAAATAACAAATTTTGGGTCACAGACTTCATGGTCTGAAGGGAGGGTGGAAACTGAGAAGGGATCAGAGAAGAAAGGAAGACAGATGAAGCCCTGCCCACAAAACCTGCAAGTTGCCCTTTACACCAAAGACGGACAGACAAAGGCATTCAGTCACCTCTTTTTCAGGGTGCCATGAACAGACACCTCAAACATCCCTGCCTCCCAGTTCCAAGGATTAGTTGCAGCAACATTTACCTCTCCTTTTCCATCATGATCTGCACTGGGCTTAGCTGGTTGCTTTTACTGCCAGTTCCCAGCTGCCCATAAGTGTTTGCTCCCCAGGCGTAGAGCAAGCCCTCATCCGTTAACACCATTGTGTGTGCATAGCCACAGGCAACCTGCAAGAAAGAAAATGGAAATCAATGCTAGCATCACTCTAAGATGGCCACGAAGAATGAGAAATCACTGCTGGACACTTAAGTATCAGTTGCACAACTTGGGTTAGTTTTAAACACCAAGGGAGTCTACACACAGGTTATGAAATGCGGAGGGGGGTGTCCTACGGTTCTCCAGATACTGTTGGACTGCAACTCCTGTTATTTCTGACTACTGACTGAGGCTGGGGGTGGAGAGAGCCCAACAAACATCACGAGAATTGTAGGTTCCCTGGCCCAGGTATGAAAAGGTTTCACTGATTATTGATGGTTTGGTAAAATACTTGCAGAACAACTGAGAAATAACCCAAGTCATCTTGTCTCCAAAAGATCACCAGTAAAATGTTGACACTTCCTAAACACAATCTCAGGTTTGGAAGAGGCAGCTGCGTCTTGGTTATTCCCTTTTCCTGCCCTTGGCAAAAACTGCCAACTGAAGGCTGCCCCAGCTGCAGTGAAGATGGCAGCTATCTACAGGCTCATAGTTACCAGGCCTCTTCAACACCAACTGTTTGCAGGCTAGGCTTTGGTTATAAGCACTAAACAGAAGCTCACAATAAACCAGGGGACAATTAAGCAACACAACTTACACTATTTTGTACTCACCTGCATTACACAGAGACCTTGTAGCGCGGCCACTCGGCATGGGGTTAGCTGGTTGCCATTGTTTCCCAGACCTAGTTGACCATTGCCATTGTAACCCCAGCCATATACCTTCATGAAGGAGGAAGAACAGTTAATCTGGATGCACTCCAGGGAAAGAGGTGGCCAGTGCAGTGTGCTGGTGAGAGCGTTAGACTATGATCTGGTAGACCAGGGTTCAAAGCCCCACTGAGTCGCGAAGCTCAGTGGGTAACCCTGGGCCAGTCTCTCCCTCTAGCCTACCTCTTAGGGTTGGTGTGAGGGTAAAATGGCGAGGGGGGAGAAACACGGAACTCCTTGAAGGTGGGATATAAACGTAACAATAAAAATGAATTTAAAATAGCTCTAGTTCAGGGAAAGATGCTGAGAAAGGCAGGCTGAAAATGCACCTAATCCTAATCTACATACACTTCGGCTATCTGTTGCCGACTCATTTTTCTTTTGTGCATATGAACACTGCATATTGACTCTTAAATTATAAAATGAAGGGTTTTATGACTTTTAGTTTAATCTGCCTGCAGAGTTACTTGGTTACTCTGCCCTTCCCCTAAATGTTACAGGACTGTTCTGGATGTACTGGATTCATAGCGTAAGTAAAAAAGTTTAACTTTCCAGCATTTAAGAGCAAGGAAGCAGCAATGTCAACACTATTTATAGCTCAAGTTTCCCTGTTTCCTGAGGATAAACTTCCTCTGACTTAAGCCTCGAATAATTGTTTACTAACTGCATCTGTGGTTTCAATAATTATCAAATGAGTCACAAATCCTACTTTTCCCTTTAACCACAAGATTTGCTCCCTCAGGTGATCCAGCATCACCTTCAGAAATGAATTTTAGATGATGAAGTGAACATACAGGTGCCAGAACAAGTCTTAATGGCAATGAACAGCCAGCAGGTGTCTAGTTTAAAGCCACTGCAGCTCATCAACTTCACAAAAGTTTCTGGGGCATCTTCTATTAGCCCTTTGTTCTGCACTTTAGCATTTTCTTACGCAGAAGCAGAGCCATGTGTGCAATGACCTTGGAATGCTTACCTCACCATTGTCCACTACAGCTATGGAAGAGGTTTGGCCACATGCAACGCCGACCACCACCTTCGTCTGCAGACAGTTGGAAACCTTGCGGGGAGTGGGCTGGTTTGCCGTGGAGCCTGACCCAACTTGTCCACAGTTGTTATAGCCCCAGGCATACACCTTGCCACAAGGAAAGAAGATGAAAAGACATAATGGGAACACACTCCAAACTTCCTTCAGAACAAAAATAATGCCTGAACAGCTTTGAGTTGATTATCTCCTTTTACCTTTTTTAAAAATTTTACCCTAGAACTCTTCCAATTTTAACTCCACTGCTGCAGATATGCAGGTGACACATCAAAAGCCTTGCCAAACAGCAGACACTGCCCTGTGTCCACAGGTAGTCCGTTCCTTCTGCAAACATGCATCGTGATGCAAAGTTACATCATGTAACTTTACATCATGAAACATCATGTTACATCTTAATCTTATCTGTTAAGGTAAGATTTCAGTCCAAAATATTTCACTAGGAAAACACAATACAATGATTGATAGCAACATCAGATTCACTTTTCTCTGAGGGCTTCCCAAAATTTAAGACAGTTTAGAGATTTTTGAAATGTTAAGTGGGATATCAATGCTTTTAAATAAATAAATACAGGAACACATTTGCATAACAGTGGGTTCTCAAAAGCAAAAGTTTAGCAAGTAATAATATACATATATAAAAGACTTACATCTCCATCAGATGATAGTGCTATAGAATGATGGGAGCCACAAGCTACTTCAATTACTTTCTTAATTAGCAAATTGGTACAGATTTGAATGGGTGTAACACCTTGATTGGTGGTCCCATTTCCAAGTTGACTGTATCCATTATGTCCCCAGGCATAAACTTCACCATCTATGAAAGGCACAAAAGCACAAATGTCCATAATTTATTTATCTAACCCTAGAAGATGATTCCCAATTCCAAACAACACCAGACAAAAGCGGGTCAGAAAAAATATAAGAGACTGCATCCAGAGCCACAGCTCCACTCATGCAACTGAAATCCACGCCCACAATGCAACTTCCTCTTCTGCCCCCTCCAGACCACCATGTGGCCTCAAAATCTGCTCCAAAGCAGAATTTGGGGGCATGTAGGGGAGAGCATAAGAAGTGGATGTCCTATTTCACAAGCAGAATTCTGCTTGTACAGTGTGGAAAATAGCCCTAAGTCTTAAGATAAGTACCTGAATTAGAACCCAATTGTTCTGAAAGGTTTGAGGGAATGGGGTGTGCACACACACGGAGTGAGACACTTAAGCCTTCTTTAGATTTTATTTTTCCTAGGAAGCGCTGCAGCATCTACATAACTTTACTCCACCCTGGTCTGGTGAATGCTGCTGCACAAAGGAAAACACTGGCAATTGCAGCCACAGGCTTCACCTTTAGCACAAGCTGCACACATGCATCAAAGGAAGATGTCAAAAGACTACTCTCATTCTTAGGGTTGACGTTGGAAACAACATTGCGTGAAGGCAGGAAAAGATCCATGGGGGTTGCAATCCAACAACGTTGTGAGAGCCACCAGTTCGCACCCTTGGCGAGAGGGAAGTGCCTAATAAAATTCTGCAGCCCAAGCTTACCACAAATATTTAAGCTGGACAAATATTTTTAAAACCATGTCCACATCCCATTGGAAGCAACATAGTAAAGTAATTTAGTGTCTTGCCCAACAAAGTAATCAACTTTCATGGCCAAAGAGAAGGAACAATATACACTTTCACTCATTCATCCAATTACAGCTATTCCATGAATGGGTTTACTTAAAATCAGATGAGAAGAGAAGATATCCATTCTTTGACATGGGAGACTAGATTGGAAAGAGTATCAATATATGTGTGTAGGAGTTGAGGGGAAGATGCAGCCACACAGGGAGGTTAAGCTGGAACAACCTGTTGTTGGAATGGACTTGCCAACAGCGCAAGGCCACAACCACATTTTCTTGGAATCCATTTCTAACGACCTTTGCTTAAATTTAGGGAGCATGCAATTAGTATTGCTCAAGAGCAAAACTACCTTCTGTACTAAGTATTACATGTGGTCCACTTCCATAACTGAGGCTGCGAATCCTCTTTCCGCATAAAGTTTCAAGTTTCTTTGGTACAATGGTACTCTGGTTATCTCCAGTTCCCAAACAATTACTACAGTTTAATCCAAATACAAATACCTGGAAAGAGAGACCAATAACACTATATTTTAATGCTTATATTTATAGCAACAGTCATCAAGATGAAAGTGAATCAGGGTAAATATACAATTTATAAGATTTAATAGGATTCTTACTATATCCATTTCAGCTATAGTGTCTTTATAATGATAGCATGGTTTTGCAATGAACTCTAAATGGCCAAAATCAGGCAAACTCAACACAGTATGCTATGGATAAAAAATGCTGGAGCTATGATTATTTTATGAAATTGGATTTCTTTAATAATATGGAAGGAACACTCTGATTTTAAACATCCAAGGTCAAAACACATTTTGGTTGGAATTATACCCGTGAAAGCCACTGTATAATTTACTTAACTATCACCTGTATGTTCAATTTTCTTTCTTTGAAATTACTCCACATATACAGCGTTTGTACTTAGAAATGTTTTATTTTTCTTGTTCTTACATGTTTATAACATTGATATAGGAAGCCATGAATCTTTACCAACCTTTGGAGAACTGGGACAAAACTAACAAAGTCAGTTTCAATAGGGACAAATGTAAGGTTCTAAGAATGAACATTTGCAAATCACTTGCGTTGTTTTTGGCTTATGCACCAGATATACAAACTTTTTTTTTAAGTTAAGCCATTTAACCTAGACAACCCAATATTTACCTCATCACTGTGGGTGATGTATATCGCTTCATTGGCAGATGTTCCAAACACACATGCTTTTCGGATGGTTGATATTTCTTGTGGCGAAAGCAAAGTAAATATTGGCCACTTTCCAACATCCATCATGACTTCACAGTTCTTTATACCAGACTTATAATTATGCTGGCATTTTGCCTCCAATTAAAACAAAATCATGGAGTCACCTGGAAGAGAAGAAAGGATAGAAAGACTGGATTTTCAGATATGGAAAACCTATTTCTATATTGTGGTGCAGACACAGAGATGCCTAACTCTGGGTTACACAGATTTACACATGTGTGTAGTACAGCTGCAGGGATGTATTCCTAGGCAGCCCTGCAAATAATCAGAGGTAGCAGTCGCACATCTCCTGATGCACTTGTTAACCCACCAGCCCATTCCCAAAGCAGAGAGGGAGTTACTATCCCATACAGACCGTCCACTACTCTTTGCCTTCTCATATCTACAGGGAGTTGCCAGAGTTGCAGCTGCCATTTCATTTTGAACAAAAACGTCAGCTAAGCCTGTGCGGGCAGCCTTCACAACATTGCTATAGAGACTTACTAATAGTGCTGAATAGAACATGAAAAGGCTTGAGAAATGGCATTCCACTGTTGCAAAGCAGCAGCACAAACATCAAAAGCGAGCTTTGTTGCCATTGCTCAGATGACATCTCTGAAATGACCCAACAATGCTAGCATACAAACCAGGTCAAAACAAGAAATCCTGCAAGTTTAGTGGTATTGAAAGTTAAACAGAGACAACCATGTTTATATGAAACAAAAGGTAGACTGTCAAGTATGTTTCAAACCTAAAGCTTTAACTCTCTGTAATACCAGGAGTGACAAAAGTTGTTTCCATATCTCAGTATTGTTTTTTAAAAATCTTACCTTGTTGCACACAGAAGGAGCTGAGCTGATAAAACCAGTGTGCAGCACAAACCTTTGAGATAATGTCACATGAAGCATGTTCTGTACACTCTGTAATTCCCTGCAAGGGCTGCTGGGAATTGCAACATATGAAAGACACTAAAATTCAGGAAACAAGTAGCCAACACATCTGTGTGGCTCCAGACACTAGGCTAGAAACATGTGGACCAAGGCAAGTGATGATGTAACAAAAAAGGAGGCTAACTGGAAAAGACTGGTAACTGGGTCACCACCTGCATGTGGCAAAGAGGCATCCTCAGCCTCCCAAACCCAGGCTCTATCCGCTGGCCCAAAATGGGCCTCGGTTTATTTCAGGGATGAGGAATGTCAAGCGCAGAGACCAAATGCAGCACTCCAGACCTCTCTATTTGGCCCTTAGGATTCTCTCCCCATTCACAGCCACATCCTTTGCTCAAAGAGGGTACTAAGTAGGGTCCGTGTTTTTGCCAGGCCTTGAATTCTGCTCATGCTTTTTGTTCCCCTACACCAGGGGTGTCCAAACTTTTTTCAAAGAGGGCCAGATCTGATGAAGTGAACACGCATGAGGGCCGACCAAAATTGTTGAGCTTTTTATTTTTAGGATTGAAGTTGACCCCAAAGTTGTTGAGCTGCTTTTAGGATTGAAAATTCAGGTAGGTAGCTGTATTGGTCTGACACAGTCGAAATATATATTTAAAAAATTTTAAAATTGTCTAGTAACACCTTAGAGACCAACTAAGTTTGTTCTTGGTATAAGCTTTTGTGTGCATGCACACAAAGAGATGGGTGATTTACCATAACCATTGAGTCTATCACCCATCTCCTACTACCCGCCTGAAAAAAACCCCACCCCACCCCACCCCACTATATATAAGGGTCTGGTGACTTCTGTTTCAGTGTATCTGAAGAAGTGTTTTTTTTATTTTTTTATATATTTAGGATTGCAGTTGTTGAATTTTTTTACAATTTTACACCAAAGTTTTTTAAGGGTTTTACCCCAGGACATATACTGCCACGGGGGCCAGATTAAATCAACAGGTGGGCCAGATTAGGCCCCGGAAACAGGCTTTGGACATGCCCGCCCCACACTGGGGGATGTCCAAGTGTGTGGGGTATCTGAGTACCCTACTGTACAAAGGAAAATGTCACACTTGTGGTTCTGACCACTTTTCCTCTGCCCCCCCACTCCCGGCATAAAGAGGTTTTGACATAAAAAAACTCAGAGCACGACATTTCCCCAGGAAATCAAAGCATTTGTTTGCACAAAACATAAAGTGATTCAAGCATCTCACTAGACTCAAAGGATGGGGCTCAACACTATTCCTCCTCAGAGTAGAACCATGGACATGACCCACTTAGGTTCATTCATTTCCATGGGGTTACCCTGAACAGGACATTGCTGAATGCAAACCATGGTGTTGGAAAGTATGGTAGTCCAAGTCCCATAGTCTGACAGCCCTTTTGCTCAGGGCAGGATGCCACTACACAGGCAAACCTCTAGGGCAGCAGAGCCCGCTGTCTCCCACTGCTGTCTGCTCTGCTAGCCAAAATATGCTTCCCTGTAGTTTCCACCTACTGGCTCTGGATTTGCCTTCTAGAGCAGATTTTCAGATATTTAAAAAGCATTATCATCATGTCCCCCTTAATCTTCTCCGCCCCAAGCTAAACACAACCACAGCCCCAGTCCCCATCAGACACTACTGGTTTGGGGTTCCATTTTAAATCAGAATATGTTACATCGTTTGAACCATTAAGGAAGATATAGAGTGCTAATTACACACTGCTAAACAGATTTGAGTACATTCCTGTCTTAGCTGCCCATCTAAAAATGTGACATTTCTAATTTCTTTCAGACATAGCTTAAGGATAAATAAAATATATTTTGGTTCTTTTAACAAGTTTAAATGATTGTTTTAGGAGAGAAAAGGGGTTCACAAATGGACATACGGGAGAGAAATGGTTGCCATGTCACTTGAACATATGGACGTATCCTGCAAGAGCTTGAATAGTGAAACTGTCAAGTTAGGCCAGCACTGCGTTTATAATTTGTACGCATCTGTAACTTCTATCACCAGCCACCAAAACGCTCCTGCCTGTTAACTTGGCTGCAGTGCAAACCACCCCTTCTGACTTCGAGTCTTTTATGCGGCAGCACCTGACTCGGCTTTCTTGCCAGGAAGGCAGCCGGGACGGGCTCCGCTCTGAAGAGAAGAGCGCTCCTTCGGCGGAATCCTGCCCCGGGCCTTGACTCCGGAAGGGGAGGCCGGGGGCGCCACGACGGGCCGCGTCTGGCCCGCGCGCCCCTCAGAAAGCGACGCCTGCAGCTCGAAAGCCTCGTCCGCGTCCCTACCTGCCAGTCTCGTCCGGCGAGGCGACGGTGAGGCCCGGCTTGGGGATCCCCGGAGAGGCGCGCCTTCGCTCCCGCCCCGAGGACGGCGGGCGGGCGGCGCTGCGCGGGGGGCGGAGGAGACGGGCCGGCGCAAGGACCCGCGCGGCCAGGCGCCGCTCCGCGAGAGAGCTCCGCCCGCTCCCTGTCCCGCGCCTGCTCCGTGGGGCCACAGCCAATCAAAGGCGCGGGAAAGGCGGCCTCCCGACGCCCCTTGGATCGCCGTAGAGCTAGTAAGCGGGGAAAGCAAGAGGGACGCGCTCCCGGCCCTGCCTTCCCGCGGAGGAGGCGGAGCTCCAAGCACTGCTCTCCTGAGGGAAGCAACAAGCACAATTGGTACCAGCTGGCCACACGCGGTTCATTGTGTTTTTGGCACCTCACACCAGGGCAGAAATGCTGCTTGCGTGGGCACCCTTGTCCCCCCTCTTTCTGCGAGCCGCATCTTGAGACCCCTTCCAACTCTACCATTCTGATTCTGTATACCCTGCTGATGTTTTAAAGCAGGTGCTTCTGCCTTCACAATTGCCAAATACTTGTTTACAGGGTTTGTTTGTTTTTAAGTTTCTGCATCAGAGGCCTAAAGTGTTGCAGGTAAATATACTTCTAAGTAAACATGGTTGCAAGTTGAGCTATTCATTTCACCTGAGAATCTGTCATGTGGATCTAGTGGAACCACCTGATTTGATCAGTTTCACAACCCAGACAGGAAACTTGCAGCCTTAGTTTCCCCTACTTGTTAGTTACACAATTCTACTGTAACAGAAGGGAAATGCAGATTACGAAACAGTGTCTGTAGCACAGGGCTTAACGACTGCAATGTTCATTCTACACATCTGTATTTGGAAGTAACCACTGCTGTTTTCATTGAAACCCACTAGTTAAATAGTGTGTACACTGAGTAACCCTCATTCCAGGAAACAATTAAGGCTAAGTGATGATAGTTCATGGGAAAGGACATGCAAAGCATGAGATGGCTGTGAAACCAGAAATAAATGAGAGTCAATAGAAAGGAGTGGTTATCCACCATCCCTAGGGATAACTTCTCCTGCTGTGCCTCACTTGCACATTTTCCTATTCACAGCTGCCAAGAGATTGTGCAGCTATTCCGTTCTTTTTTCCTTAATGGATTTTCTGTGGCAAGATAAAAAGATAAGAACACACACAAGAGATCACAATTTGCTTACTATGTTCGTTGGACTGCCGTACAATTGTGTGAAGGAGGCAAGATGATGGTACATTTAAAGCTTTGTCTGGAAGCACCCCAAGAAAGACAGAAGAAGCCTAGCAAAAACACAGGACAATTTGACAATGCGCTATAAAAAGTGAATGAACAAAGCAAGACAATTCCACATTAAACATCCTGTTTATTATTGCACACTGCTTTGATACTTATGTGAAAAGTGGGATGTAAACCTTTTAATGAATATACAAAAATAGTGAGGAAGCATCATCTGACTAGCAATAGCACTCCAGAGTATCAGCATCTCTCTGTCACCTTACCTGACTCCTAACTGGAGATGGTCTATCATTGAGCATTGGGATCATTTTATCAGTATTTTATTTAATGTATCTTATTTAATCTATGCTGGGATTCAGGGTGACTTACATTTCAAAAATGTCATTACAAAATACAAGTAATGTTATTAGCTTAATAATCGTTGCAAACGTAATGTTGGGGGGCTTGCTGTGCAGGAAACCTCTACCCCGTATCTGACTTCAACAGCTTATCCGGGCTCCATTTCAGCCACCAGAATTGTGAAATTTACCAGATTGGTTGAGAAGCAGTTTCAGTCTAGTCAGATACGGTGGCTACATATATATCCCCTAATTTCCACCCCCAGTGGCTTCTGATAGTCTTTTACCCCTGTTGCAGGTGTATATGTCATGCTATTACACTAGTGTTGGATTACTGCATATGTGGAACACTGCAAGTATATTCCCTGAGATTAGTTTCCTATCACATACAGAATAGAACAACACTCAGAACTGTACTATATCTTTTTTAAAAAAGCATTACTGCCATTGTCATTTTACAATCAAACTGAGGCTTGATTAATTTGACAATGACCACAAATTGCTATGTGACACCGTATTTTTCCTTCGAACAGAAGACTCTTTAACAGAACAAAGATATCAGACAAAAGTTATGACACCTTTTTGTACATGAATATCAATGTGCTAAATACAAAGCTTCTTAATTAGATGCATATTCAAAATAAAGAATTATTATATATTATGTTGACCATTGTAAATACTGTTTTATTTTTGGTAATGCTTTAAGAAGTCAGTTCAGGTTACTAGAGGACATATTGTCATTTGAAAATGGTCAGAGAAAAGTAAGCCTACAAATCCACTTAAAGCACATCACTGTTTTCAAAATAAGGTCTTACAGGTTTGTAGTATTTGATAGCAGCTTTTTATTGGTTATAAAACCTAAGCCCATATACAAAATTAGGAACACATTTAGATGCCTCTTTTGAAGTAACAATTTAATCTATTAACTGAGAGTTAAAAAAATAACACAATGCAATTTTAAACCACTTCTGAAAACTTAAAAGTGCAGCAATATACTTTTGGCTTGCATACAAAGATCCTAATACATGGCATGACTGGAAGAAACTCTGCAAGTGGGGTAAGAGAGAGAAGGGATACCATTTCCTCCATCTGCAGCCTTCTGTGCCTCCTGTTCTGGAGGCCTCTTGACACTCTGATATCACTTATATCAGTAGATGGGAGGAAACTCTCAGCACAACTGCAAAAATCTCCCCCTCTTGCACAGCAGGATCTTTGGATTCAAGCGTTTGTTTCCTTTAACTTTAAAATGGTTGGATCCCAAACAAGGGCTGATAAGGTGACAGAATAATGAGAAAAATCTAAGTTACTGCTTTAAACAAGTTTTCCTATGTTCATCTCAGTCTTCACAGTAGTGAAAAATCATTTATCTCATTTTGTGTGTAGCATCTAAGACAGCGGACACAGGCATACTATAAAATGAGGGGCATTTTTTCACATCATCAACTGCATACCTGCTTTGAAATTCCAAAACCTATGACCAAATCTAATTCTGATTTTGAAATGTCTAGTTTTTAGCAAGCACAACACAATTCCAGTAAAATGTGTTAATATAGGACACAGTTACCAAATGAACTTAATGTCTGGGTAAAGAAAAAAGGCACAATGAACTTCAACTCAATTTTATGTGCACAAGAGTTGAAAAGTCTGAGCCACCTTAAAGAGAAATTGATTTTAAAATTTATAAAACCTATAAATAGAGGCCAAACCACTGTATTAAAACACAGTATCTAGCAAGTAAAAATCTTGCAGTTTAAAACACATACTTGTATCATTTTAAGATACAATACAACTCACTCTTTAAAGTGGCTCCACCTTGGCAGATAGATTTAATGAATGAACACCTGCAATGTTTTGCTCATCAGTGGAAAAACAGCTGATCAACAAAGCTTGTGATGGCATCTGTCCTTATCTTCGTCACAGTAAATACAACCCACATCCAATAACTACATTAGTTTTACGTTTTCAGTATCCCTTCACATCAAGGCATTGGGGAAAGTACATCCAGTGAACAACAGCAACAATACCAGTTTGTGTGACAGGTTACAAAGTTTAAATTTCATCTTTACCCACAGCAATCCCAGATCCTCTGAAAAGCCAGGCTGGACATTACCCCAATATTAATGATCTCCCATGTTACCAGCTTATGCAAATTTATTCATGGTGAGCTGCATGTTACGCTTCTTCTGAATAGTAGCAGCTTCCACAAAGCCTCACACAACTAATACATATCTTAACTATATGAATAGGTTTAGAGACTAATTTTTCTATTATTTTTCCAATACTCCAAGAATGAAGCTTTTATGATGCTCCTAAAATAGTTGCTAGTTTGTTGCCAACCACATCATCATAAGCACTGGTAAGTAAAAAAATAGTTTAAGACTAAATTACAGTAAACATGAAAGCTCCACAGTTTAAACCAATATAAATCAACATTATTCAGTTATAAATTTAAAACAAAAATAATGCATTGACTACTAAAAGATGAAAGCAAGATTCTTGCTAACCAATGCTCATTTGGGGTAGCTTTGTTTCTTTAATATGGAATTCTTGCTTTCAACTTAAAACAAAGTTCAAGTCCGTAACAGATTGTAGCTCAGGTAAAATACCATGCACAGCATTTTCATTATTTCCAAAACAGCAGGAACACACAGGCTGAAGAGTGGTCAAGTACAGCTTGCTGTTCTCAAAAATTAGGTATACTGGTCATGTTTTACTAGTCCAAATGCAAACTTCATTCTTCAAACCCAAGCTTCTAAGGCAGTAATGAACACAATTACTGATATATGTAGTCTGTTTTTACACTAATCAATTACCAAGTTCTTTTAAAATTTCAGTTTCACCAATGAAAATAATTTGACTTGCGTTTTCTTTGTTTATTCTTCCACATTAAATATATGAAAATATGTTTGTAGAGGACAACAGTAGAGGCTTAAAAAATAAACAGGGCCTCTTGGAAGTCTTCCAAAATGTCAGCATCATACTAAAGAGTCTTGATCCACAGTGCACCATTTTAGAAAGAAAGCTACTCTTCTGTGGAAAGCCAATGAGCCGCCACCACAAAGGGATATTCTTAAAACTGCAGACTGCAGTTGTCAGCTTGTGGCACCAGGGGCAAAAAAAAGGCAAAAACAAGAGAGGAAAGGTAGCACGGGTTGTTAAAAAACAACAACTCTGAACAGTTTATGAGATCATGCATATGCATTCATGGTCCGTGTGAGAGTTACTTTTGGCAACGGCGAAGTGACGGAGATACAACTTGCTTTAGAAGCATCAGACAAAGAGGCATATGCTTGGAGTCCTTTTTTCAACGGCAACCATCAGGTGGTACATTTTACAGGTGTGGAATAGAAAAGCTGCATTGTATGGAACTTAAAAATTAAATTCTTTTGTTTGAAGATTGGCCGTTGGATCAAAATTGTAAGTACCTCCTTGTGTTGCCTCAGGAATGAGGCTGGGATCTTCATCAATCTACAAAAGCAAAGAAAGTGCATACCATGGGATTTCATTGTTCACCTTATAAATAGCCCCCACTCACAGACAACATATTCCGCCCAACAGTACAAGAGCAGGTATCAAAAATGCACACCATGCATACAGAAGGCTTGGACATGTTACAAAAGTTGAGACATTTTGAAATCTGCTGCTCTTATGAGCAATCTCCTGGGGCATTGAGCTGGTGGCAATCCCTCGGAACTCTATTTGAATGCCAATAATTACACTGGGATGGCTTGCTCCTGACAATGAGTTGGTGATGGACCTAACACACTACTAGACCCTGCAGCTCACCTCAAATAGTAACTTAACTGTTATTAATAATGCATGAAGATAGCTACTAATTCCTCAAATAAATACATCAAGTGATGTCCTGAAACCAACTTGAGGCTTTGAGAAAGCTAGAGTATCATTTTGTCTTTGTTTAGCAAAGTAAATTATTTGTAAGTTATTGGGGTGGGGAGTTGTTGTATCTAGAGGCTGTGCTGAGGGCAAGGAGAGGCAAGTAAGCTATTTACACACACACATACATTGGGGTGCTACATGACATGGAATATTACTTATTTCCAGCACTTTTATTTCATGCTTACTGTACTGTGTACATGACTATTACTAAATTGGTCCTCCAAACTGAAGTGAATTACAGATTGCAGCATTGAGCATGCAGAAGAGAGGGTGTTAAGGGTAGTCTTCCAGCATTACCCAGCATGCATATGTGAGTATTTGTTCCACAACATTTTAAAGTTTTCAAAATCTCCATCCTCAGGTGCTGCTGTAAACTATGTGCAGAGCACCTATCTCAGTTGCAAGTAATGCATATCTTAGGAACCTCAGCAGAAGCTGCTGCATCCTGTTTTAACAAGCCAGCACGTTTCTGTTTTGCTGGTAATATGAAGTACTGCACAGATGTAACACTGGCTGGAATAGAACACGGAATGGAAACTGTGCCTCCGGTGTACAGGGAAAAAGTGGTTTTTCAGAGCATTTTACATTGGCCCACACCAATATTTCTGCAGAGTACTCAAAGCAGCCACTTACTGCTGTTACATTTTAGAAGTCAGAGGTACTTACTTCATCACCAGAGAAATACTGATCTATTATTTCAAATGCTAGCTTATAAATGTCTTCATTCTCATGTTGTTGCAGTGCTTCAATTTTCTCCAAGCCTGGTCAAAGAGAAGCAAGAAAAATGACAAGTTTAATAAATTAAGAAATTGCAAGCTGTAACCCAATTAAGTCTGTCTGCCAGTGGAATGAAGACAGCTGGTGGCATGGAATCACAGAAATGTAGAGTTGGAAGAGACCATGAGGGTCATCTAGTTCAGGGGTCAGCAAAGTTTTTGTGGCTTGGGCTGGTTCACGGTCCCGCAGATGCCATGGTGGGCCGGAGTGTGTGTGTGCGCGCGCGCAAACGCTATTTCTGACGCTCCTTCTGGTGCGGAGGAGGCATGTGCAGCTTCCCATTGGCTGCAGGAAGTTCCTGCAGCCAATGGGAAGCTGGCCAGCGTCCCGGAAGGTGGTCCCCACTCTGCTCTGCGCTGGTTTAGCACGGCGCACGTGAGCCGACCGAGTGGGCAGCGGGGGTCCATGAGCCTTAGGTTGCCGACCCCTGATCTAGTTCATCCCCCTGCAATGCAGGAATCTCAGCTCAAGCTTCCATGACAGATGGCCATCCAACCTCTGTTTAAAAACCTCCAAGGAAGGAGAGTCCACAACCTCCCAAGGGAGACTGTTCCACTGTCTAACAGCCCTTACTGTTAGAAAGTCCTTCCTGATGTTGAGTCAGAATCTCCTTTCTTATAACTTGAAGCGATTGGTTCAGGTCCTACATTCTGGAGCAGCAGAAAACAAGCTTGCTCCATCTTCCATGTGACAGACCTTTAGATATTGGAAGATGGCTTTCATGTTACCTCTTAGCCTTCTCTTCTCTGAGCTAAATATGCCCAACTCCCCCAACTGAGTCCGATCCTCATAAGGCTTGGTTTCCAGACCCTTGGTCATCATGGTCTAACTCCTCTGTGCACATTCCAGCTTGTCCATATTGTTCTTAAACAGTGGTGCCCTGAACTGGACACAGGACTCCAGGTGGAATTGTAGGGTGGTACTATGACTTCCCTTGAGCTGGACAGCTAGGCATTCATGCCAGGCCAATATGCACATTCCCTTGCGCTTCAGAGAGAGCTTTCAATTCCTATGTGTGAGAAGTGTACCCTTTTCATTATGTCTAAGTGCAATTGTGCAGGAATGTCTGCAAGTACAAGATCTTTGCCTGGGTGATACTGGATGTGCACATCCTAATTTTGTCCCTGCATTAACATGTGCCAAAGCCTTTTTGGGGTGCTCAACAATGGCTTCTGTACAGTGGTTTCCAGTGGCTTATGATCCAATTGGACGTGCACTGTCTGGCCAAACATAAGTTGACGGAAGCATTCCATTCTGAACACTACAGTCAACAGTTCTTTTTCAATCTGTGCATATCCCATTTCAGTTTCTGATATTGCTCTACTGGCCAGTGCAACTGGCTGCAGTTTCTGTAGCAGGGCAGCTGCTAGCCCTGTCTCAGGTGCATTACACTGAAACCCAGCCAGATGGGTGAGGTATTATTATTATTATTATTATTATTATACTAACTGCTAACCTGAATGGTAATACTTTAGTTCAGGACTCCTGGCTATTGTGTCTGTAATCTTCTCAAATGTACTTCCTATAGAGCTAGTATCCAGAAATAACAATGCCCCACTGGTTCTCTCTATTCCACCAGGTTTCTGTTGCACCAACTTTATCAATGCTGTTCTCTTAAGACCAAACACACCCCAAACACACTCTGTTTGGAGGTGCATATCGCATTTTACCAAATCACATCTTACCTCCACATTCTTCTATAATTTCTGCTATTGTGCTTGCTTCATCACCAGCCATTATTAGAATGTTTTTCAGCCCATCCAGAACCACCTGTACCACTTGAGAATCTTTGACTGACAACAAATTACAGAATGGTGGGATCACATTCTGTTGCACAAGGTATTCAACCTAAACAGAAGAGATACTTATGATTAATTTCTTCCTTATAAATGGTTCTAATTTGGTTACTGATTTGACTACTTGAGACACATACCTGATCTTTTCTACCACTTATTGTTAAGTTGCTGATTGCCCAAGCAGCTTCCTTTTGTGTGCCAAAGTCTCCCTAAAGGATATAAAAGGTGATTTAAAGTAGCAAAGTAATATATGTAGACATACAATCTTGCAACAAAAATATGAGAAACAGCCAGATTCAGCATTTAACTGACCTTAGCCAGCTGGTGAATGATCATAGGGATAAGTCCAGCATCTATTACAGCTTGAACTTGTTGCTGATTTCCTGCAGTGATATTGGAAAGGAACCAAACTGCTTCCTGAAATAAAACAAAACAAAACCCTGCATGTGAAGTTGTCTTAGACAGAGACATTTACCAATGCCTGCTAACTTGACATTTTTAACTGGAGATAGAAGGGATTAAACATAGAATCTTCAACATAAAAAAACCATGATTTATCAACATGCTTTTAAACTTTTAATTTCAGCCTGTTTCCAGATAGAAACATTGCATGGTGACAAAATGAGATTTCAAGCAACTGATACTTTTCTTCTGGAAATTTGTTAATAAAAGCTGGATGGATGGGGCATTTATGGATGTTCATGAGTTGTGGGAATAGAATAGGATGGGATAAGTTGTGCATATTGTATAATCTGTTGTAAATTTAAGACAGAATTTGGGTGGGGTGGGGGGGTGTAGTTAGTGAGGTAACTGTGGTAGACTGTGAGTCAGGATGTGCTTTGGCAAGAGGGAAGGTGTTGCCTTTCAAAAGGTGGAATGACTGTAGAAGTGGTCCTCCAAAGGTGGAGGAAGCTTACAGATGGGTCCTGTTTCAAAGCATTGAAGAAGCACTGACCAACCAGTCTGAGTGTTCACTTCTTCACTTCATGAGAGGAGCGTGGAAGAAGTACGTGAAGACATGTTCCCAAAGCAGGGAATGAGTGAACCTGTAACAGCTTCTTGGAAAGCGAGCTTCAGGGTGTGAAATGGATTGAAATATTTGAGTGTATATTAACCACACATAAAAACCCAAATGACTTGGTATCAGACATTTGTTTTCCCAGACTGCCTCAAGTAACAAATAAAAAGTTAATGAGTCTGCATTGAGAGAAATGGAAGTAATGAGAAGTAAAAAAGAGATAAAAGGAACAGAGGACTCTGTGAAATCAACTAAAACAGAGCCATATCCTCTGGCCTCTGAAGCAGCTGCATCCATTTTTAACATAGAAAGAAAAGTTATCAGAGTACCATGAGCTTTCCTTAAAGGGATATCTGGAATTCTTTACCACTGAGAAGCTTAATCCCAGTTCTTAAGAAGGATTTCAAGGTTTACACTGCTCCAGTGCTGGTGTACAAAATGGGATCTGCACAGTCAATTCCTTCCAGAAGTTAGTTGCTATGGCAGAAACAAACAATGATACTTCATGAGAGCACTCAACTACGTACTAATTAAAAGTGCATTAATGGAATATAAAGTAGAATGAGGGAAACATTTTCTTTGGCATTTTTTAGATCCCTTATTTCTTTATTGATGGCATTTCTATACCGCCCTTCACAATGTATTTTCAAGGAGCACTGGGGCAGAGTAAACATTTAAATTCTTCTTCGGAAAAGGAGAAATTTTTCCTGTTCAGTGCAAAAGCTGAGACTGCTTGTTCTGTTAAGCTAAAGAACAGATCATAGAAAAAATTCAATGAGTACTCACCTTGTTTATTTTCTCTTTTGGATGTGTCAGAAGATTTGGGAAATGGGAGAGGACATCACAGTTGAGAACAACTTGTGTCTGTTCATCAGTACCAGTTACTATGTTGCCAACTGCTCTTAGTGCTGCCGTCTACATTTGAAGAAAAAATATTAGTAAAATCTTTGATGGCCTTACGAGGTCCAGGCTTCATTCCCTAGGTTAGTTCATATGGGTTAAAATTTGAATTCACCCAAAGTGTAAGATTTTTAAAAGTGTATTTGTTTTAAATTAAAAACAAATAGGGGATGCATTCTGATTGCCACTAATGATAGTGTGGCACAGCCAAGAGGACTTCCAACCGGCAGGCAGAACCGTCCCCCGTCAATCACCTGACATCAAATGACCCCTTTTTGCCTGCCCTGGTCTTGCAGAGTGTTTTGCAAGCGGCTCAGCATGAGGTCTTGCAAAGCCCTATGCACAGTCCATTGAAACATAGAGCTCTGCAACCTGCAAACCCACTTTCAGAAAAGTCAGGGCTTCACCTGCCCCACACTGGGCATTATCTAAGGTGCCAGGTGTATGGCAGGTGGTTGTGGCTTGGGTCAAATGGGGAAGCATGGCAGGCCTAACTAGGGCTGCAGGATGGAGGACAACCTCACCCAGAACAGGCATATTGCCCAACTCCAGGAACCACCGAACTCACAGGACTCTGTCCTGCCAGGATTCAGTTTCAGTTTACTGTCCCTCATCCTTTTCTATGTAAATCCTTCATTTCACACCTCAAAACAGCTATGCCATGAGGATACCTTGTCTGGATTGATCATCTCCTTCCTCTGTCTGAGACATACACTATAAACATTCAGCTTTGAAGCAACAGAATAAGTTCATTACAATAGCTAAGCTTTAATAAAGCCTAGTGGAGTGAAACATGGGTTACATTTAAAAAGAAATATAAATTGTCCTATTTTTAATGAAACTTTAAGAGACCATATGAATAATTTAAAAGCATTGTCTAAGTGTCTTTAAATAAATGGATTTAACATTTGAATTATTGACTTTAGTTTTTATGTACAACAACAAAGCTGATCAGGTTTGGACAATGCAGAGGAGATAATTTCAGTTATAATAAAATTCATCCAAAAAATGATTACCTGAACTTTTACCTCCTGGTGGCTCAGCAGGGGAACTAGGAAAGGTACCACACCAGAATCTATCACCATCTGAATTTGCTCATTACCACCATCTGTCAGGTAGGACAAAGCCCAAACAGTGTCCACAAGGATCTGCAGAGAAGGGAAGTTTCCTTTGTCAATGTAAGATTGCAATAGACACCCAAATGGGATTGATCCCCCTACACAACATGTCTGAAATGAATGACATGCTGTGAAAGAGAATTCTGTATGTTCAAATTGTTTTCTTGTGTCTTCTCCACACTGTTTATAATTTATTCTGAAAACAAGGTACCGTGGTACCTCGGTTTTTTAACATCTCTGTTGACAAATGTTTCGGTTTTCAAACGCCGTAAACCCAGAAGTAAATGCATCCACTTTTGAATGCACTTCAGAAGTCAAATGGCTTCTGCTGAGTGTATAAATTATTTTCCCTCAATTTTCTCTATTAAATTTGCAGACCGCCCTTTGCGTCTCGGTTTTCAAACATTTTGGAACTCGAACAGTCTTCCAGAACAGATTATGTTTGAATACCGAGGTACCACTGTAGATGGTGCTGTCGGCACAAAGATTAGCAATGATATCAGCATGATCTTAGGAACTGATTTTTTCTTAGGTCTTCTTTTAGCACCAAAATGAAACAGTGCCAACAGCCCTAAGGGCAAGTTAGCTGCCCCCCAAAGTGACCAGAAGATGTATTTCTAACGTAAAAGGTCTGGATTAAACAGACATTCAGATAAAACCAGTGCAGAACAATGTTGCAATAGGATGCAGGAATCTAACCAGCACCGTAGAAATAGCATGAGATTGTGCACTAACCACTTTTGAACTCATGGTATATCAACAAAAGCATCTCATTGGGGGGGCCTAGCCTCTTATTGACTGCGTGTACCCACACTCCTATCTCCTTATACAGTCCTACCTCGGGTTGAAGTACCTTTGGGTTGAGCGTTTTCAGGTTATGCTCCGCAGCGACCTGGAAGTAACGGAACGTGTTACTTCCGGGTTTCGCCGCTCGTGCATGCGCAGACGCTCAAAATTACATCACTCGCATGCGCGGAAGCAGCGAATCGCGACCCACGCACGGGCAGATGCGGGTTGCATTCGCTTCAGGATGTGAACGGGGCTCTGGAACTGATCCCGTTCGCATCCAGAAGTACCACTGTATTTGTCTAAGTGCCATCTTCTGTTTATATATTTACACACACATTATATATATTATTGTAAACAAGACTGTAAGCCACCCCGAGCATTTGTCAGTAATGTGGGGCATAAATGTGGAAAATAACATCTGAACAATTTAATAAAAAGTATTAAGAATTAAATTTGGTATGTTAGAACACACTGGTAACAGCAGTTTTGGATGCCATATCATGATTGAGGAGAAATAAGAGTCTCAGGAAGGAGGTTTGACCCCCCTAATTACAAGGAACATTGAATATATACAGGTACATTCCCACTCACATCAGTTTTAAGAAGCCTGAAATTTAAACTATATGGCAATCTTGGAGCTTTCTCCAATTGTGAACAATGTCTCTCTAAGTTCAGACTGTTTTTATGAACTACAGATCAATCAAAAGAGATGAAACCAGGTTGAACACACAATATATATTTTTTTATTTTAAGATTCTCAGGCAAGTCATCTGTCTTACAAGAACTAAGTTTCCAGATAAACTGGGAACAACACCAACCTTGTGGTTTGTAATGTCAGTTTGTGATATACGTAAGACAAAAATCTTTTTAGTACTGATTTTTTTAAAAAAAAAGAACTAGCAAAATATGCATTGTGATTAAACAAAGCGTAAACTGTACTTGTTCTGTTAACAACAAACATTTAACAGCACAATTCTTTATCTGTCTATTTGAATGAAAGGCCCAGGGTGCTAGAGAGCAATTTCTCTCCTCTAAGTGTTTATAAAATGGCAGCCAAATTAAATAGTAAAAAAAAGTTTAAGGTTAACTCACAGCTTACATGCACATAACTTGCACCATTTCAACTTTACGTGGTTCATAGCCAGCTAGTTGAAATCACACAATTTAAACACATGAAAGACTTTTAAAGCTCTTTTTGTGTAGAGTTTACCCAGTGCAAAAAGCTTTCAACCACTCTACCTTCCTTATCAGACTCTGGAAGGCTCTCACGAGGCTTCAGAGAGCTCCGTGCATATGCAAGTGACTAAATGGAAGTGACCAAAAAGATTTCCCCACCCCTGAGTCACCTTGCATGTAATACTTCTGGTTAGTTTACTCATGTGTAAAATGCCGTTTTGAAAAACTGTAGCCAAATAATGAAACTTTGTAAAATTATATTTCAAGTGATATAGAGCATGTTAACTATATATGGAAATGAAGACTGGGGCTGTAAGTTGACATTTTCATGAAATTACCCTCCCATCATCCCTGGTCATAGTAGTCTAAGACATCTAGAGCACACCAAGTTGGGGAAAGACTCTCTAGGCAAAGAAGCTACTGTATGGCACAATGCAAACAAAATTTAAGCAAGAAAACTCTCAAATACTAAAAGGAAACCTTAGATTGGAGAAGAAGGTATTTCAGCATTTACTTACATTTATGTCTGTATGGTATATGAGAACACACAAGGCTGGCAAGATCTGGTAAAGATAAGTTTATTATAATGGGTCATTAATACTAAGAAAAGCCAAAACACACTGTGGATAAAACCTCAAGCAAATCTGTGGTTACAATCCTATGCACATTTTTCTGGGAGTAAGCCCCACTGAGCGCTGCGGGACTTACATCTGAATAAACATGCACAGGATTACACTGTCAATTACTTACTGCAGTAACAAGTGTTTCTTAATCAGCTGATGCCCTACATTTTACACAGTTTTAATACCTGGCTTCAATCATGTAAAAATAAGTCTATAGAAATTTCATTTTACAAGGAAGTTATGAGAAAGAAAGAGTGCAAACTCACATATATAATATTGAAAATTTACATTTATCAACCAGTTTGCCAATGGCTAACACATTTCTGGCCCACAGTCAGTGCTTCTCCTTTATGCATAAACTTTTATGGTTTTTATATATGTTGTTTTTCAGTTAACTACATATTGTGAACTTTTCTGAGAGCAGTAGTGAAATTTAGGGCTGGAGATAAAAATATGGTTGCCCCAGTGGAAGCCAGCACAAGCCCCCTTGGGATAATGTGGCTTTCCCCCGTTTCTTCCCCCTTCACCCTCCTAATTGGATCTGGGGAGGCAGAAGAACCCTCAGAATAGCATGCAGGAAGGAGATGGTTTGCTCTTAGCAAGCAGAAATGCTTGCGCTATGAGACACTTGCTTTACTGCGGCATGCAATATGAATTCCACTCTTAGTCAAGTCACAGAATTGTTGAGTTGGAAGGTACACCAAGGGTCATCTAGTCCAACCCCCTGTGATGCAGGACTAAAGCTACAATCCTAAACCCACTTACCTGGGAGTATGCCTCACTGAATTAAATAGGACTTGCTTCTGAGTAGACATGGTTAAGACTGCACCATAAATCTGTTTTGTTCCCTATTTGAGCCCAGAGGTACAAAGCTAACATTCTGGCATCTCACATTATTCCTGAATGTAGATGTTACCACTAAGCCACAGAATCCACTACATGGGAAAGCAGAGGTAGTGTTCAATCACTCCCTCTATCATATTATAGATGCCATCAGTCTTTCAGCAGTTTGTTTGGGTGTTTTTTTAATTAAAAAGCAGCTGCACAGGACTGTGAATTTGTTTGGAACAGTTGTGACAATATTTGATCCTTTCCTGTAGGCAGGCAGGTAGGCTGATCTATCTAACTAAAATAAGAACTGCCACCTTATTTTCCCACTCACACATGAAGAGACATAGATTCCCTGTATCTTCTTCCTGTGAGGAGGAGAGCAGCTTGGGGAATAGTGAATTTTATCACAAGAATAACCCACAGGGAAGGCACTACACCTGCATCCCAGCATTTCTGGGAGGAATGAAGGCGACTTCTCTCACACTCACGGCTCCATGAAACGGCTTCATTTTAAAGATTGTTGACTTTGCCCATAATCCTATATATTCTTACATAAGATACACATCCCACTGACTAAAGGATTCTCATGTAAGTTATCGCTGCTTGTGCTTTAGGCTGTAACCATCTTTTATTTAAATAAGTGGTTCCCTGCAAGGTCTCTTGTCTCTTTGAAGACTACATGCCTCGTTAGTCTGTACTGTTTAGCTGCTGAGGTTAGATTCTGACTTCAAATCAAGAAGGAAGGTAAATGCCTCAGATACCGCCATAATTAATAACTAGTAAGTGGAATGAGATACAAATAAATATGCATTAAGAAAGTGCACACAGTACATATGCCATCATGGGAAAACTGACTTGCAGTGAAGCTGAGGTGGAACAATACTTAGTTGTAATTTTTTATTTACCTCCTGCACTGTCTCCATAGGTGGTGGGGGATCCTTATTCCTGCAGAGATTTACAATGACCCATGTGACGTTCCGGAGGAAAGTGATGGGAATGGAGGGGTTGATGAAGGATAGAAGCGGTTTGACAACTCCCAGTGATATGACATAATCTCTACACTGAGGACCATCACCTACAAAAGTGAAAATTTCACAAAAAATTACATTCATGATGGAGAAACCTTGAAATGTATGCAGTGACTTATGTTGGGGTCTTGATGCGCTATGTTTCCCCCACTGGTAACATACGAACACTACAAAAGTTACGGTTCAATGGAAATTTGAAGAACACAATTTGTTGTAGAATAACTTCATCTAAGTTTTCCAAACTGAGGATGTTTTCTTATTTAAATCAACTGGACTATTCAGAGAACTTAAGAGGAAACATAGTTTTATGGGGTAATGTCAATGTATGATTTTAAAGCCTTCAATGCCTGTGATTTCTTTTCTAGAAATATAGTTAACACTTACCAATAATGTTTCCAAGGGCCCAAACAGCTTGTTCACAAACATTTTGATGCGGTGAATGCAGCAGTCTTAAGAAGAGAGGTACTGCATCTATAACAGCAGAAAACTGGATTCATTGAAATGATAAAATGCAGCTCTTTTAATAGATAAATTTCACATAACTGAGTTATACTGTTAATATTTCAGGAAATTATTCTATGTTTGTTCAAAATTAAATTGGAAATGCACCTTTGCATAATTAATTTTTTCAGACAGAAAGAAGATATTGATATTGACATTCACATTCTAAATAAAAATTTGAAGTAACGTGGAGGCTTTATTTAGCATCAAGAAAGTTAAAATTGTCTTCTCACATTACAAAGATCTGTGTATATTTTGTCAAAGGGCCTATCCACCCCCTTCAAATTATTATGTCCCCCTTCAAAAGCCAACTGTGGAAGAACAGTTTTAAGTATTGGAAACATGTGGGCTTCAACTAGTAGAAACTTCTTTCAGAATCAGTGCCTCCCTTCTCCATCTCCCACATTGCAAGGGATGTCTGAGGTACAGCATGGTCTGTAAAAGCTGGTTTCACCTACTCGCTTGCTTGACCTTACAGCAGGCCTCAATAAAGAGATTTAACTAGCCATCCCTAAGACTATTGCCATGGGCAAAACGAGGCCTGCTACTCTCAGCAATGCTTCATGTATTCCAGAATGGAAAAGCTAGAGTGGAGAGCAATCACAGGATACAAAAAATGAAAATAAAACAACTTAAAGCAGCACAACAGAAGCACAAAGAAGCAAGATAAAAAACAACCAGGACTGTATAAGTCTTGGAAAATCAAAAGGTCTTCTTCTGGAAATGAACAATAAAGTTGGCATCAGGTGGCATTAGGTTGATACCACCTAATCTCAAAAGGCAGGAGAAATGTCTACTAGATGATCTCAATGCACAGCCAGGTGGCTTTCTTTAAGGTCTCCAGGGTAATATTTGAATTTTTGTTCAGAAACAAACTGACAGCCAGTGCAGTTGTTGTTGTTGTGATACATACCCATTTGTAGAGCCTAACAGCTCTATTCTGGACTAACAAAAGTTTTACAAGGAAGAACTCTTCAAAGACAATCCCATGTGCAACACATGCCAGTAGTCCAATTTAGAACATGGGTGACTGTGGCAGAATGACCTCTGCCTGGAGGGGATGTATCAGCCTCAGCAGTAAAGGGTCCTTTGTGCTACAGATGCCACCCAGGGCTCTTTTGAGAAAGCTGTATCTGTCAGCAACCCCAGACTGCAAAACGACCCTATGTGGAGGTTAGGCTTGCTAAGCCTTGGGGTCCCTTCCAACTCTACAATTCTATGATTCTATGAAGATGAAGTTATATGTGTATCTTCAATTGCAAAATGCACCCACTCCCAAAGTTAAACACTTAGAGCACTTACTAGACTGTACAACAGCTTGAGTCTGTGCAGAAGTGCCTGAAGCTATGTTAGTCAGGGCCCATGCAGCCTCAAACTGTAAGGAAGGACTGTTAAAAAACAAAAAACAAAAACACCAGAATAGCAGTAATATTTGCAACTCACAAAAAAATACCAGCAGAAAAGTACATGCCAAATTTCTATTGAAATAGTAATTCAATATACTGTAATCAGATGCCATTATGTATTTCTACCTCTTATGCCTGCTACAACTTCCTTGAAATAAAGGTAGAAAATGCAATCCAACATTGAACTATTGTTTCTGAGTCCCTCTATCAAGATTTTTTGCATAACATCAACACATACAGAACTTGTGACACAAATTTTCTTTGATAGTTACCTCACCAGAATACCCTAGTACAGAATAAACTGGCACAATACATTCACATCAGACTTCCAAAGCTAAGTATTCAGTCACAATAATACAAAAGAACAACCCCTGAATAAGGATAGAAGAGTGGTGCTCTACAAAAACAAGAAGGAAAAGTGTGAAGGAAAAAGCCAAAGCTCAAGAGACTTTAAAAGGGGGGGGGGCTTGATTTTTCTGCCCCAAAGACTGGGCTAATATGAGGAACCCTTCCCCAGGTTAGAATCTGAAAACAGTCCTCATGTGCCTTCTGGACAGTGGGGAAGGGGAAGAATGCACACAGAGGAGGGTTCTTAAGTACTGGGCAGGTCAAAATATATGGATTGTGGGCTGTGTCTGGCCTGGAGGATCACAACTTGTACACAGTCTTCTAGAATGACTATGTCAGACCTGCAAGACACTTTGTAGAACTTGCTCCTAACCAGACTGTTGACATAAGCTTCAGTAGAGTTTGAAGCATATCAAAAGTAAATACCCAGTTACAATGTTCAAAACTGCAAGCTAGCTGCAACCCTCAGCTGATAACCATTCAAATTATGTCTGAGGAAGTACTGAGAAAAAGGAATCATTACTTACTTATCATCCCTTTCTAGACATTTAACCAATATTGGTAAAATTCCAGATTTTATTAGGTCATCAATAGGAGGATTTCTGTCACTTGATAATAGCTTTCTGTAAAATTAAAGTGAAGGTGGTGAATAAAAAAAAAGATGGGAAAGACAGAATTCATTGTACTTTAGTCCTCAAAAAACAAATAGATGCCTACCTTGCAGCTTGGACAGCACTTAGTTGGATAATAGGGTTGTCACTTGTAGCATTCTGCAACACCACATAGATTTCAGTAAGTTCAGGAGTCAAGCATTAACAAATCCAACTAAAGGAAATAATATATTGTTTAGCAACTTACCTGTAATATAGCTTCTAGTGTTACATTTTGCTTTAAACAAAAGACAAATTTTCATTTTAGTTACAATTCTTATTATAGATCAACTGTTCTCTGCAAAATATATCAGTGTCATCCTCTAAGACCAAGCACTCCAGTTCACTATCTTGGCTCAGCGGCTTCCAGCAATAGTGTCTAAACACTCGGATACAGTCTGTCTCTCTTCAAGTGTCTTCGGCACTTGCATTTTAACTTGCAGTGTTTTGGTCTCTCACAATTACTACCCTGGGCCCCTGTACTCCCATTTAAATTTTCATCAGTTATGTCATCAGAGGGAGGATAGTTTCAAACCAGAATCGCCTCAGAGAGTCTGCTTTCCCCCCTCAATCAGTTTAAAAGCTGCTCTGTGACCGTTTTGGTTTTAATTGCCAACAGTCTGGTTCTATTCCAGTTTGGGTGGAAACCATCCCTTTTGTACACGCCTGTCTTGCCCCAGAATGTTCCCCAGCCTAACAAATCCAAACTGCTCCTCCTGGCACCATTGTCTCCTCCATGCACTGAAACCACAAAGATGCGCCTGTCTCAGCTGGCCCTGTGCATGGAACTGGTAGCGTTTCAGAGAAAGAACCTTGGAGGTATCCTACCTACCAACCTAAATTTGGCTTCCAGGACCACGCGACTATATTTCCCCGTTGTTTAGTGCAACATGCACTACGACCACTGACTCCTTCCCAGCGCTATGCACCAGGCTATCTAGGTGGAGGGAAAGCAGTCTGCTATTCATGTTCCTAAGGACCATACTGCCCATTAGCACAATCCCTGCACCTACCAGAGAAGTACGCTCAGCATGAGAGAATAGATGTTCTTCCCCAAGGAATGAGTTACCCTTCGAAGGGAATGCCTTTCTCTTCCTCAAGGTAACACTCTCCTTCCCCAAGACCCTCATTCTCAACAGCATGGCAGCTGTCATCATGGGAGTGGAGCAGAGCTACAGTGTTCCTGAAGACCTTGCCCACCCCTCTCTCTGCCTCTCTTGCCTTTTCCAGGCTCACCAGGAGCTCGCTGCAACTTTAGACACGCCCACAACGTTTGCCCAACGAGGAGATCGTCATGCAAACCCAATGTATCCAACAGGTGCAAGGGAAGCTTTTATTGCTCCAAGAGGATTTTGGAAACTGGCTGGTTTTTCTGAAAGGGCTGGTGCTGTGCTGTTTTAATTCTAATTATTTGTATGGTTTTAATAATTTTATATATGTACGTAGTTTTAATTCTCTCAGTGTTTAATTGTTTTTAATGCCAGTATCCTCTATTTTTAGTGACTATGATTTTTATCTGTAAACTGCCTTGAATCCCGTCAGGAAAAAGGCATGTATGTATATATGTATGCATAAATACCATATACCATACATATTCCACACAGACCCACATACACATCAATGCCACATCAATGTAGATACAGTCTTACTGCTTTGAAATCAGCATCAGCATCTGAATCTTCTAAACTTTCTTCTTGGGGCACATTTCTTTTTTTCAGAAGATGTTCATCTCTTTTATTCTGAAGAACAAAGACCCAAGATAGTGCATTTGAATGCCTTTAATGTTTGTTTGTCTGTTAATTTATTTAAATGCTAATGTTAATATTATAGGACTGACCAGTAACAGTAACTCACAAACATAAAATGGTAAAATATAATGAAATACAGTATGATAAAATAGTAGTATCATAAAACACACTCTCTAAAACATTTCCAGCACAATAAAATCAAATTACTTTTTTTAAAAATCACAACACTTAAGCAGTATTATTATCTTAAAAGAGTAAAATCACAGGGTTTTTGCTTTGTTTTTAATTTCCCCAGCGCTTAAAAACAGTATTCACCTGGCACCAGAATGAGTATAAGGTAAATTCTAGGTGGGCCTCTCTGAGAAGGGCATTCTACAACTGAGGTGCCTCAACCAAGAAGAGCTTCTCCCTGGTTTGGTCCAACTGTAGCTTCAGGGCTGTATGGTGCATTGCAATAATCTAAATGTAAGGTTGGAAGAGCATGCATGATTGTGGCGAGACCATATCCACCCATCATTGAAACTGGCATATGAACCAAGGCGGAGAAAAGCTGCTCCAAGGCAGAGACACCTATTGGACCTCAGCTGAGAAGTCTGGCGCAATACGTACCCCTGATTTTGAACCCAGTTCTTTAAGGGCAGTGCAACCTCTTTCAGAATAGGTTGACCGCTACTAACAGGCTATAAACAGAGAGACACTTGCAACTGATAATTTGTTAATTGTAACAATGTAAATTGTTTCTCCATATATTAAATCCATTTAAATACACAAATGAATCCTGCGGGCCCTTCTAGATGAGCAGAGTTATTGAGGAGGAGGAGTTTGGATTTGATATCCCGCTTTATCACTACCCGAAGGAGTCTCAAAGTGGCTAACATTCTCCTTTCCCCTCCTCCCCCACAACAAACACGCTGTGAGGTGAGTGGGGCTGAGAGACTTCAAGGAAGTGTGACTGGCCCAAGGTCACCCAGCAGCTGCATGCGAAGGAGCGGAGACATGAACCAGGTTCACCAGATTACGAGTCTACCCACATTGTCAGATGCGTACGCTCAGGCTGCCCATACACACTTACCTGGGAGAAGGTAGCACTAAACTCAATGGGACTTACTTCTGAGCAAAATGTATAGGACTGTACTGTCAAATACAAATATATACATGGATATAAAGAAAAAATGTAAACAATTTGTATGAGACCAAAATAGGTAGTGCAGTCAATAGTATTTTTACACTAAACTGAAATAGCTATACAGAGCAATAAAGATTGGTGAGAGAGATTTTCAGTACTACTTTGTTAATTTATGAAGTATAGTGGGAAAGAAAACTTTGGTCTCAAATGAGTCCTAAATCAATAGAATCCAACTAACTGGTCAACTTGTTGGCATCCGTTTGTCTTGAGAGACAATGGAGTGCACCTTTGGGGGTGAAGTCAAACTGCTGTGTTAGCAACACTGAAGTGACCTCCTCGGGGTGCAAGACTAGGAGATGTGTATGGAGGTTGTTATGTGTGCCGGCGTGGTTGCTCAAGAGCAAACAGGCAAGACTCCCCATTGGTCTCTTCAAGGCTTTATTATCTGTCCAAAACGTTCACAATGCAGATCGACTCAATTCCTTGTCTGCTCAGTCGCTAACAGAATCTGGGAGTGGGTGGTCCTCTACCCCAGCAGAGTAGTCTTTTGACCCCCATGCTATGCCTCCCCTCTCTGCGTGTAAACCTACTGCACAAAGAGGGCGTGGGCAGAGGGGGACCAGCCTCCCCCTCCGCTTTGTTCATGCTCGGTGCTGTGGCTCTCCCTTGCATCCTCCAAGCCCTGCACCCCTTCCCCACTGGAGGCGTGGCTTCCCTCCTCCGCGGCAGCTAAAAATGCCAATGCAATTCTGGGCTGCATCAATAGGAGTATAGCATCTAGATCAAGGGAAGTAATAGTGCCACTGTATTCTGCTCTGGTCAGACCTCACTTGGAGTACTGTGTCCAGTTCTGGGCACCACAGTTCAAGAAGGACACTGACAAACTGGAACGTGTCCAGAGGAGGGCAACCAAAATGGTCAAAGGCCTGGAAACGATGCCTTCTGAGGAACGGCTAAGGGAGCTGGGCATGTTTAGCCTGGAGAAGAGGAGGTTAAGGGGTGATATGATAGCCATGTTCCAATATATAAAAGGATGTCACATAGAGGAGGGAGAAAGGTTGTTTTCTGCTGCTCCAGAGAAGCGGACACGGAGCAATGGATCCAAACTACAAGAAAGAAGATTCCACCTAAACATTAGGAAGAACTTCCTGACAGTGAGAGCTGTTTGACAGTGGAATTTGCTGCCAAGGAGTGTGGTGGAGTCTCCTTCTTTGGAGGTCTTTAAGCAGAGGCTTGACAACCATATGTCAGGAGTGCTCTGATGGTGTTTCCTGCTTGGCAGGGGGTTGGACTCGATGGCCCTTGTGGTCTCTTCCAACTCTATGATTCTATGATTCTATGTGGTTCAAAGGACAGCAGAGCTATATGACTGGAACCAGCTTGGCTGCAAGAGTTGCTGGAAGGAGGCAAACAAGGCGCCATCCAACCGTCTTAGGGACTCTGCTCCAGATTTGTGTAGGGTTTAGTACTCCATAGCCTTTTCTTCTCCTGAAGATCTCCCACAAGGCAGCAGAAGGTTAGGATCAGAGTTTTCGTTCTCCTAGATGGGCTACCTAATCAACTAACTGATCTTTGTTTGATAAGCAATTAGATTTTCTGTTGGGACATTTTGAGAATGGACTCAGCGATAGGGGGCCAAAGCCCAAACCCCAATGTCTGATCGCAAATTATGTTGCTACAATTGGCACTCATTCAACAGATTTCTTTTGCCTCTGACTGACAATTTCAGAGACCGCAAGGTACCCTCTCAGGACAAGAGATTTGGCCCAGATGCCTCCGACTGCTGACCTCTAGTACATAGTCTCTTGAAAACAAATTCTTTACTAGATATTCATATTTAAAACTATTAATAATGAAAAACACATTTAAATTTAGTTATGAGCAGGAGTATTTCAAACTCAGATACCAATACTATGTATCTTAATCCTGTGTAAGCAAACATACTGAAACTAATCACTACAGCATTCACTATTCTTTGTACTTAGCAAACTGCTTCACTAATTCATGTTTATTTAGGAACTACTCACAGTACAATCCTAAACATATCTACTCAGAAGTACACCCCACTGCATTCAACAGGATTTACTCTCAGGAAAGTGTGTACCAGATTACAGTGGTACCTCGGGTTAAGAACTTAATTCGTTTCGGAGGTCTGTTCTTAACCTGAAACTGTTGTTAACCTGAAGCACCACTTTAGCTAATGGGGCCTTCCGCTGCCGCCGCGCAATTTCTGTTCTCATCCTGAAGCAAAGTTCTTAACCTGAGGTACTATTTCTGGGTTAGTGGAGTCTGTAACCTGAAGCATCTGTAACCCGAGGTACCACTGTATAACCAAACAGTTCCAGCTCTTTCTTTCAGAAGCCTGACCCAGTGAAACATTGTTCATAGGCTTAAGAGGTTTTGGGCCTTAGTTGTGGGTGGTGTTCTTCTGAGAAAGAGGAAAGGCACCATCAAGGACACTTTCAAGCACAGACAACCACAGACAAAGGAAGTAAAGTCTCAAAAGCAAATTAAAAATGGGGAGAACATAATGGAACTCTGGCAGAATGTCTTACAAAAAACAAACTGTTGATCTGCCAGATTCAGAAATCTGGACACAATAATGTACTTGATGCTTTCCTTGTAGACACATGACATAATAGTATCTGGTGAGGACACAATCTTTTCAGCGCTCTCCCAAGTCACACATGAACCTCCATAGCTGAAACCTCTCATGGCCGCTTTAAACAAAGCATAAACAAATAAAAGTGATATACTCACCTTTCTAAGTTCAATTGTCACCTCATTTCTATGTCTTCGCATAGTCTGTAGAAGAGAAAAACAGAAACATACAACACACAAATGAAGTAATAGTACCAAAGCCTATGATGATTCAGTTTAACTCTCTTTAACCAATTTTAGGGAACCTACAACTATACACCAGGCTAGATGTTACAGAACTTTATTCCACTGATTATGAGATGTGTCATACTAATTTTCTACAAGGCAGAGTGAGGAGACCATTTAAAGTAAAACATGGGTGGGAAGGAATACCACAACCATCCCTAATGCCATCATTTTCTCTTCCCAAAAACTATTTTGCTTAAGTTGTTTTTCTGCAGTGATTCCAAAAGCAACATTCACCGAGAGAAAAAATAGCTGAGGAAATTTCAAGGAGAATTTTTGCATGTGGGAAGGGCTCAGTACACACATCCCAGCGATGCTGTGCCTGCGTTTGCCATCCGCACACCACCTCAAGGGAAAGTGGCACAGCTGACATCATGACACACCAATCGCAGCAATGGAGCTTCTTGTTTGGTCTTTCTTGCAAATGAATGCTGAACGGTGAAAAAACACATGCAAAATGTAGCACTGCAGGACAACAGAAAAATTGTAGAATAATTGTAGGAAATTTGCTGGAGAGATTACACACATCTGAACCATTGTTTTGGGAAATTACATTTGGTTCACACAAAAGGAGATGAGGTGGTAAACATTCACTTCAAAAGAAAGAAGAGGCCAGCATCAAAAAACAATACAGAAAAGAGAGACAAGCTTCAAAATGTTGTCAAAATATATGAAGAACTTTAATAAAAAGATCAACTGTCTGATGTGTTTTAATAGAAACCTTCCTCAGGGGAACAGAACCGTAATTAATTCAATATATCTGTGTGTGTGCGCGCGCATGCGTGTTATCACATCAGCTATATGGATAAGAAAATTTAACTGTGCAGCAGCAATTGATTTGGATGAAAATATTTATTATTCTGCTGTCATTCAGTATAAGTGTGTATATATATGCTATTTCTGGTTTTGCTTATATATGTTGTCTTTTAATTCCCTCCATTTAAATATTCTTAAAAACGGATTTAACAAAGGAGTGAATAAACTTCAACCCATAGGCCCAACACAACCTTCTCCCCTTGGTTCCTTCCTCCCCATCAGCTGTTCAGCAAGGAGCAGCTGACAGAGGGAAAGATGTGGATGCTGTGCATTATGTGCAATTGCTGCTCTGAGTGCCAGCTGCTGGAAACCACCTGAGGAAAGAGGGCTTATGTTCCTGTCCTGCAAGCTTTTGGTTGGCCACTGTGAGAACAGGATGCTGGGCTGGATGGATTATTGGCCTAATCCAGCAGGCTCTTATTATGAGAAAAGGCTCTTCTTATGCAAAAAGTGTCCACACATTTTGCAATCACATGCATGCAATTATTAGGCTGCAATTGCATTTCAAAATTCGAGGCTTTAAATAACTTTAAGGCAGTGCTTAGAGTTCAACTGTGCAGTGCTATTATTTCTATTCTTTCTCTGAGATTATTAACTTCTTTTGCCTTTTGTAGAGTAAGGACATAAAGGGTATGGGGAGCTTTTTATTTTTTAAAAAAGCAAACTTTATTAGAAATGTCTGTGGAGAAAATGGAAGATAAAACTTGAGTGGAGTTACTAAGAATTACGTCTATGCCTGCTCACATGGGAAATAGCTTTGTCTTGGTCTACTGCTGTGTTTCTGGTCCTGAAATTCATCTGACATCTTTCCACTAGGGTGATGTGGCCCTTGACCTGAAAAACTTTCCCCACACATGTTCACAATAAAACCTTTCCTTTTAGTTTATGATATGTAAAGGGCCTGTACTATTTATACTAGTAGTTTTGTCTTGAGCTGATTTGTGAACTTCATGCTTACTGAGTTTTGTAGTTAAAAATAATAGTTTTTATTGTTTGCTCTATGATAGATGAATGCCTAATTTGATTAACATATGTTCCATGTTTTATGATTTGTCTGACTACAATTTATATTGATAATTGTTTATATATATATATATATATTTAGGTATAGAATAACTTTATATTGACCACATTTGTGCATAATGCTAAACCATGGTTTTAGCACTGTACTGAATAAGCCCAAGCAAAGCACAAACTCTCATGCTCCCTCTTCCCTGGCCTTCCCACAAAGTTTCATGTGTTTTTTAAAATTCTGCTCATTTTTCTTCTCCTTAGCATTCTCAAATAGCATTTTGTTTGGGCCAGGTTTAAAACAAACTCTAGTTAATTTAGCAGCTTTATAACCCATCATTTAAGGGACCTTTCTAAGAGGTTTACCAGAGGGCCACAATGTATACATAAATAGTTTTGTATAAATAAACAAACCGAGAATAAGTGGTTAAGAGCTAGTTAACTAAAAGGCAAATGCCAGGATTAAACCATTCTCAAAATAAAGGAGTGTACAGTGGTACCTCGGGATGTGAACGGGATCTGTTTCGGAGCCCCGTTCGCATCCTGAACAAAATGTAAGACCCGACTGTGCGTCTCGCGTTTTGCCGCTTCCGCACATGCGTGTGACATCATTTTGACTGTCTGCACATGCGCATGCGACGAAACCCGGAAGTAACGCGCTCCGTTACTTCCAGGTCGCCGTGGAGCGCAACCCAAAAATACTTATTCTAAAGCGTATCTATCCCCAGGTATGACTGTATATCCCATCATAGATCTGTACTTGGATTGGTGTTAACTTGTGCAAAAATGAAAAATGTCAGGCTAATTTTTTAAAAGCAAATTTTGTTCAACCAAAGGTGAACTATCTAGGAGCTTTACTAATGCCATCTTGGTAATCAAGATAACCCCACAATGAATTGGCAAGTGTTGTAGCAATGAGCTTGTATAGATTTATAATCACTTGCTTTGATATAAGCTAATGGGCTTGCTTTCATGCTATCCTTATCGGTGAACCCAGAAAGGGGAACTATCTGTAAGACTTGGGGATTTGCCGCCTATGCCACATCTGGGCAGGTGAAGCGATGAGAAGTGCTAGGTAAAGTGACTGTGTGGAACCCAGTTCAGCTACTGATTGATTGTGTGACTACAGTACATTATTTATTGCTTTCATTTAATAATAATAATTTATTATTTGTACCCCGCCCATCTGGCTGGGTTTCCCCAGCCACTCTGGGTGGCTTCCACAAAGAGCAAAAATACACTAAGATGTCACACATTAAAAACTCCCCTGAACAGGGCTGCCTTAAGAAGTCTTCTGAATGTCAGGTAGTTGTTTATCTCTTTGACATCTGATGGGAGGGCGTTCCACAGGGCGGGCGCCACTACCGAGAAGGCCCTCTGCCTGGTTCCCTGTAGCTTTGCTTCTCACAATGAGGGAACCGCCAGAAGGCCCTCGGCGCTGGACCTCAGCATCCGGGCAGAATGATGGGGGTGGAGACGCTCCTTCAGGTATACTGGGCCGAGGCCGTTTAGGGCTTTAAAGATCAACACCAACACTTTGAATTGTGCTAAGAAACGTACTGGGAGCCAATGTAGGTCTTTCAAGACCGGTGTTATGTGGTCTCGGCGGCCACTCCCAGTCACCAGTCTAGCTGCTGCATTCTGGATTAGTTGTAGTTTCCGGGTCACCTTCAAAGGTAGCCCCATGTAGAGCGCATTGCAGTTGTCCAAGCGGGAGATAACTAGAGCATGCACTACTCTGGCGAGATAGTCCGCGGGCATGTAGGGTAGGCATGTAGCCTGCGTACCAGGTGGAGCTGGTAGACAGCTGCCCTGGATACAGAATTGACCTGCACCTCCATGGACAGCTGTGAGTCCAAAATGACTCCCAGGCTGCACACCTGGTCCTTCAGGGGCACAGTTACCCCATTCAGGACCAGGGAATCCCCCACACCAGCCCGCCCCCTGTCCCCCAAAAACAGTACTTCTGTCTTGTCAGGATTCAACCTCAATCCATTAGCCACCATCCATCCTCCAACCGCCTCCAGGCACTCACAGAGGACCTTCACCGCCTTCACTGGTTCTGATTTGAAAGAGAGGTGGAGCTGGGTATCATCTGCATATTGATTGATGGATGGGCTAATGATCTTGTTGGATAGTAAAATTCATGCTAAATTGCTGTTTTAGGGGTTGTTTTTAAATGTCTGGAACGGATTAATCCATTTTGCTTTCTATGGGAAGGCGCGCCTTGGTTTTAGAACACTTTGGTTTTGGAACAGACTTCCGGAACGGATTAAGTTTGAGAATGAAGGTACCACTGTAGTGCCAAATCCCCATTCTCTCCTTCCCTCATTCCTCATGCCTTGCTTCCCAATCGCAGTGCTACAAATACTGTTCATCCATCTACAATTTTATTTATCCTCTTGAGCTGGTATGCAATAGAACCATGCGGCACTTCCTGGTGAGCCAGATCTGGTCCAAGGACTAACAACTGTTCAACCTGAGCACATGGGCTGAGCTGAGGCTTAAAAAAAACCAAACCAAACCAAAACGAAAAAACTTTAAAACCACCATGGCCGAAATTGCATTGTCTAATTACAATAGTGTATTTTATATTTATATTGGTTTCCTGTGTAACTAATAAGAGCCTGGGTTAAACCACAGAGCCTAGGGCTTGCCGATCAGAAGGTCGGCGGTTCGAATCCCCACGACGGGGTGAGCTCCCGTTGCTCGGTCGCTGCTCCTGCCAACCTAGCACTTCGAAAGTACAGAGGTACCGCTCTGGCGGGAAGGTAAATGATGTTTCCGTGTGCTGCTCTGGTTCGCCAGAAGCGGCTTAGTCATGCTGGCCACATGACCCGGAAGCTGCACACCAGCTCCCTCGGCCAGTAAAGCGAGATGAGCGCCACAACCCCAAAGTCGTCCGCGACTGGACTTAATGGACTATTATTAAATAGTTTTAATAAGAAACTAAAGCTAGTTTTTCACAGGAAACTGCCATCCCTGAATAGGTGAAATTCCAAAGTGTGAAGGTGGATGGGAAACAAAATGGCTACCCAGGACAGTGACTACCTAGAAAATTTTTTTGGGAGTTGTGGTGGATGGCATAAAGAAAATATCAACGCAATGGTTGGATGGGAGCAAATCCAGTTTTAGGAATTATGAAGAAACTGAGAATACTACCACAAATATAATGGCATTATATACATTTGTCTTGAGGACACATTCTGTACATCTACAATTGCTGCATTTCGCAAGGAGTACCTTACGTCAACGACAGACAGTGACCATTTTAGGCATGTCCAATTGTTGTGCGATCGCCAACAAGTGGGTCCTTTTGAATCCAGAAGAGGGCATAATGGAGGCAGGGTGGAATGGGAGTGGAGGCTCTTATACGCACTCTGTTAATGCACACAGGGGCTGGGAACTGAACCCCCACGTCAAACAGTTGTGGCCTGTACCAGATATCTATGCTGTTTTTCACTCTATTCAGAATTGGCCTCCACAGTCACTTACGGACTCATTGCTAAAACCGTGTTTATGAAACACAATCTTACTCGGCTACAAGTGATCGCCAAAGAAGTATCAAAGCAGTGTACAACATAATTAAATGCCATTAAAAACACTCATAAATATGTACAACAGAATGGTGTGTGTATGCAAGCTATGCTTGTGTGAATAAAAAAAAGGCACTAAATGCCAGTGGAAACACACCAGTAAAGATGCTTGTTGGATCTTGGAGGGGAAGCTATTCAGTCAAGCAGGAGCTATACATCCTTCTTGTGACTGACAGCAGATGGGTCAGGAAAGGCTATAGAACCACCAGCATGAGCTCATCAAAGGATATTAGTGGAAGGGCTGGTTCATATGGGGAGGCTGAGATTCCTGCATTGCAGGAGGCTGGACTAGATGATCCTTTGGCGCCCTTCCAACTCAGAATTGTAAAGGTGCAATCTCAAATAACCAGGTTCCAGGTTGCTTAGCGCTACACGGATGAGCTACATGGGCAGTAACAAAACCTTGAACTTGGTTACGTAGCAGATTGGAAACCAATGTCTCTTCTTCAAGGCAGGTATTATATGCTTGCCGTATGGGTCACCAATTAGCAGCCTAGCCACAGCATTTTGTACTAGCTGAAGCTTCCCACTCAGGTCAAAGGGATCAATTCCCAAATCTGAGAACCAAGAGGGCCTCAAAATTCAGTATCAGTTTATTGTCCCTCATCCATTCTACCATTCAGCTCCTAGTTCGGGATCTGCTCAGCCCCACCTGATTCAGATGTCACAGAGAACTGTATACTGATGACACCATGTTTCAGATCTCCTGCTATCCACTCTAACAGCTTCGTAAAGATGCTTAAAAGCATAGGGGACAAGATGGTTCCCTGCAGCACCCCATAGTACAAGTGCAGGGGGTTGAACAAGATGACCCTGGTGGTCCCTTCCAACTCTACAGTTCTATGATTCTGTAGTCACACAATGCTATTCCCTAGAGCTGGAATTGTTTCTCTTTGTTTCCCAATGTATTTCATATCAATTAAAAATTTGGTGTGACATGAGCACATTTTTATTCTCAGAGCATGGCCCAAAGAACAAAACTTTGAAAACCACTGTGTTAAAAGCTGCTGAGATATCAAGCAGAAACAACGGTGTGATACCATTCATCAAGAGCAACCAAGTCCAGTCCCACACCCAGACTGGGAAGGATTTACAGTCGTACCTTGATTCTCGAATGCCTTGTGACTCAAACGTTTTGGCTCCCAAACACCACAAACACAAAAGTGAGTGTTACGGTTTGCTAACCTTTTTTGGAAGCTGAACGTCCTGTAGCCAATCGGAAGCCGTGCCTTGGTTTCCAAATGTTTTCGGAAGTCAAACGGACTTCTGAAACGGATTTCATTCAAGAACCAAGATATGAGTGTATTTATGAACAGGATTTATATGCTGCTTAATCATCAGAACCTCTAAGGAGTTTACATAAGATGCCTTTGATCTTATGTCATGTAAGAGCTGTCACCTCTTAAGTACCCATCCTAAGAAGTTAGTAGTTGTCGAAAACCCACAGGGTCCAAGTCGCATTTCTTTAGGAGTGGATGCACTCCCACCTCTTTCTCCATACCTTAAAAGAGCATTGGCCATATCGTGAACACACCTTGTCAGCTCCCTTCAGCTAGTTTGAAATTGGCAAGATGGGCAAGGGTCAAGGGGGCATGTTGTCATTTGGGCAAGTCATTTTCAAGTACCTTGTACACATCACCAAGCTGGAAGTGGACAAGCTGACATGTTTATCACATTATTTGGACCTGTCACAACCGTGGTGTTCAAGTTCCTATGAAGGCAACCAATGTTATCAAAGTGCCCAGCAAATGCATCATAATGGGCATTCAAGGGTTCGATCATCCCATTTGTTGAGATATACAGTGGTGCCCCGCAAGACGAATGCCTCGCAAGACGGAAAACCCGCTAGACGAAAGGGTTTTCCGTTTTTGAGTTGCTTCGCAGGACAAATTTCCCTATGGGCTTGCTTCGCAAGACGAAAATGTCTTGCGAGTCTTGAGATTTTTTTTCGCTCCCCCCCCCTTTTTCTAAGCCGCTAAGCCGGTAATAGCCTTTTAACAGCTAAGCCGCTAAGCCTTTAATAGCCGCTAAACCGCTAATAGCGCTAATCCGCTAAGCGGGTTGCTTCGCAAGACGAAAAAACCGCTAGACGAAGACACTCGCGGAACGGATTAATTTCGTCTTGCGAGGCACCACTGTAGAACAATCCTCCCACCAGGTGGAAAAACTTGCCTAGAATTTTAGCATGCAATTGAGGTAGCAAAGGAAGCTTTCTTTGCCACCCAAATAACCATGCAAAAATCACAATTATGTGCCCTACTGTGTCTGGTTTTCCTCACAGTGTGCCTGGTGCCACCTACACTCCAGCTGCTGTCCAATTCATTTCAATAGCCTGACCTTCCAGGAATAAGCTCACCATCTCATCTACTGACTGTAAGAACTAGGTTTTTGAGATTTAAAATAGCCAAGAACTTAAGCCTACTAGAAATGCACTCTGCTAGTACCACATGAGAACTATTACAAGTTCTTGCCTTCAACACGTATGGTGTTATGATACTCACAAAATAAGGTGCTCACCACTAGGTAAAAGGTAAAGGGACCCCTGACCATTAGGTCCAGTCGTGGCCGACTCTGGGGTTGCAGCGCTCATCTCGCTCTATTGGCCGAGGGAGCCGGCGTACAGCTTCCGGGTCATGTGGCCAGCATGACTAAGCCGCTTCTGGAGATCGAGAGCAGCACACGGAAACACCATTTACCTTCCCGCCGGAGCGGTACCTATTTATCTACTTGCACTTTGATGTGCTTTCGAACTGCTAGGTTGGCAGCAGCAGGGACCACTAATCAAAGCAAAATAGCCTAGATGCTGTTCAGTCTGGCTTCATTGAACAAAGAGTGCCTTGGTAACCCTGCTAACGCCAATGGTAGGAAATGGATAGGAGCGTTCTCGTTCGTTCTCAAGGACTATGGGGGAAATGGTATTGCACACTGTATATTGTCTCCTAATCCTTGTGTATTCAATTCCCAACATACTGACAAGTGCACAAACCCAGGACAGATGAAATGATAGAGAAGGTGCGTTGCACCCTCTTCCTAATAAATAATAATAATTATTATTTATTTATACCCCACCCATCTGGCTAGGTTTCCCTGGCCACTCTGGGCGGCTTCCAGCAGAATATTAAAATAAAATGATTCATCAAATATAAAAAGCTTCCCTAAACAGGGCTGCCTTCAGGTGTCTTCTAAAATCAGATTATTATTGTTGTTTGTTTCTTTGACATCTGATGGGAGGGCGCTCCACAGGGCGGGTGCCACTACCGAGAAGGCCCTCTGCCTGGTTCCCTGTAACTTCGCTTCTCGCAGTGAAGGAACCGCCAGAAGGCCCTCGGAGCTGGACCTCAGCGTCCGGGCAGAACGATGGGGGTGGAGACGCTCCTTCAGGTATACTGGGCCGAGGCCATTTGGGGCTTTAAGGGTCGGCGCCAACACTTTGAATTGTGCTCGGAAACATCCTGGGAGCCAATGTAGGTCTTTCAGGACCATATAGAATAGACAGTATATTAGAACATAGCTCCAATCCACATTGACCGTATTTAGGCTCTCCAGAGCCCTTGTAAGGTGGAATAGGGGCCCCTTCCCCACAATATCACTTGGCTTAGAAGAAAAGATTCCCTTTGGGCCACACTACACCTATGTTATCAAAGAAAAAACACTACCACTGATCTGCTATAATTTAAAAAAATAGTACAGTGTGTCTGTACCCTTGCAATTGCTACTCTTTTATAGGGAGCAGCAATTGGAGAACCAGCAACCAAATTGAGCTCCATGCCAACTGGATCCACAGTTAACAACCCAAAAGCAGGTTGGAGGGGAAGCACTGACATTTAGGGCAATAGGTCCTATTGTTGTTGTTACTATTCCATCTCTTCCTCAAAGTGACCATCTTGTAAACTAGCTGCTACTTAGAATCACAAAACTAACAATACAATGCTCTGCATGGTTACTAAAAGTAGAAGACCCCCATTAAATTATCTGATATGCATGCATACAATGGCAGCCTAAGCAAAAAAACCATTATCTTTTTCATTATATATTGTGTCCCCTATAAACAAATCCAGGTACATTTGGATACTCCAACCTGCAGCTGGGTGGAGGCCTACAGGGCTAAACAAAGGATTAAATGTCAGTGATGATAACATGCAAGGCTCCTATCAATCCTGCATATTGGAAATAGAGCGTTTAACAGAGAGACAGAATGGGTTGTTCTTCACTTTCACATTTGTAGGTGATAATGGACAACCACTGGAGCCAGCAATATTGCTATTTGGAGGCAGCAATAGCACCGGTCTTCAAAATACAGTTACTGTATCTGGGTTATTTGGGCACTAACTGACCCGTAGCCCAGCTAGGAGTAAACACGGCTATTCGGGGGGGGGGGGAGGCGCCTGTCAAAGCCAACACATGGGAAAGGGCATGGATGCATCTGTCCAAAGTTCCAGGGAGGATGGGGCCGAGCTCGAGGGGAGATCCGCGGAGGCGCAAACTGGCTGTCAGGATCCCCGCGCCCGGAGGCGGCGTCCCAGGCGACAGCGAAGGACAAAGAGGCCAGAGGGACCCGGCCGAGCCCTCGCTCCGTCTCCGACAGGCTGCCCGGGGCCACGGGGGGGGGGGGGGCGCAGAAGCACAAAGGGCTCCCGGCCGCCCCGCTGCCCGCCCTCCGCCTCGGGGAGCCTCGGCGCCGGGGGGTCCCGCCAAGGGCGCCGCGCCGCCCCGGCAGGCGGGCGGGCGGGCGGGCAGGGAGGCGGCCGGAGAAGCGGGATCCCGGCGGGGCGCCGTCCCCGCACGAGGCAGGCTGCGGCCTAGGCAGAGCGGCTTCTCCCGGCCCGGCCGCCCGGCACCCACCTCCACGTCTCGGCCCTTGTTCTTGAAGCTCTTGAAGCGGTGGTTCTCCAGGCCGGCGGCGGCGGCGGCGGCAGCGGCGTTGTCAGCCATGACGGCGGCAGAGGCTCCGGGCTGAGGCGGAGACGGCGCGCGCACGCACGCACGCACGCGCGAGCGAGCGAAGGCGGGCAGGGGCGGGGCGACGGGGCGACGCCCAGTGACGAGCGAGGGCGGGGCTTCCGGGGCGCCTGCGCAGCGAGCGAAGAGCGGGAAAGGGCAGAGCGGCCGCGGAATTGCGTCGAGGCCTGGCTTCCGGGGAGAAGGAGGCGGAGGGCCGGGAGGCGGCTGCTTGGCCCTGGGCGCGCGGCTGCTGCTGCTGCTGCGAGGGAGTCCCGGCGCGGCCCTGCCTTGGCCGGAGGGGAAGCGAGGCGGCGGCCCAAGTCCTTTCCGCGGGATCAGCGCCGCCTTCCCTGCCGGGCCCCTCCGCGACCACGAAAGGCCACCGGCGGCCTTCCTCGGGGCTCCCGCCCCTCGCCCTCGAGGCGCGCTGCGGGCCCTTCCTTGCCCACAATATGGTCCGGAAACCTGAAATCTGAACCCAGGGAATGGTTGACCTAGGCATGCATGCTTTTGAATGTTCTTTTTAAACCAACAACCTTGAAATAAAAGGTTTTTCTATATGCCAGATTCGCACAAAAAGTGTGCGCGTCGCTATCCGTGTATCACTCCAAGCCAGGCGAGCTGTTTTAGTAAATCGCATCCTTCCCGTCAGACTAAAGGAAATAACATAGCAGTAGAGGGTGTGGTAATAAACCTCCCCCAGGGAAACATGCACTTCAACACTGGATTTTCTCCCCATGTATTAGCTGTGGATCTGGAAAATCCCTATGGGGGCGGGGGGAGCGCAGGATGCCACTTGGATGGAGTTTATTGTGAAGCTGCTGCTGCTGCTGCCAAAATTGGAGAATCCAAGCAGCTTCAAATCCACATTGAATTCCACCGTGCACAAGCCCTGGGAAGGCAAGGGACTTACAGTTTCTGCCCAGTCTTTATACTGTGTGATAGAGCAGAGGTTTTCAACCTTCTTGGGTCCACAGCTCCCTTGACTAACTACCTTCTTTCTGCAGGACCCCCATGGGGCTCAGAAGTCCAGTTAGGTCACCCCTTGCCTGCAGAACTGGCAGCCCCTCAACCCTTTTCAAACACCCTTGTGGAGTGTTCCCTCAGGCTCCTCCCCCTCTCCTTGGGGGTCCTCTGGGCAGCCACCCCTGGTCTCTGAGGTGCCCCTCTGCCCCAAAGAGAGGCATCATTTGCCTGCAGAGCTTGTAGGCAGAGCTGCTGCAATAAACAGCTGTGCAAGCTGTTGGGAGGCAGAGAAGCAAGAGGGCATCAAAGGAGGGAGGGAGGGAAGGAACGAAGGAAAGAGGGACAGAGTCTAGTGTTGCCCGCAGCACCCCTGACCATCATTCAAGGCACCCCAGGGTGCCATGGCACACTGGTTGAAAGCCACTGCCTTAGGACGCCCCATCATCTCAGGTATCTGCACTATCACAGTGGGCATTTCTGGATATATGGACTCTGTTCTGAAACCATATGCCATCAGCGCTCCTAGCTAAATATGTGACACTACAGACTTTCTGAGGAAAATACAATCTTTGAACAAGCTACCTAACAATACTATACTAGCCACTATGTATGTGGAATCCCTGTACACCAACATCCCACAGAACGATGGATTACAAGCTATAAGGAACACCATCTCTGATCAAATCACAGTGGACTTTGCTACCAAACGCTGCCATTTTGTTCTCACCCACAACCACTTCAGATTTGGAGATGACCTGTTCCTCCAGATCAGCAGCACAGCAATGGGCACCCACATGGCCCCACAGTATGCCAACATCTTCATGGCAGATTTGGAACAACGCTTCCTAAACTCCTACCCATTCAAACCTCTCTTGTACCTGCAATACATTGACAATATTTTTATTATCTGGACACATGGTCAGCAGACCCTGGACGCCTTCCACCAGACATTCGATGACTTTCACCCCACCATCAACCTAACAATGAACCAATCTATGCAAGAAATACATTTTCTGGACACTACTATAAAAATACAGAGTGGGCATATAGACACCACCTTATACCGAAAACCAACTGACCGACAAACATATCTGCATGCTTCCAGCTACCATACCAAACATACCAAACAAACAATTGTATATAGCCAGGCTCTACGTTACAGCCACATCTGTTCCAACTCTACAGACAGGGATTCTCACCTAAGGGATCTACAACAAACCTTTTTGGAACTAAACTATCCTCCTGATGAAGTTAAACAACAAACTTGCTGCAAGACAGATTCAAAACAAAACAGAACACCACTGGTAACCACATACAGCTCCAAAGTTAAAACAGCTCATTGCATCATCAGAGATTTACAACCTCTCCTAAACAATGACAGTTCTCTTTCTCAAGCTCTGGGAGGAAGACCTTTCATTGCCTACAGACAGCCACCCAATCTTAAATAACTCCTCACCCACAATACTACAACAACCAGACTTAACATGGACACTGGTACGAGAGCCTGCAATAAACCCAGATGCCAACTTTGCTGCCACATAAACCCAGACAACACCATTACTGGCCCCAACAACATCAAACATACCATCTCAGGCGTATTTAAATGCTCATCTTAAAACATTGTGTATGCCATCAAATGCAAGCAGTGCCCTTCAGCTCTCTGTATTGGACAAACAGGCAAACCCTATGCCAAAGGATTGTTGTTTAGTCGTGTCCGACTCTTCGTGACCCCATGGACCAGAGCACGCCAGGCACTCCTGTCTTCCACTACCTCCCGCAGTTTGGTCAAACTCATGCTGGTAGCTTCGAGAACACTGTCCAATAATCTCGTCCTCTGTCGTCCCCTTCTCCTTGTGCCCTCAATCTTTCCCAACATCAGGGTCTTTTTCAGGGAGTCTTCTCTTCTCATGAGGTGGCCAAAGTATTGGAGTCTCAGCTTCAGGATCTGTCCTTCCAGTGAGCACTCAGGGCTGATTTCCTTCAGAATGGAGAGGTTTGATCTTCTTGCAGTCCATGAGACTCTCAAGACTCTCCTCCAGCACAATAATTCAAAAGCATCAATTCTTCGGCGATCAGCCTTCTTTATGGTCCAGCTCTCACTTCCATACATCACTACTGGGAAAATCATAGCTTTTACTATATGGACCTTTGTTGGCAAGGTGATGTCTCTACTTTTTAAGATGCTGTCTAGGTTTGTCATTGCTTTTCTCCCAAGAAGCAGGCGTCTTAATTTCGTGACTGCTGTCACCATCTGCAGTGATATGGAGCTCAAGAAAGTAAAATCTTTCACTGCCTCCATTTCTTCCCGTTCTATTTGCCAGGAGGTGATGGGACCAGTGGCCATGATCTTCGTTTTTTTGATGTTGAGCTTCAGACCATATTTTGCGCTCTCCTCTTTCACCCTCACTGAAAGGTTCTTTAATTCCTCCTCACTTTCTGCCATCAAGGTTGTGTCATCTGCATATCTGAGGTTGTTCATATTTCTTTCGGCAATCTTAATTCCGGCTAGGGATTCATCCAGCCCAGCCTTTCGCATGATGAATTCTGCATAAGTTAAATAAGCAGGAAGACAATATACAGCCTTGTCGTGCTCCTTTCCCAATTTTGAACCATATGCAGTTCTAACTGTATGGAACTGTTGTTCCATATGCAGTTCTAACTGTAGCTTCTTGTCCCACATAGAGATTTCTCTTTTTTTAAAAAAATAACTTTTATTAAGTTTTCCATTTAACAATCCAATCATATCACATTTATTATTCCAAATTATACCAATACATATCATAAAGTCCAAATATTTTGCCAAATTATATATTTTTGTTGGGGATTCCCATGCTTCGAGTTCAGTAAGGGTTCAGTCATCTCATATTTCATAGAATCATAGAATCATAGAGTTGGAAGAGACCACAAGGGCCATCAAGTCCAACCCCCTGCCAAGCAGGAAACACCATCAGAGCACTCCTGACATATGGTTGTCAAGCCTCTGCTTAAAGACCTCCAAAGAAGGAGACTCCACCACACTCCTTGGCAGCAAATTCCACTGTCAAACAGCTCTTACTGTCAGGAAGTTCTTCCTAATGTTTAGGTGGAATCTTCTTTCTTGTAGTTTGGATCCATTGCTCCGTGTCCGCTTCTCTGGAGCAGCAGAAAACAACCTTTCTCCCTCCTCTATGTGACATCCTTTTATATATTTGAACATGGCTATCATATCACCCCTTAACCTCCTCTTCTCCAGGCTAAACATGCCCAGCTCTCTTAGCCGTTCCTCATAAGGCATCGTTTCCAGGCCTTTGACCATCCAGACCAAAGGTTGCCCTCCTCTGGACACGTTCCAGTTTGTCAATGTCCTTCTTGAACTGTGGTGCCCAGAACTGGACACAGTACTCCAGGTGAGGTCTGACCAGAGCAGAATACAGTGACACTATTACTTCCCTTGATCTAGATGCTATACTCCTATTGATGCAGCCCAGAATTGCATTGGCTTTTTTAGCTGCCGCGTCACACTGTTGGCTCATGTCAAGTTTCTGCTGCTTTTAGTGTTCACCAGTCCCATCTTTCAATCTTCTTGTTGTTATCCTTTTTCTTCTTAATAGCCTCTGAGTTGTTTTCACAGGCGAGTTAAAGTAAGCAATATTATGCTTCTGTGTGAACTTTGTAAGGCTCTCCCTTTTTTTTAAAGCTGGTAAGTCTTTTGTTTGCAATAAATCACACACTGATCCAAAAGTCCTCCTTGAGTGGCAGACGCCATCATTCTCAGTTCCGATGAAATAAAATCTAGGCGTTTGCTCATTAATTTTCCCAGACAGGTTGCATCATAAATTAGGCTTTCCAGGGAAGATTTTGCCAAGTCGAACTTAGAATACAAACATGATAACAGAGTAGTGGCTCGCCCCCCCCCCCCCCGTGCCTATTAATTTCGCAACAAAGTCTGTCTCATAATGGCGGATCCCGATTAAAAACTGTGTCACAACAGAGCCTTTTATTTTCTTTCCAGATCTTTCAAAAAACAAAGGCTTTAGGTGATATTTTTATTTCCACACAGTTTATTTTCCAATCTCACTTGTTATAAGTTGTATGACGGTTCTTCTGGGGTGGGGGTTGTTAGGTAATATTGTAATAAAAAAAAAGAAAAAGTTCCCTCCCTCCTTTCCGTTCCGTTTCAACATACCAGCATAGATGTTATTCTTTGATGTTATCTTCTGTCCAGTCCATTCCATCACTCTTACCTTCTCAGTGGCAGGCTTAATTACCAGCTAACATACCCTTTTCTTCGCTCGAAGCATGTGCAATAACTTTTATATCCAATTTTTTATCTTAAGTAATGCAACTAGAGTCGCTCTCAGAGACAGTGTCCGGGAGATCCAAACTCACTTGAGGGCTTTCCGTCCAGTGCCCTCACGCCCTCCTTCTTTCGAGCTCAGGAGTGATTTATGGGCAACTGCGGACGAGG